CACCTTAAAACAAGGCACAGATTTTTCATGGTGTAGGTAATTAGCTATTGGAATAATTTATCAGGCTCTGTGGTGAACTGGCCACGCTGGCAGTTTTAAAACCACAGGGATATGTTTGTCTCTAAACAATAGTTAACCTTTACTAAAATTAATTCAGGATTATTTACAGACTGTGTAGTTATGGGTGCCAGTGCATGTGAACACAGTACACCTTTCTGGCCTTAGAATGTCACATAAAGTCCTATGTACATTCTCCTAAGTGTAAAATAATAATTGCAGGTAAGAGTGCACTTCCATAACCCAAAATTAATTTGTGGCCAAAAAAAATGAAACAAGGAAAGAGACAATTTTCTGTCTGGTTTGTGTGCCAGGATTAGCCATGCAGTAGCAGTGTGTGAGTCATCCTTAATTCCCCACATCTTTCTAGGGTGATGATTTAGGAACTAGTTAACGATGGTCTCGGTGCACGGTGTGTACCTGTGTGAGCATGCATGAGGTATGGCAGAAGGGGGAAGCCAGTGGTGGCGAAGAACTTCCCAGGCAGCAAACCAAATTCCTGGGGAAAGTTGAGTGACAGGATTCACGAAGAAGAGTTTAAACTGAGGTACGTGCTCATAACATCCTGTTTAAACAATCAACAGGAAATTCGGCGATCCCACCTCGCAGGATGCTGGTTTATTGAGGCATGGCACACAGCTGAGTGCCACGAGCCCTCCTGCAGCACTAGGACCAGGCTGGCGTCTGGCAGCAGGCATCCCCAAAAGGACTTAATCCAGGAGGAGAGAAGGCCTCAGGGTGCCCATAGGGGCGAGTTATGTGCCAGGGCAGGGCTGGTGCCTGCAGAGCCCCCAGGCTCCCCCCTCCAGGCTGCGGTGGGTGCGGGGTGCTGGGGCTGCTCAGCCCCAGGGTGCTGCAGCGGGGCCATTCTCATGCAGAGCGTGGCACTGATGGGCTCCTCCGAGCTGAGGACAGGCTGAGGATGGCATCTCTGTTATGGGTAGGTGCTCTTGTCAACCACGAGCACTGGAGTAAAAGCAGCAACAAAAAGCAGTTGTGGGGGGACGCAAGGAAATAGGGTATTAAAATGATGCACCCCAAAATGAGCTACAGGACTGATGTGCCCTTTTCAAGAGGCATTTTTCATTTCACCTGTCCAACTTGAGGAGCTTTCTGCCTGGCCTTCTTCAGCACATGGAGAAGGTTACCTTGGGCAGGCTCCTAATGACATGTTCTGCCTTTCACCCCACCAGGACCAGCACTTCTGTGGCTTCTGTTCATTCTGCTGATGCTCTGCGTGTCCCTCCAGGCTGTGTGGATTGGGAGCATCTGTCTAGAGAGCTGAGGAATGCTGAAACTTCCCTGCCTGCTGTTGTGATGGATATTGCCCAGCTGAAACACTGCTTGGGGGGGGGGAGTTCTGTTCCTACAGAGGCTGACCCAAGTGACACCTTTGAGATCAGGATTTCATTTTCTCCTGCATTTCAGTGCCTCTCCCAGTCTCCTGTCACACTCTGTACTCCCAGGGAAGCCTTGCCACAGGACTAAATTATTGCAAGATGCAGGGGTTGGGGCTGGAAGCACCACTTCTGGGCCCTGCCATGTGCTTGCCTGGTGGACGGGTGAAATATTTCCTCCACTGGGCTGCCCAGGAGCAGGGGGGGAGCCCAGCCTACCAGGGGCTTTGGTGGTGGCACCCTGCCTGCTGCCACCCTGCTGCTCACAGACCTGCGATTGGGCTGGGGGGGCCTCGTCTGCAGGTTGGGCTGTAGCAGGCGCATCCTGTTTTCTAGGAAAAAGAGGATTTTGTGGCCGGCTTTGTTACAGAGGCATTGAAGACTTCTCTTTGTGTGCTTTCTCATTTGAAGTTTACACGCTGGTTGCCGCAATCTTTCTAGATGTTCTGGTTACACAGATGAGAATTGTTTTTAACCTTATTTTTATTAGAGAGTTGTATCATGTGGTCCTGGCCAGCCCACAGGAAGGGCTAGAAACTCCATGTAGGCGGGATAACACTTCCTATCTCCGTGTAAACACCAATTCCCCACAGATGTGAGAAGGCAGCCCCGCTACACGGGAGGCTGGAGGCTCTGCTCCCACATGTGGCAGCGGGCTGAGGCTTTCCGACAGCTGGGACAGACCTCGCTTTCAGCAGCCTGAGCTCTGCCACGGCGCTGCTCTGCAGCGTGGCTCCCCGCCGTGCTCAGGAGCAAAGCTGGGGGCACAGGAGCTTTTCCAGGGAGCGTGGCGAGGAGCAGCCGGGCCCTGCAGAGCATGAGGGAGCTTGGTGGAACTGGTGGGGAGGCTGGGGCCAGTACGGGGCTGGGGCAAGGTCTCGGGCACGGAGCATGGAGCCAGCTCACAGAGCACGGGAGATGTGCTCAGATGGGGTTTTGCACTGAAGAGTAACAGGCAATGAAAGTGATGTCAGCTGCGGTCTGAGGAAGGACCCGCTGTGTTGTGTGGTGTCTGCACACCGGCACGGGAAACCCCCAAGCCTGAAGTCAGTGGGAGCATTGCTGCTGCCTTCAGTGAAAGGAAGAGTTCAGCCTGCTCCCTGCCTCGGGGCCACTAAAGAGCTTGCAGCAGTCTGAGGGGGTTTCATGGCGCTGGGACTTCTCTCTACTTGTCGGAGGACAAAGCAAACACTGAGCCTTTACTGGGGTCTGGGAGTCTGGGACCTACAGGCTCCAGAAATTACAAGGTTACACTGCTGAAGGCTGTAGGTAATAAAACATATTTGCTCAATTGCTTTATTTGTCTAGGATCTCCAGGCATGCTGCTTACGAAACACAGAGCAGTTTCCAACCCAAACACTTCGGTGCAGAGTGAGAGACAGCAGGTGAGCACTGGGGGGGAAGCAATGTCAGTTGGCCTGGCCAGGACAGCAAAGGGAACATTAAGGAAGAGGACTGAAGGTAGAGAATAAGGCGGACAGAGAGGATCTGGGACTGGTGCCATAACATGGGGATACTGCAGAGAAGGCAGCAGCTGAGCAGCCTTTGGTGGGGAGGAGGATTCAGGGCAAGGAGTGCTGTTACGTGAGGAAGGGCTGGCATGGATGCTGGTGAGCATTCACAGTGGAAGGTGAGGATGAGGAGTGACTTCTGACGTGGATGGATGTTACCAGTCCTGTCTGACTCTGTCGTGATGGTGGCAGTCAGCAGCTTTCACCTGGTCCATCATGGGCTTCATTGCTTTGAAATGATGGTGGAGGAAGAGCAGCCAGGTGTGAGCGTGGTTCTGGCTGGGATAATTCCCTGCAGAAGCACCAGGCAGGTCCGGCTGTGCGGCTGGTGGGAGAGTAACTCCATCACAGGGCAGGGACGTATCCAGGACACGGTGTGCTGTGTCCTCCACCTGTCCCCAGCCCCAGCTCCTTGCTCCTGTAGCCAACACCTGGGCACATTTCACATCTTCTCGCAGATGCTCTGGTGACAGAGCAGAGGAGCTTTGTTCCCAGAGCCACATCTCCCCTCCTGTCGATGCTGGAGAATCTCAGGCTGGTAGGAGAGGTGACGCAGTCGCTCCAGCACGGGTCTGGCACAGGCTGCGGGCTGCAAGCTCTTGTACAGCAGGGTTGGCTGAGGGCCTGATGCAGGGCACCAGAAATGCCTTGAGGGAGCCTCAGTATGAAATCCCCTTTAGAGGAACTTTTTTTTTTCCTCCTGTGAAATGGCACACAAACTCTTGACAGTTAAGAAATAAACTCGCAGCATCTCTCTGTGGCTGTGTGTAGCAGAGAAAGAGGAAAGGGTCAGGGTTTAGCTCATAATCTGCTCAGAGCTGCTTTGTTTGGTACCAGGCCTTTTCCAAACAGTATGCACAGAAGTGCACTCCTGAATTAAATGATAACCAAGGGGAAGAGAGAGAAAGAGGGCGTTTCCACTGGCTGGGAGATTGATGGCAGGTCAGTGGGGCCAACAGCAGCAGCAAGGTTTCCCTCGAAAGGGAGAGGAGCCTGTGGATCCCTGAAGCAAGGGCTAATTCTGCTCTTAACAGTGGCCTAGAAAGTTGCCTGAGTGCAACCCGCAGAAGCACTTTGCTTTTCCAGATTTGGAAAACCAAACGGGAGTAAAATCTATTTGCTTGGTTTTAGCCTAGACAACAGAGCTGCAAATTAGCTTTAGGTTTATTTGCCGTGTGTTTATTTGAGCTGTACTCTGCCGCGTTCCCAAAGGTTTATCCAGACCAGATTTCTCGGCTCCTTCTCTTTTCACTTGCAGGGTTTTTTTTTTGCACATGCACCCACGTTTTCCATGCTCATGCTTTGCACGGTTGGAGGGGTGCTGTGGGGAACCTGCTGTACAGGCCTGTGGGTTGGTCCAGGTCCAGGCCACAGGTTGCTGTCGCTTTGGCTCGCTCATTTTTCCTCCTGGCCTTGAAAGTTTCTTTCTATCACAGCGGGATAATAATATTCCTGCTTCTTCCTGATATACGCTTTTCTGCTGTACCTAGAAGCAATAACAAGCGAGCGGAGAAGATTATACCCCACGTGGACTCTGGATGCTTTGTCTCGGGCAGGGGACGTGCAGCCTGTTTTCCTCGGCCCCAGCACAGCCCTCGCAAGTGCCTCGCCTCCGTACGGGAAAGGAGAAGCACAAACAAACGAAAAACTATTGTAAAACTTGCGCCGCTTTGTCTGTCCTGCGCGGCCAGGGGCTGAGTGCTGATGGAAAGCCGCGGGCACGGGGAGGCTCGGCCGGGCCGGGGAGCTCTGCCAGCCCCGGGGGGCTCCGTACGGAGCGGCGGGGGGTGCTCGGAGCCCGGGGGTGCGGAGCGGGGGAGCCCCCGGGGGCGCGGGGCAGTGCTGGAATGCGGGGCCCCGCGGGGAAACGGAGGCGCGGCGAGGGTGCGGAGCCCCGGGGGTGCCTTGCTCCGGGGCACGGCGCTGCCCCGGGGGATGCGCGGCCCGGGGGCGGCGGCGGCGGCGGCGGCGGGGGCCGGGGGGGGCGCGGGCCCCGCGTCCCTCCCCTCCCCCGCCGGGCGGCGTGGGGCGGCGGCGGAGGAGGAGGAGGAGGGGCTGCCCAGCACGGGCAGGGTTAAAGCGCCATGTAACCGGAGCGCGGGGCTGTCGGGGGCCGGCTGGGGCGCGGGCGGCGGCGAGCGGCGGCGCGGCCCCGCTGGACGGCGCGTCCCGCCGCGGCGCAGGTGAGCCCGGGGCCGGGCACCGGGGCGGGGGGCGGCGGCGGTGGTGGTGGTGGCGGCGGCGGCGGGGGGGAGGCCGAGGCCACCGGGGGCTACCGGGGCCGGAGCCGCGGCGCATCCTCGTGGGCGGCTTTGTTGAGCTCGGCGGCGGCGGCGGGGGACAATGGGCCGGGCGGGGACGCGGCACCGGGTCCTGCGGGAGTGGCCCCGGCCGCCCGCCCCGCGCCCGGTTACCGGGGGTCGCGGCGCTGCCTCCCCGGCGGCGGGAGGGGGCGGCGGGTGGCGAGAGGGGGCGACGGGCACCGGGAGGGGGCAGCGGGCTCCGCCGCCACTTGTTGCCGGTGCTCAGCCCCCGGGGGCTCGGCGAGGGGCTCGCCCCGGTCCCGGTCGTTCCCTCCCCACCCCGCCGGTGCCGCCCGGCCCTGCCGGCTCCTGCCGCAACTTCGGGAGTTCCCGGCGGAGCCCGGGCCCGTCCCGGGGCTGTCACGGAGGGGTCTCCTGCCGGGCTCTCCCCCGCAGCCGGGCGATGTCGGGACGACGGCGCCGGAGAGCCCCGGGCTGCGGCGGGAGCGCGGCGAACCCGCGGGGCCCCAGGCCCCCGACGGCGGCACGGCACGGGCTGGCTCCGGGCCGGGGGGCTCGGGGAATGCCCGACCCGGCTCTCAGGCGGGGTCCCGGGGGGGGGCAGCGGCTCCCCGCGGACACGGGAGCAGCCGGGAGGGTTTCCGGGAGCCCGCGGTGCCACCGGCGTGCAGGGCAGAGACAGCTTTTGTTTTGCTCTCCTCGGGCCAGCGATCTGTCAGGACATCAGCCCCTCTCCTTCTCTCTTTTCGCAGGAAGGCGGCTCCCGGCCGGCGCTGAGGCGTGAAGGCACCCCCGGGCTGGGCACCGAGGGCAGCGGGCGGCCGGAGCCGGGGGGCGCTGGGCTGCCGGGCACCGGCGGCGAGCGGCGGGGGCGAGCGGGTGAGCCCGGGGCAGGGCTGCCGTCTCCTCCTCCTCCTCATCTTCCTCCTCATCCTCCTCCCGCTGAGCCCGGAGCAGCTCCTCAGCAGGCGGACAGGGGAGGGAGCGCATCGGGGAAGCACAGAGGGGCGCGGGGTGGTCCCGGAGGGGGGCAAAAGCCCCCGGAGTGCCGGGGGGCAGCGTTGGGCACCCGGGTGGGGGTCCAGGAGTTCTCAGTGATGCTGCATCCAGAGGAATGGGCCAGGAGGAGGAACGAGGTGTCTGGTGGGGGGCAGCACTTTCTGCCTTTATCCACCTAGGTTCCAACCAAGCGATGGGGTAGCGAGGCAGGGGGTGCAGGGGTCCCAAGCCTGGGAGGGGCTGGAGCCTTGTGCCCTGCTGGAAAGCACCCTGGGGGGGGAGATGGGGACAGCGAGGTGGCAGTTGTCATCACTTTATTTCCTTTTGTGCAGGGGAACGATGATGCAGTAGGCGCTCCGGACGGAGGAACTCCGCTGCCCAGCGAGACCCGAGACCCACCTGCGCGACGGCGGAGCCCCTGCGGCCCCAGCCCTGCCCGCAGGCAGCACCGGCCCGGGCAGGGGGCTCGGCAGAGCCGGAGAGGCTCAGCCCGGCGGGACGAGAGCGAGATGAGCATGGTAAAGAGCCTAGAGCGGCTGGAGCAGCGGCTGGCTGTGATGGTGGCTGCCCAGGAGACTTCTCAGGCCTGGTCTTCACTGGGAGAGGAGGGGCCGGTTTGTTTTTTGTTTCTTTTCTTTCAACCCAGCTTGGCTGAATGCGCAGGGGCACCGTGCTGCCGGACCCCGGGGGTGGCCACAAAAGGGCTGCGGCGGGGCTGGGAGGGCAGCAAAGGAAACGGGGGGGGAAAATGGAGGGAAGTGCCGCAGCCCGGGCGTGCGGAGGGAGAGCCTGAGCGGGGAGAGGGGCCAGGCACAGGAAACAGGGCAGGGGAGGGGAGAGGCTGGCCTTTTAATGAGCATATCTGCCAAAATGGGCTCCCTTTCTTACTCAACTGCCAACCCAGCGACTCTTTTCTTCGCAGGATTAGAGGGAAATGTTCGGTTTTGGGGACAGTTAAAGGCCATTTGTGTGCGTGATAGCCCAGAGCCCTCGTCAGGAGCCGGGGCTGGAGGGAGCTAGTCCCGGCCATTGGGGTCTTTTATTTCTTTTTGTTATTCAAACAGGGCTTGGGTGATGGCTGCCATCCCAGCCATCATGTAAAATGCTTTCCTCCAGCCTTTTGATATGCATGCCCCTGTCTGGAGGCAAAGTCCGCCTGTCTCCCCTGCAATCTCTCCACCTACTGGGGAAACGGACCTGATAAGGGCGATTCTGTTTTCTCAAGAAGGAAAACTGAAAGCTGCCCAGGCCGGGCTGGGGGAGCTGCCCTGGTCCCCGAGGCCAGCCGGGCTGGGAGGCTCAGCCTCGTCGGGATGCCTCGCAGGTGAGCGCAGAGGCTCCGTGCCCCCGGGCTGCGGCGAGCTTGGCCGGGCAGCGAGCGGGCATCCTGTGGCCAGCAGGCTCTCGAAGCAGTTAACGTTATGGCATGGTCTTTAACCAGTTTGGCAAACTTTAAAGAAACTGGTATTGCAAAACTAGGGCGGGAGCTGGAGTCAGCGGGTTCATTGTCTCCATGGGGTATCGCTGCAGGGAATGTCCTGGTCACCGAGGCAGTGTCATGGGCTGCAGCTAGCGCCAGCCTCTCGGGGAGCTTTAAACATCCGAGCTGGAATTCTGGATTATTTCATTCTTCATGGGTTCTTCAGCGAGCTGTATCGCCGTCGCGTATGTCTGCGTGCTTGTAGTGCATTAAGCAATGCAAACACTGGTGCTGCTTTTCTCCTCCCTCCGTGAGAGAGAAGCATGTGAGGGGAGTGCTCTGTTTCTTATTATTTTCGTAATGCCCTGTGTGCACATGTTGGTGTGTGTCTGTGAGGGGAGGCAAGGACAAAGAGCTGAGCCTTGCTCTGGAGCAGGAGCTGGTGAGGCTCGCCACGGCTGTGACTGCTGCAGGAGCTGCTGCTGGGCTGCCCTCCCCAGCAGGCTGGGCAGTCTCGGGTGCGCAGCTTCGTGTCTCGGTGCAGAAGCCAGCAGTAAGAGGAGAAGGGCTGGGTATTTGCTGCCTAGGGGAAGATTTTTCGGAAATGAAGCGTTAACTAGCTTTGCAGTTTGGGTTGTGGTATAATGTTCCCTCTCCTGCTTGCATATCAGAGGACGGTGATGGGATGTCCTTGAGCGATCCCAGACTGTGCAGCTGGAGAAGTGCACAGAGCAAGCAACGCATTCACTGCAGGCCCTGCCCGGACCTGGTGAGCTGGGATGTCTGCACTTGTGCCTGCATCTGCAGCCAGGCCCGTGGGCTGGCAGAGCCCTCCAGCTTGCGCCCAGTCCATGTAACAACCCTTTTTCCACTTTATAACTGGGCAAAAGAAAAAGTTGGAGCTCCCTGCGCAGGCAGCAGAACTGAGCCAGGCACATGGGAAGCGCTTGGAGTCCCGGCTGCGTGTCCCATGGCACAGCCGCATGAGTTGCCTTTCCCTGGGGTGGGATGGGAGGTGGCCGCTGTGTCACCCTCCCCGTGGCTGTGCTGGCCCCACGCAGTGATGTGGTGGCCCCGCTGCCATGGGCTCACGTGGTGGCTGTGTCCAGCACGGGGCTGGCGGGGGCAGCACGCTGCCTGCAGTGCTTGGCCCTGCGCAGCTCCAGGAGAAAGGCAAAGCCATTTTGGGCTGCAAGTTCCAAACTCCTGTGCTCGGGCTCTCTCCCAAATGGGCTCCTGAGGGAGGGATGAAGGCGAGGTTCCCCTCAAGGTCCTGGTGTGGGTCTGTGGATGTTTAGTGGGGCTGGGAGGAGGCCATGCCTGCTGTGTTCCCCATATTCCTAGTGCTATTCCCATCCCTTCCCTGTGCTCCCACGCCGAGAGGAGAGCAGCATCTGTCCCACCTCACTGGATGGACTCCTGGGTGGGATGGGGCTGGGTTTTGTGAGATGCACTGGGTTTTGTGGCAGCATCGCTGCTGCCTGTGGTCGCTGCCCCTGCTCTCTGCAGGCTGGGGCAGGGAGCAGCCCCTCCAGCAGCCGGCCTGGTGCCGCGGTGCCTTGCTGCATCCAGGGGCATATGGGGCTGGGGAACACCGGGCTGGGGCTGGGAGCCTGGTCTGGGGCAGCCCGGGGCAGCTCGGCGAGTCTGGGCAGCTCCCAGGAATTGTTCGATGCGTCTGGGAGCAGATGTGCTGCAGCAGCGGGATTTCTGCACACAGCTGTAGGGGCTTACTCAGCTTTAGGCTTCTGCCGGTGCCATTTTCCCCCTTCCCGTCCCTTTGTTAAGGAGCCGTGTCTCAGGCGGGCGGGCGGGGGGAACGCGCAACCGGGGTCTCGGTGTGCAGAGGTAGGGTGCCGGGCGGCCACCTGCCCTCCCTCAACTTTTGGATTTTACCAGGGTTTTCACGCAGCCCGCTGCATCTGAAACATCAAACCCCGACTGGTCTTTGTTTGCCAGAGGTGCTGACAGATGATCTCAAAGCAGAAATCTCAATTGTTAGCGAAGCAGTTGGAGCCGATGCCGAGAGCGGGAGCGCCGGGAAGGGGCGGTGGGGCCGGGGCCTGGGGTCCGCGTGGGGCTTGGGGGGGGGGGGGGGGGGGCTGCCTGCCCTTCCTCAAAGGGCCTTGGAGAGGGGTAACGCCGACCGCTCCGCAGCTCGTCGGGCTGCGTTACGTGCTCCTGAAATGACTGTGCCGGCGAAGGGGCAAGTCGCAGCACAGATCCATAGCCCGGCAATGAGGCAGCTTCGTTAGCGCAGCCCTGGGTGCCTCTGGGAGAGTCTGGGAGCTCCCGCTTCCGAAAACAGGATCCAGGAAGGGCACCCGAGGGAAGGCAGAGGCGGCGGGGTGCAGGCGAGGCGGCCCCACCTCTGCCGGGGGAGCGCCTGGGCAGCCTTTATCTGCGCCGGGGCGCTGGGGCTGGGCCGGGCGGCCCCAGGGCAGGCAGCCGGGGGGCTCGGGGTGCAGGCAGCACTGCCCTTGGCCGTGGGGGGGGTGTGCCTGGGGAGGGGGCACGCCTGGGGAGGGGACGTGCCCGAGTTGTGCTTGGTGGCCGCGGACGGGAACCCTTCTCTTCACAGCGCCATGCGCGGCCTGCGGGGCTGCGGCAGCGAAATGGCTGCTCCGCCGGGGCAGAGGGTGCCGGGCGGCACGGGGAGGGGGGAGAGGTTTGGAAACGCCCGCCTTGGGCTGCTTTCTGCTCTGCTCCTTTGGGGTCAGACTGCGCAGAAAGGCTCTCGGCCTAGAAGTGCCCAGCGGGTTTGGCTTTGCGGGCTTGAAAACATCGTTACCGGAGCCACGGGGAGGTTATCGATCGGCCGCACTGCGCAGAGCTGCCTGTCCCCGTGCGAAGAGCAGTGCCAACAAAAGTGCAAATGCCTCTAAATGCAGATGTTTGCATCAGCTGGCGTGCCCACGGCCAGCTCGGCTCTGGGAGCCGCTGGGGCTCCAGCCTGGTCTAAGTGGTGCGGAGGCGAGCGCCGGGGCTGTGATGGGGACAGGAGGCACCGTCCCTGCGTGGGTGCTGCCTGCAGCCTGCTGCCCTCCCCACCACACGCCCTGCATGTGTGTAAGTGGCTTTTGCTGCTTTTTCAGTGTTAGCAGAGCCCATCTCCTGAGGCGGGTTCTGTGTCTCCTGCCCGGAGCCTGCTGCAGCCGGGCCCCTTTGGCCTTCAGGGCAGTTGAACGCGCGGCAGGCACCAGGACTTTGCTCCCCCGTGTCCTGCTCTCTGCTGTACCCGCTTCTGTAACTGCTCGCCCCGCTGCTGGGTTTGCCAGGTTTGTGGGGTGGTGAGAGCACAGTGAGGCTGGGGGCAGGAAAATCCCGGAGCTGGGGAGCTCTGACTGGCCACAGTGGGCCAGAGCCCTGGGGAAAAGTCCCGGTGCTTCCCCAGGGATGTGAGCGGGCTGTGTCTGGGGCCTCCGATCACTGAAGCTGGTGGATCCTCAGGGCCGTGCCTGGGGAGGTTTTGTCCAGGTGCTCATCAGCACCCAGCACTTCCAGATGCATCTCCAAGCAGAGCCTTCTGCTTGCCCTCCGGGTGCTTTAGGGGAGCTGCAAAGGGAATAAGCTGTGGCTGGCTTGGATAGCGCACGCCGTCTGCTCTGCCTTTCCGGGGGCTTTCTGGGTGGCTGAATTTCCTCTCCACTGATGCTTCCACAGGCAACCATGAAAAAGGAGAACCTCAGCCGGGATGAGGCAGACTGCAGGGCAGGGCTGATCCGCCTCAACGGGGACTGCACTGATCCTGCTAAAGACACACCGGCCCTTCTGGAGGCTAATGGGAAGCCCAGTGCTCCGGGTGAGTCCTGCTGTGCCGTGCTGTGAGCGGGGCTGGGGGTGTCCCAGCTGCCTGCTGCCACAGAGGGGCTGTGTGCTGGGTTTGGGATGCTCTGGGCATGGTCCCCAGATCCTGGCTCTCGGGCTCATGAGGCCAGGGGAAGATTTCTGCTTTTGAAGGGAGTGGAAACCAAGCTTGGTGGGGCCATGCCTAGAGGATGCTTTGGCCCTTGGCCCTAGGGAAGCCCAGGCAGCACCAGCGAAGCCACTTGCCCTTTGCCAAGCTCTGCCCTGCTGGAGGGAGTGTCAGAAGCTGCCTCTTCCAGAAAGTGCTTTAAATGAACTGGTGAAGCCCTGAATAGCGGGTGCACAGTTTCATTATTCCTCTGAGCTTCAGAAACAAGGATCCGTGAGATCCCCATTCAAGTCCCTGGCAGATTTTAGAGCAGGTTTGGGCTTGGGACTGCTGTGGTGGCAGCATCCCCATGGCAGCTTTGAGGACACCACTTGTCTTCTGCTCTCGGCCATGGTTCTGCAAGATTTCAGTCTCTTCGGGTCACGACTGGCTGCCCTCATGGGCAGAGGCACGGGACGGCTCGTGGAGCTGAGCCTGCTCTGGCTTCTTGTGCAGACGCTGGGAGCCTGGGACTGCCGAGCCTGAAGAACAAGAGGGTGAGCAAGGAACTCTCCAAGGAGGACCTGTCCTGGCCACTCACGCTCTCGGAGGCACAGGAGGTGAGTGTGGAGGTGTGCACTGAGGCTGCTGTGGGGTCTCGCTGCCCGTGGACAGCCACACACTGGGGGCAGCTGGTGCTGGCTGTGAGGTCTTAACTGGGAACGTGACCCTGCTGCTGTGGCTCTTGCGTGCAGTGCCAGGGAATGGTCTGATAGCAGATGCATTTTTCATTTACGAGCATAATATTTGTTTTCATATTGAAATTCTGTGATTTACGTTATGCCGGCAGCAGTAGGAGGGTGTGGTGTGTAATGTAGTGATGCCCGCTCTGCGTTGCAGCAGTCTAAGCTCTTACTCTGTGGATATTTTCCTTAAAAAGTCTCTGCTGTGTTGGTGGACAGAAACATCTCGTGTCTCCCACTCTCAGGGTGGCCTGGTTTGAGCAGCTGGGGGGCTGGATCCCAGTTTTGCTCCCCCTCCCTTTTGTTTACTAGGTTGACAAACCTCTAGGGTCTGGAAGCATTTTTGCCTTCTGGCTTTATTGTCTTGACTTTGAAATAAAACCCCAAGGTTGGAGATCTGCCTGTGACTATGCGGCTTCCAAAAGAGAGAGCCATAAATTCAGCTGGGTGAAATTTCTGCTTTCCCACTACGTTGGGCTCAGGGGCTGCTCGCGAGCAAAGCCCACTGCAGAAATCTCATTTCATTTTGAAACTGTTAGGCCGGATGCCGGAAACATGCCTGGGTTAGGCTGTTTTGTAAACTGCGGCTGCTGCAAACCACAGAGGAAAAGCTGCCCTCGGAGCCTCCGCAGGGCTGGGCTGCGGGACCGAGCACACCCCCGTGTGAGCAGGGTGCTGTGCGAGCTCCGCCGGGCACTGCCTCCCGCTGCTTTCAGTCATGGTGCTGTGGGTGTAGGGGAGAGGAGGGAGAATACAGCTGAGGATGCACACACGGTGCCTGGAAACACGAATTGATTTAAGTGGCCACTGGTGCTGCCACCCACACGGGGGGTGCTGGGGATTGCCACGAGGTGCAGGGCTGGTGCAGGGGGGCTGCTGCGGAGTGCAGGGTGAAGGGCAGGGTCTTGCACCCTGGGGGTCTCCCACAGCTGACTGCAATCCTCTTGCCTTCCCTGGGCCCTTGTCCCCGATGCTGTGCCTGTCCCCACGTGCCACTCACACCCTACAGGTGGCCGTGCCACACACCTCTTTGTTTCCGCTTGCAGACACGGCCACGGGGCAGCGCTGGCTGGGAGAGCAGCCTCAGGCAGAAGCCTCCTGTCCGCCTCATCTTCCAGGCAGGGCAGACCCGGCACGAGATGAAAATCAAGGAAGCGAACAGCGAGGAGAATCTCAGGGACCTGCCAACGCCGCTGCGGGTGAGGGCCCTGCAGGGCAGGGGCTTCCCGGGGCTCTGGTGATGTGTGCTCCTGCTGTGCGTGGTTGGGAGGCTGACTGGGCACATTGCAGCTGCCCCGTGCCTCAGTTTCCCTCCGAGGCAGTGTGTGTGTGTGCTACTGCTTGCCTCTGCATTATTCTGGGTGCTTTGACTGCTTGGGATGACCTGGGGAGAGAAGGGAAGAGAGCAAGAGTGGCCCTGCTGTCTGTGTGTCCTACAAATGAAAGCAGCACTCCCGTAGATGTGCCCGGTCCTGGGCCCTCTCCTCCCATCCATGCCCAGCCGCAGCAGTGCCCCTGCTCCTTGCTCTCCAGTCCCTGGCTGCAGGGATTAAGGGGATGTGATGTTGGCAGGGGCAGGCGAGGGACCTGCTCCCTCCTGCTCCTCTCTCCCCGTTCCCCGTGGGTGCTCACACCTCGCTCTCCCGCGCAGAGCTCCAGGAGGCGATCGGCCATGCCCGTCCTCACCACCATCGACCTGACGGAGGATGACTCCCGGGACTCGTCGCAGAGCAGCAGCACGATTTCAGGGAGCAGCTCCCAGGAGGGCCAGAACGGCTCTGCCGAGCTGGCGGCTGAGGAACCGGAGAGCCGAGAGGCGGGGATAGCGCTGGAGTACCAGGTACGGGGGGCTCCGTGCTCTGCAGCCTCACCTCTGTGTGCCTCCCCTTCCCCATGTGCTGGGCAGTGGGAGGGCAGTGGGTCCCTGTCCCCTGTGTCAGGATGGGCCCTGCTGCAGCACCGAGCTGTCTGTGCCGTGCACGGGGCCGCAGCGCTGCCAACAGCCCCCGAGCACGGCGTGTGCCGGGCTGGGAGCCGTGCCCCACGGAGACGGGCAGAAAGAGTTTCTGTCCGGAGATGCTGAAGGGGAACAAAGTTGGTGGAGCTCCAGAATGATTTAGTGCCTGCGGGCGTCAGGGCAGGGCCTGAGACTTGCAGGAATTGGGCAATTGCGTTTTGCTGCATAATTAGGTGCCTAATTGCAGAACAAAGCTCCAAGGAGCGCTCAGCTCCTGTGCAGGACTCCCGGCCCCAGCACTGTCGGTGTGTTCCCTGCTGGGCTGCAGCTCGGGGGCCCTTGGCATGGTCTCACCAACTTCCCCAGCACTTCTTTTGGTTTTAGCTCTGCCTTGTTTTCTGTTCTGCTTTGAGAGAAGCAGAGGAGGGGGGCTGCCCCCTCCTTGGGGTTGCTTTGTGGCCCCGTCGAGAGGGGCTCTGCTGAGCCAAGGAGCCCTCGGTTGCTCAGGAGCCCAGAGAACACCAAGCCCCTGCAGCCAGGTGGGACCTGCAGCATCTCCTGTGACATGGGCCATGCACTGCAGCTCAGGAGCCGAGTTTGTCTGGACAAACATGACTGTGATGGGCAAGGGACTTGGGAGAGAATGTCCGTGCTGCTTGGGAGCTGCTGCCCCCTTGCTTTGCCCATTCCCCTTTCTGGGACTGTGCAAGCCCGTTGTGGCGCAGCTGGAGTTTTTCCTTGCTCCTGGCTTGTGTGAGCGCAGGAATGGGCTCTGCAGGAATGGGCTCTGCAGGAATGGGCTCTGTGCTGCCTGCAGAGACCCCGGAAGGGCAGGCAGGAGTGGGCACGCACGGCTGCGGGTGCCAGGCCGCCGTGCAGGACGGAGCAGGCAGCGTGCGCCGGCGTGCCAGGCTCGGCACAGGGCTGGCGGCGTGTGGGGATAAGGCATGGGTGGGTGCTTGCTCTTTTGCTTATCTGTTCTATCTTTTGCTTTCAGGATGGGAAGGAATTTGGAATTGGGGAACTCGTCTGGGGAAAGATCAAAGGTTTCTCCTGGTGGCCGGCAATTGTCGTCTCCTACAGAGCCACGTCCAAGCGCCAGGCGGTCTCGGGCATGCGATGGGTGCAGTGGTTTGGAGATGGGAAGTTCTCTGAGGTAAGCCTGCTGCTTCTCCTGGCTGGGGATGGGCTGAGGTCTCCTCCTCCTGCAGTCTGTGCCCCTTTCTGGGGCTGCTTCTGTGCCCAGTGGGGTGCGTGTGTCCACCTGCAGCCTCCTCAGGGCAGGGATCCAGCGCGTTTTGCCTGGAGCTCAGGCTCTGGGGTGCTCTCGTGGCTCTGGTGCCAGTAACCAGTGCCTGACCACCACCCGTGGGCTGGCAGCGGGATCCAGCAGCAGGGCAGGGTGACATCCCATCCCCTTCCTGACCCCCACCTGGCTCTGTCCTGGCTTGTCCCAGGCATCCCGGGTCGCTCCCTGCCCTGGTGTGCGATGCCCTCTCGCATCCCTCCTTGCCATGGCACTCGGCTGCGCTGCCAGAGGTGCGGTGCCAGCAGAGGGTGCAAACAGCCTGTCCTAGCTGCATGTGCGATGCCTCTGCCCCCTCCCCTCTGCAGCTTGGCTTGCTCTCGGTGCAAAGCCGGCGCTGGCTTCCCCGCGAGAGCGGTGCTCGCTGCAGGGCGCGAGGGCACCGTGCTACGGGGGCAGGAACGAGCCGTGTCCGTGCCCAACGCTGAGCTTTTGTCGCTCTGTCCTAGGTTTCTGCAGACAAGCTGGTGGGGCTGATGGCCTTTAGGCAGCATTTCAATTCTGCCACGTTTAATAAGCTGGTTTCCTATCGCCGAGCCATATTCCATGCCCTGGAGGTAACCGCGGAGCAGAGCTGGGTCTGCGGCTGGGGAGGGCACAAAGCAAAGCGCTGGGCTCTGCGGGGAGCGCGGGGGCTGGGGGAGCAGCGAGCTGGGCTCAGCAAGAGCTGGGGCTTGGGGTGGCTGCCTCGGGGGCTCAGTGCTGAGGAAACGACTGAAATGCTGGCTGAGGGCAGGAAGAGGAGCCTCCGCTGGAAAGCTGGGCACTGGCTGCAAGCAGCGAGCCCCGGTGCGTGCAGGCGCTGTGGGAAGGGGGCTGGGGCTGGGGCTTCGCTGCTCTGCCATGGCACGTGGCTTGGCTTTGCCTTTGGGGTGGCTCTGGGTAATGCATGTGAGTCACCTTGAGAGCTCTCAGCAAATAGGAGCCCACGCCACGATCCACAATTAATCATTTCCCCCCATCTGTGCTGGGGTTACGGGGACAGGAAAGCCTCTGCCTCTTTCTGCTGGGACGTTTCCAGACATGGGGGCTGAAATCTGCCCTGGCTTCCCCGGGGAATTGGGAACAATTGCCAGGCAGTGTCACACCAGGCAGTGTCACACCAGGCACACTGGTCCTGGGCTGATGACTGGGATGTGCCTGGCACTCCGGGATCCTTCCCTGCACTCCTGGGACAGGCTGGCACGGAGAGCCCTGGGGGCCTGATCCCCATCCAGGGGATGAGCCATGCTCCTGGCTGCAGCTCTGCAAGCCTGCGGGCACTTCTTGTGCCTTCTCTTTGCTTAATTTCGCTGGGGGCCAGCGTGGCCACGGCACACCCAGTGCAGGAATCTGGCAGCTGCTGCCGTGCCGGGGCCAGCCCAGCCCCATGCACAGGGAGCGGAGGGGACCGGTCACCTCGGCACTCAGTCACTGTGCCCCCCTCACCCCTCCTGTCTCGGCAGGTTGCCCGGAGCCGGTCGGGGAAGACGTTTGCAGCCACCCCCGGAGAGTCCCTGGAGGAGCAGCTGAAGCCCATGATCGACTGGGCGCTCACCGGCTTCAAGCCCCTGGGCCTCAAGGGGCTGCGGACCGCCCAAAACCTCAGGTGTGCAGGGGCAGGAGCTGGGCTCGGTGTGGGGGCCTGGGGGGGCTGGCCTGCCTGGGGTGGCCTTGGGCAGCTTTGCCAGAAAATCTTTTAAAGTGCCCTCAGGAACCTTGCTGCTGGAGATCAGATGTGATCCGTGGCTCCCTGGGAACGGTGGGGTCTGGGGAGAGCAGTGGGAACCAGCCCTCCTATGGGGAGAGGAGGGGAGGAAGGTTGCCAGCTCCGAGGAAATACTGGGCAGGGTCCCACTTGCGTCTTCCCTCGGTGGTCTTCCCCCAGCCTGGAGCCTTTTTGGCACAGGGCACAAGGGCAGTCACTGCTGGGATGGGAAAGGGAAAGGAGCAGGGATGGGAATTCAGCACCCATCTTCTGCACCGTGATGGATGAGGATGCAGACGGGGCAGGGATAGCCCTCCCCTAAAGTGCAGGGTGGTGCCATCCCCTCCATGTACCCCCCCGTGTACCCTCCAGGGGCTGAGCTGGGCCGTGGGGCTCTGTGGGGTGGGACCTGGCTGTGGGGCTGGGCAGGAAGCGTCCCTGAGGTGTCCCCACCAGGCTGCCCATCCCTTGCAGAGAACGGGGCCCTGCGGAACGGCACGGAGGAGGTGCTGTGCCTCGAGCAGTGCCCCCCCACCAAGAGGCTGAAGGCCGCCCTCTGCAACAGCAACAAGGAGCAGCGAGTGGAGGAGGACCAGACCCGAGGTACCGGGGTGCGGTGTGGGCTGGCAGGAGCATGGGTTGTGTGGGGTTCCCTGAGGAAAAAGAAAAGGGAAAAGGAAAGGGAAAAGGAAAGCTCCCGTGGTCTCGCTTTGCCTGCGTGCACCCTGCAGGGCACCAGCAGACCACACGGTGAGCTGGGCTCCCTTAACTGCTCACCTTGGAGGTCAGCTCTGTTTTCTGGCATTGCAAACGGGGTTGGTTTAGCCATCGGGACATTCCCCTCCATCTGCCTCTCGCAGGTGCACCCTGGGTACACCCCAAATTTCTAACATGCCCATAGCCTGCCCTCTCTGTGCAGTCTTAACGCAATTAGTCAGTTCAAGTAGAGCACAGTTCCAGTTTGTTACGTTAAGGAATGCTAAATCTACCTTTGTATATTTTATTTTATAAAGAGCAAATGGTTTCCGAAGTTACGAACAACAGCGGGAGCCTCGAAGGTAATCACTTGCCTGTCCTGTCTTGGTGAGGGGCCTGGGGGTGTGGGTGCCTGAGGGCAGCACTAGACAAAACCTGGCAGTCCCTCCTGAAATGCACCGTACAGAAACGGGGGTGGTGCTGCAGATCCATGGGCCTCTGCTTGTTTTCATGGACAAGCTGCTCCGATCCTCCCTGGGGGAGCCACAGCTGGGCCAGGACCTGCCTCACAGCGGGGCGCAAAAGGCTGCGGGCGTTCCCAGCCCTGCTCCAGAGGCGCAGATCCTGCGCTGGGTGGGCGCTCCTGGTTGTGCCCTGGGCACCCGGTGGTGAGGAGCACCCCGAGCCCTGGGTGAGCGGAGCTCTCTGCCTCTCAGACAGCTGCCTGTCCTGCGGGAGGAGGAACCCGGCCACCTTCCACCCGCTGTTCGAGGGAGGCCTGTGCCAGACGTGCAGGGTAAGAGGCGCTGTGCCGGGGCTGAGCGCGAGGCTGCGGACGGGGGTGCGGGGCTCCAGCTGCACCGTTGGGATGGGATGGGGTGGGAAATCCGTTCTGGACCCCATATCCACCATGGGGTTGTCCCTCTGCATGCTCTCCTCTCTGCTTCCCACGTGCTTTGGGTGCTGCTTGTGAAGCCCCGAGGGTGGGCATCTCCAAGCTCTCAGCATGTGCCAGTTCTGGCACTGAGCGCAGGTCCTGATCCTCGCCCTTCCCTCCTCCTGGCTCTGCTTTGCCAGGATAGATTCCTGGAGCTCTTCTACATGTACGATGAAGACGGCTACCAGTCCTACTGCACCGTCTGCTGCGAGGGCAAGGAGCTGCTGCTCTGCAGCAACGCCAGCTGCTGCAGGTGGGACCCCCGCTCGGTGCGGGGCTGTGCGTGGGTCGGTGCCACCAGCACCTCCTAATGCTGCCTGCCCGTCCCTCAGGGCCAGGCTGCACCTGAATAGATCCTGGTGAGGATGGCAGGAGCTCTGCCCATGCCTGGCTCACCAGCTTTTGTCAGCAGCCCTAAATGCCAGGGTGCCATTGCAAAGAGCATCCCACAATGTGGGCATAGGGCTGTGGCGCGTGGCAGGGGAGGCTGCAGGGGAGGCTGGGGTGTCCCCACGGGGTTTCTGGCAGTGAACGGGCACGAGGTGGTGTGCTTTGGGCAGGTGCTTCTGCGTGGAGTGCCTGGAGGTCCTGGTGGGGCGAGGGACGTCGGCCAAGGCAAAGGAGCAGGAGCCCTGGAACTGCTACATGTGCCAGCCCCAGCGCAGCTACGGGGTGCTGCAGCGCCGGCAGGACTGGAACACCCGTCTGCAGGATTTCTTCACCAGTGACAAGGGCCAGGAATACGTAAGGGCTGCGGCAGCGAGCCTGGCACGCGGGGCTTGGGGGAAGAGGGCTGACGAGGGCAGGGGGACGGCTCAAAACCCCCCAGCCTCTGCCCTGGTCCCACTCATCCGTTGCTGTCTTCCATCGCAGGACGCACCCAAAATCTACCCAGCCGTGCCCCCGGCCAAGAGGAAGCCCATCAGAGTGCTCTCCTTGTTTGATGGCATAGCAACAGGTGAGGCACGGGCAGAGCACTGTGCCGAGGGCTCGCAGCCCTGGGTGTTTTGGAGCCTCGAGCCTGTCCTGGAGAACTTGGTGGGGAGAAGGGGACGAGGGACAGGCGGGTCCCCATCAGAAGGGGTGAGGGCATTCCTGCTGGATGGGGCTGGTGGCCGGGAGGAGGGGAAGGAAGGGGTGGGAATTTTGTTTGGCTGGGGGGCTGATGAGAGTGGAGCCACCTCAGAGCCCTTTGTGTGTCCCGGCGCAGGGTACCTGGTGCTGAAGGACCTGGGCATCCAGGTGGAGAAGTACATCGCCTCCGAGATCTGCGAGGACCCCATCGCGGTGGGCACCGTGCGGCACGAGGGCAACATCACCTACGTGCACGACGTCCGGAACATCACCAAGAGAAACGTGAGCACTTTGGGGGGCACGCTGGGAGGCCACACAGGGAGGGTCACCCGCCTGCTGCCCCCTAACCGGGTCTGTCCACCCCTCAGATCGAGGAGTGGGGTCCCTTTGACCTGGTGATCGGCGGGAGCCCCTGTAACGACCTGTCCCTCGTCAGCCCGTCCAGGAAGGCGCTGTATGGTAAGGCTGCTCCTCCCTGAGGGCCGGGTACCCCTGGGATGCTCAGATCCGGGGCCACACGTCTCTGACTGGTCCTTGGTGGCCCCGCTCTGAGCCGCAGAGCGCGGGGGCCACCTGCCAAACGCTGTCTCCACCCAGGCCCGCCGGCCCCCACGCCCCCGCCTGCAGCCTCCCCTGCGGGGCCGCGGCCGGTCGCCACCCAGCACTCCCGCTTCCCCCCGTGCAGAAGGGACCGGGAGGCTTTTCTTCGAGTTCTACCACCTGCTCAACTACGCCCGGCCCAAGGCGGGCGAGGAGCGCCCCTTCTTCTGGATGTTTGAGAACGTGGTGGCCATGAGGGTCAACGACAAGAGGGACATCTCTCGGTTCCTGGAGGTAAGGGAGCACCGTGGCAGGACCCTGCATGCAGGGCAGGGCCGTGCTGCACCTTCACCCCACAACATCCCCGTGGCTCACCCGCTGCACCCACACACACCCATGGGAGCAGAAGACGTGCACTGACCCCCCCCGTAATTTGTTCCCCCATCTCTCTGGCTGCAGTGTAACCCGGTTATGATCGACGCTATCAAGATCTCTGCTACCCACAGAGCTCGCTATTTCTGGGGCAACCTCCCGGGGATGAACAGGTAATTTTTTTGCCGTGGTTTGGTTTTGTGGTGCTGCTTCCCTCATAGCCCTGCGCCTGGAGCACAGGCAGGGCGATTTCCCCATGGGGAGCAGCGGGTGGTGATGTGCTTGCTAACGAGTGATGATGAGAACTGCAGCAACGTCCCTGTCCCCAGGGCTGCAGGCTCTGGAGGGAAGCTGAGTGTGGGTTTGCCCAGGTACGGGGGTGCTCCGCCGAGCCTGGCTGTGCTGCTCCAGGCCCTGTGCACGCCTCGGAGCAGCCCCGAGCTCACCTCAAAACCCAGCGGAATGGCTGGGGGCAAACCGGTCGCTGGCAGCCCTGCGCCCCGTGCCTGCCTAGCAGCAAAAGGTGGGGTTTGGCACTGCGAGGCCTCAGCCGGTAAACACGAAGTCATGCTAAGTATTTTTCCATGTTTATATTTAAATTGCCAATATCTGTTGGAATTAAAGCTAATGAAAGCTGAGCCAGAGGCATGCAGGGATTTGGAAGTTAAACAGCAGCTACCGGGCTGTTGTCACCTCCTGCTGCTGGAGGTGGCACCTGGGTTTGGTCCTGATTGCACAGCAGGAGGAGGCATGGCCATGACCTCCCTGCCGTGGCTGTGGGCTGATGGGGCAGCCGGTGCTGGGTGAAACCTCCCTGAAGAGCCACAGCTGCTGCCCGTGCACTTGGAGAGCAGCAGGCAGTGTGGGGCGAGGTGTGCACATGGCAAAAGCCATGCTGGGGAGCAGTATTTGGATTATTGCCGTGCATACACATCTATGCAAAAACCTCCTGCGAGTTCAGCCACTTCCTTAGCAGCATGAGGAGGAGGCTGCAGGAGCCGTCGCTGGCCTCTGCTGTGTGCATCACGGGGCAGACCCGTGCCGTGCCTCTGCTCCTGAACCCCAGCGTGATCTCCCTGTCCCAGTGGTGCTGCAGGAGATCGTGCTCAGGATTCTCCAGGCTGCTGCAGTGGAGCAGGGGGAGGCTCCCAGCTCCCAGCCCTGGGCAGGCTGCGTCCAGGCAGAGCTGTGTGTGCCTGCCTCGGGTCACCCATGGGGAGCAGAGGGACCCACGGGCTCCTGAAATCACCTTTGGGTGGCCTGAGAGAGGCGATGCCCTGGGTAAAAGCTCCTGCTCTGTGCCTGGGAGGAGCCGCTCTGATCTGGCTGGAGCGGGTGGGCAGCAGCGTGCGAGCTTTGGCAAGTGACCTCCAACAACTCGGCGCCACGCGGGGGTGATTTATTGGCCTTGGGCAAGGCTGAGGCTGCAGGAGGACCTGCCACAGAGCTGGGAGGGAGCAGGGACGGTCTATTGTCTTCAGCCCTTTGGTGTCTGTTTCTCACTGGCTGGTATTCAAGGCTAGTGCTGATTCTCGGCTGAGACGTTATTGGTGGCTCTTCGGTTTTGCTTTTCCTTTTATTTTTGTAACCCAGTGCTAAAATAGAGCCAGCATCCCAGGGTCTTAACCCCTGCCAGCATCTCCCTCTAACCGAGCAGCCTGAGCTCTGCTCTGGTGAGCTGAATTCATTGCTGTGCTTCGGGAAAGCACAGGGTGCTTCTGTTCCATCTGACGGGCTGCGTGTCGAGGCTCTTGGGGGAAATGTCCCGAGAGGATGAGCTGTGTTTGATGCTCAGGGATGGTCAGCGAGGCTCTCAGGCTCAGGAGGTGCAGGCTCTCTGCCCCTGCTGACCCTGCCAGTGGCACCTCTGTGGGTGCTTTGGGGCTCCTGCGGGAGCACAAGGCGAGGGGAACGGCTGCCCTGGGCAGGGGAAGGGAGGAGAGAGGAGAGGAGGCTGGTGGGGAGGCACAGACCAGAAGGGAGGCGAGAGGAGGCTGGTGGGGACCAGCTGCTAAGCATCACCCCACACCTCTGCTCCGCAGGATCTTCGGCTTCCCCCTCCACTACACCGACGTTTCCAACATCAGCCGCGGGGCTCGCCAGAAGCTGCTCGGGAGGTCCTGGAGCATCCCCGTCATCCAGCACCTCTTCACCCCGCTCAAGGATTACTTTGCCTGTGAATAGCAAGCGGAGCGTCCCTCGGCTCTCGGGTAACGACGCAGCTCAGCTGCCTGGGGGGAGAGGGCAGGATGCGACCGCCAGTCTCTCCCGTGGGCCCTGCAGCTTCCCCGTCCCCGTCCCTGTGCTGCGGGAAGGACGCACGGCCCCGCAGCAGGGCTGGGGGAACTTCAACCAAAGAACCTGGCAGGGTGACCCTTCCTTAAGGGACCGATGACAGCGACACGTACGGACAAAAGAGCTTTAATTACCCAGCCCAGGAAGCTGCGTGCATCACTGACGAGGCGAGAAGTCTCCTCCAGAGCATTAAATATTCCAATTTTACCCCAGAGCTGAAGAGGAGAAAGTGGTGGAGGCAGCTGCTGGCGTGCTGCGGACAAACGCGGACTGTAGAGGCCGATGGCTTTTCCTAAACAAACAAAACCTCTTGAAATGACTGCCAAAAAAAAACCCAAACTGCAGCAGCAGGTGTAAGGGACCCTGGTCAGGTTACGTACACTGAACATGCAGGACACACAAACCAAATCTTTTTTTTTTTAAAGACTTTTTTTTTTTTATAAACTTTAATTTTGTTTAACGTCTGTTGCTGCTTTAAGGCATTACATAAGAATGTGGAGACTCCTAGACCTGAATGTAGCTGAAACTGAACTGTGAGCTGATAGATTTTACTTTTCTAGTTAGAAAATATTTCTACAGGGAGATACTGTTTTTATGTTTGGCTGTAGTTTACGAATATTCACTACGTCCTTCTCAAAGCATTTCCATTTTTTCCCTCGCATTTCAAACTCCTGCTGAGTGGATTGAAAGGGTAAAGAGGAAGCAGAGCAGGGAGGATCTGGCTCCAGCATCCACAAAGGAAAATGTTCTCCGAGCGTTCGTTTCCCAAATGAACGGTCAGGGCAGGCACGTGGGGTCTGGCACCCGTGGGACCGAGGGCTCCCCCCTCTCCTTCTACCTCTCTGGCCAGTGGCTCGTGGGTGTCCCCCCCCCTGTGCCTGGGCTGTGCCGTGGCTGCTGCCTGCTCCTGTCCCCCGCTGAGGCTGCCTGCGGGGCTGTGCAGCAGGGGAAGCCCAGCTGAAAGCCCTGCTGAAGGCCGAGGTGTTTTTTTTGATGCTGCCTGGGGGTCGCTCCTGAGCCCCCCCCCCGTGGTGCTCCCCAGTGACTGCGCTGCAGCAGCACCCCCCAGCCTCCTGTGTGCACACCCCGCAGGGATGAGGCCCCCCCAGCACCTCCCAGCACCCGCCCCACATCAGGGGGGGCTCTGCTGGTGCCGGGGGGGGGGGTTTGGGCAGCCCCCCCTGCTGCCCCGCTGCTGTTCAGGCCTGGGAGCTTTATTTCCCAAAGCAGGTGAACGTGTGACCTCCACTCAGCCGCATCTCCTGTGCCACATCTCGCATCCCTTCCTGTCTGATCGAAAGAAAAATAAGAGAAAAAAATCCAAAAAGGACTTGGGGAAAGCAAACCAAGACTGCGGGAGGCTGCCCGGGGGGGCTGCAGCTGCCAGGTCCCGGTGCCGGAGCCTCCTGCGTGTGTGTAAAGATGTCGTACGGAGAGGTGGATCCCCGAAAAGCCTTCTGCATAACGCGGCGAAGGTTTCTCCCTCTCCCCGGTGCTATTTTTCTAGAGTAAGGATTTCTGATGTCAAAAGTGTTGCGGGTTTTTTATACGAGCTTTGAAAATAAGAGAAAAAAAAAGTGTTTTGTTCAACGCCTTTTGTGTGGTTTTTTTTAATGTTCTGGGGGCTCACAGCGGGGCCCTGCCCGAGCCCTTTCCTGGCCCAGGGGGGGGCTCCAGGGGCTCCGGGCTCCGTTTCCCCCCCCCCCCAGCTCCGCCACCGCTCGCCCCGCGCTGCTCCGGGCTCCGTACGGCGGGGGGCGGGGCTTGAGGCTGGGGGCGGGGCTTCGCGGCCGGCACGCCAGAGTTAATGAATGGAGCCGCGGTGAGGGGCGGGGCCTGCCGGCTCCTCCAATCAGACGCGAGCCCTCGCGCGGGGTGGGCGGGGCCTCGCGGTAGCGGCTCGGCGCCTGTCCCCGCCCCGGCGCCGAGGCCGCCGCGCCGTGACGTCACGGTGACGTGAGCACGTAGCGTGCGCGTGACGTGGGCCCGGGGCAGGCGGGCGGGGCCGGTTTGAACGCGGGGGAGACGGGGCCGGAGCGGGCAGGTAACGGGCGGGGCCGCGCCGGGACCGGGAGCGGGGATGGGGCCGGGCCGGGCCGGGCTGGGACGTGTTGAGGGGAGCGGGGAGGGGTGCGGGGCCCGGTGTGCGGCCTGCAGGGCCCGGCCCCGCCTGCCCCGGGCGCGCCCCTCGGCCGGGCCGCGGCCCTGAGCGGCGCGGAGCAGCCCCGGGGCCTGGCAGGGCCTGGCCGGGCCGGGCCTGGGCTGGGCTGGGCTGGGCTGGGTTGGGGGGGGGGGCGCGGCCGGGCCCAGCTTTGGGCAGGCCCCGGGAGGCGCTCGGGCTCCCCCCCACCCCCCCCCATGGAGCCTCCCTTTCCCCGAGCGCCGGTGCCGGTGCCGGGGGCTGACGGCCCGGTTGTGTCCCGCAGAAGATGGCGGTGAACGTGTACTCCACGTCGGTGACGAGCGACAACCTGAGCCGGCACGACATGCTGGCGTGGATCAACGAGTCCCTGCAGCTGGCGCTGACCAAGATCGAGCAGCTCTGCTCAGGTGAGGGGGGGCCCAAGGACCGGGGGGGGGACCGGGGGGAACCTGCCCCCACCGAGCCCTCCCCAGCCCTGTGTGCTGGGGGGAGGAGCAGCTCCAGGTTAACAGTTTATTTAGCATCTGCTGTTGTGGTCTAGGTTCCAACTGGAGCTTTTCAAGCTGTTTTTTAGCAGTGTATTGTTAAAAAAGGTGTATTCTCCAGGTTCGCTGCGGCATCATCAGAATAAGAAGGGATAGGGGCTAACGTGGATAAAGGACTCTTAGGAGAAGTTGTTTTCTAGTAGGGAGTTTATTCTGATGGGGATGTAAAACCTTTTAAGGACGGTAAGTAGCGTACACAGATGTGACTGCTGGAGGAGAAGCACGAGGAGGTTTGGGGAGTGCCTAAAGGCTCAGGTTGGGCTGGAGGAGAGGCGTGAGACAAAGCATCCTGGTAATTCCTGGGTTCACCTTGAGGAATCAGCAGCTGCTTTTAGTGATCTGCTCTTCCATCGGTCGGTGGGACCCTGAGTTAGTGTGGATTGAGCTGACTTCATCAAAGATGAATATCTGATAGCTGTGAGCAGAAAAAGGGAAGTGACTGCGCTGCAGAGATGAAGTCACATGTCATCACAGGGAGGAGTGTGTGTGTTTGTGTGTGTGGGAGGACGCTTGTAGGAACGAATAAAAAATAATAGTGTGTGGAGTAACAGCAGGAAAAAAAAAAACCTAAGGCTAAAAATGCAGCCTAGGTAGAAGATGGTGATTTGAATAACTGCAGCAGGGAGATGAAAGGGACTTGGTGAAGAGTGGAAGCGTGTCTCGTGTGGTGAGTTTGAGATAAGATGTTGCTCAGAGGACGACAGGATGTGGAAATTGGGAGCTGAGTGAAAGGAAATAAGGAAGGAAATAAGTTTGGAACTGTCAGTATGCTTCCAGTGCCTGCAAAAATACTCCAAGCCTATGCAGGTGTGGAGGTGGCTTTCACTGCCGCAGGCCGTGTGAGAGCAGAGGTTTCCAAGCCTTGCTGCTTTTGGTAAGGGCAGTATTGACAGCAGCAGTTTGGAGTTGCATAAATGCACAGATCATTTTGGCTTATATATGCTGTATATTTTCCTTTTTTTAAAATCATATTTACTTTACAGATACAAATTGTTTTGAGATGGGGAATGTTTTTCTTTGTGCCAGTGTATGAGCAGCAATCCTCTAGTCACAGGGTGAAAGCAGGAGCTCCAAACAACCTGCTAAATACCTTGACAGAACGGGGGTGGTACAGGACTGGTACAGGGCTGAGATGAATAGGCCAGGTCAGGGCAGTGTCAGGGTGTGTCACTGCTTGACCTTGTGTGTCTCACAAAAAAGGCTTCTCCTGGAGCTGCCTGGTGCTTTAGGTTAAGGCTCACGTTACTCTCCTTGTGCACTTTCTTCTCTGATGCTGTGGGGTGGGAAATAATGCTCGGAATGTGATGCGTGTATTTTCAGGGGCACACAGTTGCACATCATCACTGTAGAGCGACAAAATATAGGTTTAAATGTCTTTCTTTAGTAGATGTGTACAGTTGTCTGCTCACTGTGGCTGAACTGAATCCTGCTCTTCCTACAGTCAGAGCTGAACTGGAGGACATGAAGGATTTAAAATTAATGGAAAGAAATAGTCTGATATCAGTTCTTTGATTAAAGCTTGGTTTAAATATAATTCAGCTTAATTTGGCCTCTCAACTTTGAGAGCACCTTGAATTTTATGTTCTGGTTTTAGCAAGTAAATGACGCTATTTTGGTGGTTAAATATAATATTTTAGAATAATTCTTTTTCTAGTTTTGTTGGTGTTGATGAGAGTAGATCACATGCATGTCAGACACATGTAACATCTGTGCTGATATCCACAAGTAAAGGAAAGCCAAATTACACGTTGTTTTTTTTTTCCACTGGGATTTATAGAGGTGATGTTGCTCTTCTTTGTGAGACGTGAAGCCATGAGACCAAAAGTTTAGTTCTACGGTTCACTTAAGCTTACTGACAGCCATGCTGCACCAAAACAGATCAAAGGGTTCTGTTATCTTGCTGTTGTTGCCTTTAAGGGAACGTGTAGCTATGGAATGAGTCAGGTCAGTTTGCTGATCTGACTGAAAACCAGCTTGTGTAGGCTAGCGAGGTGGCTTGATTCATCCTCAGCTGTGTTCTTCTCTCGGCAGGTGCTGCGTACTGTCAGTTTATGGACATGCTCTTTCCAGGTTCTGTAGCGCTCAAGAAAGTGAAGTTTCAAGCAAAATTGGAACACGAATACATTCAAAACTTCAAGGTTCTACAAGCAGGTTTTAAACGAATGGGTGTTGACAAAGTAAGCTGGACTGTAACTGATTCTCCTTGCTCTTAATACCAAGTAGATGGAATGTGCTTTTAAATCTGGAGCTGAATAAATCTGGGGACAGTTTGTTTCTGGCTTGCAAATCTCAAAAGTGTTGGTTTGCACTGGGGTCCTCAGTTGTATTGATACTATCTGCTCTTCTCCAGCTGAGGTTAGGTGTGCATTTCTTGATGATGGAGATGATTTCTTCCATTTTAGTTCTGTACAACTTAGCACAGACTAATACTAAACATAGCACAATGTAGCACAGACTAGTATTTAAATTTGAGATGAATTTTACTTGAGCTTATACACTACAAAGATGGTTCAAACAGTGTGTTCCCATAAGCTGTTGGTATGGTAGTCTTAAGGATCTCAAATTCCTCTTTACAGGTATGTGTAACTTTAAAGTGGTGACAATGAGATGTAAGTTTTTTCATAGATCAAGTGTGTGTTATGCTTACAGAAGCGTGCTTTACCTAGTTACTAGTTACTGATAGCATGCTTGGTACAATGCAGAGCATTCCCTTGTTAAAACTTCTGATTAAGAAGGCATCTCATTCTTTGTTGGCTAACAGCTTGAACACGTGCTTGGTCGGTCTTATACCTTGGGGAAGGAACTTGTGCAGCCTGCCCAGACCCGGGCAGCTGTGCCCAAAGTGCCAAACGATCACCTAACAGTAATGATTCCTGGCCACTGCCAGGCTGAAAGCTTGTGGCCTACAGACAGATCTTCATGATTTGCTGTTTTTTTTAATAATCTTCCTCATTCCAGAGGCACTGTAATAAACTAAAAGGTGATGTTTCAACCTTGTAGCAGTTCTGTGTGTTAGCAGGCTGTGAAATTGTCAGCAGTTCAAGTATATGAGAGCTAGCACTGGGTGAGCCACCTTCAAATTTACAGATAAGCGTTTTTCAGCGGAACTTGATGCAGCAGAAACCTTGCTGCAGAACTACTTCAAACTAGCTGGGCCCTCACAGTGAAACCATGATTTTAATTCTAACTATTAGGAAAAAATCTGTGTTACATACAGTTAAGTCCAAGGAGGATTTCCTCTAGACTGCATAAAGAATTGCATATGCTTATTATTTTAAAACTTCCTATGTAGTAAGGGAGAAAGAGGTTCTTTACCCTTAAAACAATTTTAATGTTTTTTTTTTTTTTTCCAGATAATTCCTGTGGACAAACTAGTGAAAGGAAAATTTCAGGACAACTTTGAATTTGTTCAGTGGTTCAAAAAATTTTTTGATGCGAACTATGATGGGAAGGAGTACGATCCCGTTGCTGCCCGACAAGGCCAAGAGACAGTAGCACCAAATCTTGTTGCACCAGTTTTGAACAAACCCAAGAAATCTCTCGGTTCTGGCAGTGCAGGTAGAGAAGACAGTTAAAGATTATCTAAATCATTTAAAAACTCTGGGGGAAATAAGACTGGGTCGCTAATTAAAATCAGGGCATAGAACCGTATTATTTTGCGTCTAATTTCTGAGATGCTAGGCTTCAAACTCTGAATCTTGCTTTTGTACCCAGTTATCTTGGAGCTACAGAAAGAGAAAACAGCTAGGATTGGTGCCAAGACGTGAAAGAAAATGCACGTCACACGGAGTAAAGGAGGAATACTTCATATACAAACATGTCTTCAAAGTTTTACGTGCCTAAGCATGCTTGGAAGGGGGACAATGCTTTTAGGGCAGGGGAAAAAGGTGTTCTAGGAAAAGCTAATGCTAAGTCAATCTTGCAGCCCCACAGAGGCCGATTGTTACACAGAGGACCCCGACGACTGCAAAAACCGGGACTGGAATGGTGAAAAAGGCTGCAGGAGATGATGAATCAGCAGGATTGATTGAGCAGGTGTGTTGCCAAAATGGCCTTCTGGACTGCCCTGTGCTTTATGGTGTATGCATAAATATATTTTAATAGCATTAAATGATTGTGTTAGGGAGATAGCAGAAAGAGATCTGTATCTACTAAGTTCATTTAGAATCACTTAATCAGAAGCCTTCGTTATAAAGGTCTTGCTCTCCTGATAGGAGCAAAACCGCTTATGCAGTACATGAGTGCCCAGGCATTTAAATCTAGTGTGTGCCATATCACACATAGCATTGTTTTTAAGTATTTCCACAGCTGTGTTGCAGATATTGCAGCATTCCAACTGAGCTATGAGCAGCTGCTACTTCAGTGAAATACTGAATGTAGTACAACTAGAACAGCCCTCAGTGTGAGAGAGTTGTCTTGAAGGAATGTGTTAGCAAAGAAAACTGCAGGCAGTTAAATTTTTACCTATGTCATGTACTAAGCCTTTGGAATTTCCAAGTGGTATTGCATGTGTTGGGTTGGGTGTTTATTCTGGAAATACTATTATAATTTAAGAAATAGACCTTTTCTTCCTCTTAAGACCTCCCCCTGCCTTTTCCAACATCTTGGTTATTTCTGAAGTGCTTTGCATATAAACATGCCTCTGAGAATGTTGGGGATCCTGCCTTTTGAATAGACGCTACTGCCTTCTCTTTGGTGGATAAATTGTTGTTGATGTCCTGTGACAGATCAATGTATTGAAACTTACTGTTGAAGATCTGGAGAAGGAGAGAGACTTCTACTTTGGCAAATTGAGGAACATTGAATTGATCTGCCAGGAGAATGAAGGCGAGAATGATCCAGTATTGCAGAGGATTGTGGAAATTCTTTATGCCACAGATGTAAGTAATCTTGTATGAATTGTATTGCATAGTTCTCCCTGCACTGCGCCTTGTTACTGGGAGCTGGTTTGCTTTACAGTGCTCCCTCTTTCTACTTTTTTTTTTCCTTTAGGTTTATGGCCTAGCTTTTTCCTGTAATAAAGGAACAGATAACATAATTATAGTCAGGCAACAAACAAGATCGGGCTCTCATGAAGAGTACATAACAAATAGATCAAAGATGAGGAAAATAAGCCTTCTGTAACTTATCTTGACACTGTAAATGGTTGACTTAAGGGTACTTCCTTTTCAATGTTCTAAGTATAAATAAATACATTAAAGGAGTGTACAGAGTAGCTGGGAACTGATTGAACATAAGTTTTTCATTAAAGCACTTGTTTTATCCCCTTTCAGGAAGGCTTTGTGATACCTGACGAAGGAGCACCGCAGGAAGAACAAGAAGAGTATTAACAGACCACATACTGTACCAGCAGAGCAGCAACATCAGAATTCTTTGCCCCAGATCATGTGCTTAACTGTAAAATACTCCACTTTATTCTTAGAGGACTCACTGGTTTCTTTTCATAAGCAAAAAAAGTACCTCTTCTTAAAGTGCACTTTGCGGAAGTTTCACTCTTTTTACAGTGGGTTTGAGTTAGGAGCTCTTTCTCACATTGTAGCAGAGCAGTATTCACATCTAGGTGGTATATTTAGGGAGCAAGAGGCTGAATATTTGGAACTTGTTGCAGAATGGTTTGCTGGTAAAACACTGGTTTGTGGAAAGACTCTTTTTGTATCTAAGGTGGCGTGTAGTAGAGAACTTAAAGACTCTGACTCACAGAAAGATTGAGTTAATGTGAAATTGCAGCACAGAAATTATAAAATGCCTTAAGAGTATTTAATATGCTTCCATATGCCAAATTGAAGTAATGTGACAGGAGATTTTATGTGCTTCATATTGGGGTAGACGCTTGTTTAACTCCATTCACTGCTGTCTGAGAGGCCTTGCATGGCAGTCTCACTTTGTCAGCAAGTGCTCAAAAGGGGCTATTAAAACAAAACTTCATTCCTATGTAAAGCTGCTTACTGAGTGATTAGTTCTCGATGAAATAGGCCTTAACGTTGCCTGTCACAAGATTAGAGGGAGTATGAACAGCTGAGACACATAAATTACCTTGAAGAGTGCTAAAGCCTTTTTCTATGGCATTGTGGCTAATGACTTTGCCAAAATGTACTGTGTTTTCTGTTTCAAAACAAAACAAAAAACGACAAAAAGCAAAGGGCATCCAGTCTTACTGCCTAAAAGGTTCTTCAGAAGTAACTTTCTTTTCTGGCTCTTGTTTCTATAACTGTTTATTTTTGTTGGTATGCTTTTTGGTCTCTCACTGGTTCTCTTCTCTTTCCCATCCCAAGGAGTGCTATCAAATCCAATGGTTGTAACGGGACTTGCACTGTGCAACTCTCTTAGAATGAAAATGAATTGAGCACGTGAGGATGATTTTGTATTTTTTTTAAACCAGGACGTATCTAATAATAATACTTGCCACTTCACTAGTTTTCTGGGGTCAAAACTAAAAGATGCTGGCTAACAGAGCTAATGTTCCTGCAGAAAATACAGTACTGAGACTAACTTAAATATTAATATTTAAAGTACTTTCTTTAACTGTCCCTCTTTTTTGCTATCATGCCCCGCGTTACTGTTGTGTTTGGCAAGATCCTGCAAGACTTCTGATTCCCCTTCACTACTGAGATTGATCAGTCCTGTTGTGCTTGTATTCATTTGTTCCTGGTGGTAGCTTGTCCTAAAATGTGTGTAGGAGAGCATTTTATGGTAATTGTTGTGTAGTGCATGAATCTTTGTGAAATTCAGAGAAAAACCCAAATTCAGTGAATGCCAAAAATGCAAGTATCTAGCCATTGTTTAAAATTGCAGTGGTGCTATTTCTCTTGTGGCCTTTTAGACTTTTGTTGCCCTAAAACTCCATTTTACTGAGAAACCATATTTGACTCGGACTTTTCTTGACAGGGTTTTTCTATTTTATGCAGTTTCTAAATAAAGTTCTGTATTTCAAGAGTGTCATGTCTGCTGGAGTCTCTCATACTTTCAGATATGATTAGGCAAAGCTAGAGATCGTGGTGGTTTTCGTTATGAAGCTTGCAGGACCTAGAATATCAGCTTTCATTTTCTGGTCCTACTTATATTCATTTCTAACCTAAGTAGCAGCAATGTTTAAATTTTCTTTGGAGTGTACTGGGGGAAAACATTGCTAGAGTTTTTTTTTTTTTCTCCACACAAGTGGATGAAATGTGAGTGTATTGTTGACTTCCTCCTAACGGTGTAAGAAAGGGGCTGGAGAACAGGAATGCCAGTTTATGACTAAAGTGTTTTAAAGTTGCTAAAACACTGGTTATTAGCTATAAATAACTAATAGAGGGTTGGATTAAGATGATCTTTAAGGTCCCTTCCAACCTGAGCCGTTCTGTGGTTCTATAAACAAATGATGTTAATTGCACCTGTCACCAGTCTCTAGTAGTTGACTTGTTTCCTTTGGATTATGTTTCATAAATGAGCCTAAATGTTACTCTTTCAGATGTATGAGCAGACCAGCTTCTTCAGAGAAGTGCTTATGTGATGTATCTAACCTTGGAATTGGAAGTGATCCCTGAAGGGCTTCTCTGTCATGCTGGGGAACACCCTCCTGGCCCGCCCAAGCACTCCATGGATGCCTCATTCTAAAGAATTGGCATCATTGGTATTTCAAAACTGGTGTTGGACTATGGAAGTGCAGACACAGAACAGGGTGTTTGATGCACATAAAATCTTCTTTACCATTACTTGTTTGCTTTGAGGTCAGAAGCATGCTTTTATCCGTTCCAAATACTCTGTTATTCCAGCAACTCAAAGCAAAAGATGGCAATAGCATGTGGCTGAATTTGGACGTGGCTTCTGGGGTGTCTGCGTTCTTGCAGTCCAGTTGCACACTGGAACATGGTTGCTTAAAGTCTCTTTTTAATGAGATTGCATGTTTGGGGCTATGAGGCAACCAGGTCATCGGATGGGATGCATTAGGTCAGTTTTGAACTCTGCTGTTGCAAGCAATTGCTACTAAAAGCAAGCAAATGTCCTTTTATGCTGAGAGAAAGATGAGTCAGAAAAACTGTCAGTGCGCTTTGTGAGACAATGTGTGGACCTGTTGGATGTGCATTGTGAAACTAAATTGACATTGCAGTCTTGTAAGTAAAATGTTGGTAAGATTTAAAATTGCTTAAATAAGTTCTGTGCTACTAAGATGAGTTAGAATGGGGCCAAGCTCGTGGTCAACTTAAATGACTGCATCACAGATATCTTGGCATAATCTGGTTTTAGTGTCCTTTTTGGGAAGCAAATGACAATAAAACCAACTCAAACCCATAGATTTAATATAGCTACTCTGTTACACTGGTACAGTATATGCTGTTAAATAGTAAATGCTCACCTACTGGAACAATTCAGATAGCATCCAACCTTTCTTAGCATCTTGGTTTTATCAGATATTTGAAAAATGAACAGAATGGAAGAACCAAAAGCTCACATCTCCTTTCTGTATGTCTTACTTGCAGGTGGGCTTGTGAATATTTTTTAACTCTTATTGTTCAATTTTTTCAATCTTCCTGGTTTGCAATGACAATTCTTACTGTAACTGTTAAAAGCCTTCAAATAAAGGCCAAAAACTTACTCACTGTTGTATCATATCACTATTTAGCGTGACTGTTGGAGCACTCGGTGATCTCGTAGTCTGTCTAGTCAAATGTCCATTCTCAAGAATATCCATGTTCTTCAGGAGTGGGATTTTTTCTTAAAATACCCTTCCAAGGGTAAGGCTGGAATCTACTTCTCACGAGATATTTTTAGCAAGTCAGTTTGTAAACCTAATGGAAGGCATAGAGGGGACAGTAGCATGGGCTTAGCAGCATTGCTGGGATAACTTGTGTGTCGAGAACTAAATCAAGGGTAGTGGCTTCTTGGCAAAGCATGGGTTGAGCTAAAAGACTTCATGCTTGAGTGTTAGGTCAAGTATATCTCTTTCAGAGTTGAGCCAGTATAAAATAGTGTAAACTGATTTAAGATGGAAAAAGAATGTAGCTCTAAAGTAAAACTTCCCCTTTGTAGGGCAGCAAATAAGTGGGGGTTTGGTGTCTGCAACCTCGTGAATAACTGGAAGAATGTACTAAACTATTACAGGGGCTGCAAGCTACTCAGGCTACTGGGGGGTGTAAGGGAATGCAGTAGGGAACCTGTGCGTTGTTGGCAGGACAGCTGAAGAACTTTCTGGTCTTTTGATGCAGAGAAAACAAGGAGATAAAGTTGTTGTGTATCTAGTTCTGGCTAACTGGAATATGAAACTACAGACTGTTTGGATGAGAGCGTACAGTGCCGTAGCTGGCAATGCTTAAAACACAGGGATACAACCATGGCTTTGCAGAAAAGAGATCTCTGAACTTGGTAAGAAAGAGCTCCTGGGATGAGATTTTGTGACTGGTTGTCAATTCCTTGCAGAAAGTGTATTTGGGTAGTTAATAAGCTTAGAATTAGAGGAAGGAAGTGTGCTAATGTGACTAGGGAACATTGAGGGGTATGTATGGAAGTAGAAATTAGAGAAGGTTGCATTTGTAAAAGGACCAAGGTAAATGCATGTGAATAAAATCGTGCTATGAAATCGTAGGAGAAAACTGGGAAGGAATCTGTGGGAGAACACCTTTAAGGAAAGAGTAGTGGAATATTCTGGGGTTAAAGAGGAATAATCAGTACACAAATACTGGACTGGCAGTACGTGGTTAGGAAGCAGTGCTGCAGGAGACGGGCTAGAGTTTTAATACAAGCAGTGCTCATCCAAAGAAACAAAACAAGTATTTTCTTTTTTTTTTTTGTTTTGAGTAACACCTGTTAAACTGGATGATTTGACCATCAGAAAGGAAATGGTATTTCTGAAAATACGCGTGCTTAAACCCTCATTAAGACAGACAATCTGTCTTCTAAGAAACTGTCTTTCTCTTTAGTTTTGTTCCTTCTCTATTAAACTTCAACCCGAACATTTTCTAAGGTAAAAATAAAAGTTTAGAGAAGGCAGTTCCAGCTTTGAAGGCACAAAGGCCAATCTCTGTTTAAAAAAAAAAAAATAATAAAAAATTCTTTCTCCGCACAGCTGGCTGGCTTTTTGAACTGCAGCCTTTATATACCTACTTCAGGAAAATTACATATGAAGTGTATATATAAACATGCTAAACATGTATGTATACGTCAATTAAAAATTTTTGGCTAACCTGTCAGATCTTTGGGAAACAAGACCTGATGTGGTTCTTGTTTTTCCTTCTGAGAGATGTTTTGCAGACATTTTTCTCTTGAAAGTAATTTTGTGAAATGGTTGTCTGCCAATCTTCTGATAGCGCTCTGACTCTGATCTTGTCCCCAGGGGATGCATAAGGCTGAATGGACATTCAGAAAGCATTAAATCTCACGGGGCTGCCTGGATATAAATCTCAATGTATTCAAAGCTCTGCAGGTTGATATTTATGAAGTGATAAGCGGATGAAGTTAAAAGGGAGGTGGGGGGGGACAGTGAAGGCGGGTGCATTTTCAAAACCTGAATACAAAACCATATTTCTTGGCTTTTCTCCAAAAAGGGCTTTTCTGAGAGAAGGAGGAGGGGGAAAATGGAGAGGTTTGAGACAGTTGCTGTGTGGCTCTGCAGCAGCCCTGCATAAAGGTAGAGCAGGGTGAAGAGGTGGAGCAGTCACCCTGGGGACTGTCCCCATGACCCCAGGAGCAGTGACACGTCCCACCACTACTTAGCATTACGTGAAAGTGCTTTTACAGAACAGCTGGAGAGGAACCACCTCATCCATCAGGACCAGATGGGACAAGGTTGGTGCATCCTTGACAAATAGGTCCTGAGACATTCCCCCTTTCTTGCTGTTTTCCTGCATCCTTTGTTTTTTGTTTGGGTTCTATGAAATAAGAGACCTCGCTGGTGGCTTCACAGGCAGGTTCCCAGTGGATGTGGGGGCAGATGAAATAAACAAGGGTGAGTAGCACCATGAGAAGTGACAACTTTCTCTGATACAGTGCTGAGAGATGAGACAAGCACCTGGTGGCAGATCGTTTCCTCCTTTCCCAGATAAGGCTTTTCTTTTGGAGCCTCCTCAAAGTCCCAGGCACAGCAGATCCTTACTAAATACTTGGGTGGGTAGGCAGAGCTTGGCTCTCGGTGTAACAAAGGAATGAGATCTTCCCTCTTTCTGCAGTTTTATTAAGGTTAGTTCAAGTCCTGGGGGCCTGGGAGGCTGGGTGGGGGTGATTAGCACGTGTGGGGCTTGGTGCTGCCATGGCTACCTCGATAGCATTATTTGAGCTGGCTAATCTTAAACTAGCATGGGTGTGAGCTGCAATAAAGGCATTGTCATGGGGAGCGTGTTCAGAAAGGTTATTTCCATTCATCCACGCACGTTTGCTCCTGTTTAATGATCACTTTGTCTTCAAAACCAGCACAGTGTGAATGAGCAGCCCTGGTGCAGATAAATAGAGGGCAGAAAGCCTGAAAACGTAATTCTGATGGGCTAAGTGAAAAAACTGCAGCAGGTCACTTGGTGCTTTGAAGACACTTTGGAACTTTTGATCACTGCTTTGGGTATTTTATATAACTATTTGCCCATGATATTAATAAACATATTTTAAGTTATATTTTTATAACTATAAAAATTGTGCAAAATATATTGAAATCAATGAAATCAATATTTTGTAATCTCTTCCAGCCTAATCTCCAGGAAAAGGGGATGCTTTCAGGGTCCTGAAGAGAGACAGTGGAGATGAGATTTCTTCTGTACTGGGAGTTTCCTGCAGTTCTCTCCGCTCAGAAATACGTGCATCCAGCTACCCCTACTTTTGAAACTGTTCTGAGCGTAAAATATCCAAGTTTACATAATATTTCTGCAGAGGAGACTTTATTTTCAGTGCTGAGCAAATCTATGCTTTTACTGTTTTCACTCTGCTGTTTGGGCAAACGAGCCACCAGATGCCACTGTTTCAGCTGCTGCAGCAGGGTGGCTGGACAGCCACCAACGTCAGCTGTGCCCACAAGGGCTGGGAGATCTCTGTCTTGATAACTTTGTCAGCTCCACCACAGCTATGGATTGAAGCCTGTGCTACTAAAGATGGATTAGAATTTGTTATAAAGCATTGTCTAAATTGAGTCATAACACTTGGGTTACCCTAAATGTCTCCCAGCTAGCCCTGATCTCACAGTGCTGTTATCTTCACAGTCTGCTTACACTAGCAAGAGGTGTAAGCTTGGTTAACTTGGGCGGTAAAGGTTTTGAAGCAGAGAGTTTCTTACAGCTCTAGATAATACGCCAGAACTAGTAACCTTGTAAGAGTGTTCCAGTGTCTTTGCTCTGCTCCAGGTTTTCCTCCCTTTCTGCAGGACACGGTTATCAGAATCTCTGTGCAGAATAGATGCATGCATCTCTGTGCATCTATAAATGACCAAACTCAGAAAATATTGCATACTAGACGTGTCTGGGTGCATGAAAGTTATAAACTATTTGCAAAGTTTAGACTTCCAGTAAACATATTTGTTGATTTGGAAACTTTAGAAATCTGCTGCAGGGTTCTTCTTGGGATCACCTTTAATACGGTATTTTTATAGCATGCTCTCCTTGTGATCTTTTTGCTCAGAAATGAATTATCTGATTTAGTCCAGGTTGTCAATCTGTGATGCTTATTTTTCACAGGTTTGGATATGAATGAGTTCTGCACTGCAATGAAAGAAATTATCTATAATATGAACAATAAAGACTTTGATATGTTATGAAGACTGACATTGATTGTGATGCTTCATAGCCTGGGTAATGACACTGTCCTCTGTGATGAAAGATGAGGGTTAAGGAATAGCAGTTGCAAAAGTAATTTCCTGATTTATTTAAAAGAAAAATTGAACATCATTTGTTATTGGTGGTAGGGTAGTGTTTATTTTCATAGCTATCTACTGTAATTCTCACTCTGTCAACACCACGGAACCTGAGATAATTAATTCTGCTCTTCTTTTGTTGCTGTGCAAATTAGATCAGTGTCTGTCTTGTAGGAAGAGTATCTGGACTATGTGCTACAGGAATTCAGAAGCAATGCTACCATGTTGGAAAACAAATCACACCTGCTTTCTGAGATGCCCAGCAACGTAATCCCATTGTAAGATATTTTTGAGGAGCAATCCTACATTAAGAGCTGCTTGTATTTATCTTCCACTTAATGGCTCTCCTGTGAAGCCATGAAAAATGTCTACTACTTAAGCATTCATTTTACATCAAATGGAAAACGTGAACATCTTCCCAGATGAAATTGGCTTAATAAACCAGTCCCTCATTTAAGAACAGTGTCTATTATAAGATAATAGATTTGCTGATGAATGACTCCTGGAGATGGGTTCTCTTGGGTTTAATCAGTCTGGTTTGGCTACTGTATGTAAAACTATGAATTTAGTGGATTGTGCAAGATTGTGCCTGTTACCAAGACAAACCGGGATATAAGATATTGCAGCTATTCTCCTTCATGAGGTTTAGATTTACAAAGGTGAAATGGCCTATTTAGGAAGATTAAAAGAACTGAGGTCGATCTAACCTAGAGAGAAGACTGCACTGGGGATGGAGGAAGAGACTTAAGCCTGTAAGCGTAAGGCTGTTGCAAAGAAAAGAATCTGATTTTGTCTGTGGTGAAAAAGGGCAAATTCATGGAATTAAACTTAAAGTATTCATATTTAGCAGACCTTTTTTCCTGTTCTAATACCAAAGGCCGAGCAGAATGTGACCTAGGAAGAGTGGAAAGGTTTCACAAACGTTTAGCTGAGAGGTAAAGATCCTGATTCCACTGCAGGCAGGGGTTGGGTTAGGTCCCCCTGGCCATGAGGTTCTTCTACTTTTCTTGAATCTATGACTCAAAAGACAATTGGTTCTGATTTTTTAGGGGTTGTAGAGGTCTTCACTGAGGTGAAGTACATGTGTGATGTGCTTCTTGTGTATGCTTGCCTGTTAATCTAAGCAGAATATCCTTTTTCCTGCTCCATTTCAAAGCCATCTTTCTCCTTAGCCTTACAACTTTCCATCCAGAGAGAGCTTTTGGGATGAAACCCTGGAGATCTGAAAGTTAGCAAATTTGGGTTCTCTTTTGGGTTTAATCAATCTGGTTTGACTGCTGTACGTAAACCCCTGAATTTAGTAGATTGTGCCCAGCAATGGGGAGGTTTTCTGCTCCCCCCCTCCAGGGTGCTGCGAGGTGGTGGAAGTGTGCAGGACTTGATGGTTGAAGGTGTCTGTGAAAATTGCTTTTCCTCCATATTGCTGCTGCTCTCCTGAAAAATTTTTAGGGAGCCTAAGAGGGGAAACAATCAAATTTAGTATAAGGAATATTTTAAATTGGTTTCCCAGGAGAGTCTGTTTAAACAGAAGCATCTGGTCTTGGCTCAAATTGCTGCCTGCTAAGTCAACTTCTAGATTGAGTGCAAGGTAATGAATCAGGGCTGAGCGCTGGAGAGGTGCAATTAGACCCTTGATTCCTGTTCCTTTCCATCTTGTCATTAGCGAGCTTCAAACGAACGTTCTTGTAGAGTTTTCTTGAACTTCTTAGTTTTCTCTAAAGGCTATTGCAGATGAAAAGTATCTGACTTGCAGCTCCTCTGGGGCGGAGTTCATCCTGGAGCAGAGGCGCAAGGAAGCCCTTTTGTCCCTTGGAGTGACAATGAAGGTGACAGAGCAGCAGACAGTGGCACTGGGTTTGCCCCACATTCTGGGAACTGGTTTCTTTGTAGCTTGGCTATGCTCACCAGGGAGTGCATTGGGTGCGGGTCACTGGTGTGGTGAGTCTGAGCAACGCCAGCCTGCTGGCGATAGGAGCTGTTGATAAAACCATTGATAAATTACAAAAATTACGACGGGTTCTGGGATTGTGCACACTGTCTTCACCTTGGAAGTCAAAGGACATTAATCCTTGGTTTGTGATGAGGATGCTGCCAGCGTATTTAGTACTGTGCATGCTTGTGAATCGCTGTCTGCGTGGCCGTGCATGCCTTCGGTTAGAAGCATGTGAAGACACGGTGCCACCAGCGTGTCATCAGCCCTGTGACATGGGATCTCCCCACAGATCTGGCACAGAATTCCTCGGTATCAGTGGCAACAAATGTGACGGGATCTGTTGCCTCGTTGAAGGGGACAGCTGTGCCACGGCCTTGGATTACTGGCAGGATGCTTCTCCAGGCGGGTGAATGACTTATTTACAGCAGGACTTCAGATCAGAGCTGTGCCTCCCTTCTGCAAGAGAGGGGAAAAAAACACTGCTCATGAGCTCTGGTTGCATTCCTTGGGGTGTAAAGTGATGCTCGCTGCCTGTGGGATCTCTGCTCCTAGAGATGCTGCTGCTCAGTGCCGGAGGTGGGAGCTGTCAGCACGTGGGCTCTGAGCTCCGTGCTGGCCTGGGTGGCTGCAGTGCGCAGCAGCCTCCCCGTGCCAAACCCCAGGTAATCACCAGGGTGTTCCTTGTGGGCTAATTCACGTTTTTGTTGCTTGTTCATCTTTTGCAAGAATAAGGCATTTTTATTCCTGCTACTAAAACGTATTGAGGCAAAAAGTGACGTTTGATTGTCACTTCAGGTATATATTTTTCAACCGTTTGTAACTTTCCTTTAGGCCTTCAAGCAATGTGTTTACTGGGTGTTTCTGGTAAGTGTAACCCTGCCAGGAGACCTGACACATCTCTCCCAGATCTCTGTACTTGGAAGAGACAAACCCAGACTCTTTTCTTGTGAGGCAGTGCAGTAAATTGTTGTTGTCGCTGCGTGTCTCAAAGGGGCAGTGAATCTTAGGTATAAAATTGTTCTTGAGTATTTTTATTGCTCATAAGCCACCGGCGTAACATAAATATTAATAACCGTGGGTCAGTGGCACTCCAACTTCTTTCCCTGCTTCCTTCTTCCCATATGAAACGGGAGAGGTAATTCTGCTGCTGCCTCCACACCTTGCGGTCACTGGGACCAGGTGGGTGCCCTGAGAGCTCTGCTGGCAGCCCCCTGGGGCCATCTGCTCAAAGAGCTGTGACTTCGGCATGATCCCGCTGTGCACAGCACCCTCTGCTCACTGGATTGCAGAGGGAGGAATCCCTTGGGGGGAATGTTCCTGCTCTTGTTGCAGTTAAGCTGCTCTTGTGAATTTTATGTGGTGTAAATGATGAACACCTGGTTTTCTCTTCATCCTGGACTATTATGTGTGGAAATGCTGTGTCTCCACCATTCCCTTCTGGCTTTCTGTTGTGGCGTTCTCTTTTCTCCACCTTCTGCGGCCGGTCCCCTTCTACTCCCTTCTGTTTTTTGCTTGCCCTTGGACTTGCAATTTGCCTTCTATATTCCACTTGGCTCCTTTTTTGCAGAAGCAGAAACAGGGACTAGGCTAATCCAATGCCCCTATCCCTTCTCTCCTAAAAGCAAGGCATTTGCTCAGAAACACACTGAGGCTCAAAGCACAATGTCATCACCTGAAATCTTTCTCTATTCCAGGCACTTCTGGGGAACTGGTGCCACCAGATAAAGTTCATTCCTGAGCTCAAGCTTGTTGCCTCCTGCTCAGCAGCTGATAAGAGAGACACGATGCTTACTTGGCTTCCATGAAATAACACAGGCAAACTCCAGTAAGACAGGTCTCTGTCTGTTCTGTAATTCATCCATTGCACAATGGTATCAGGCAATGCTGCTGCCATTCCAGCATTGCCTTCCCTCCAGGTAAAACCTACTAGTACCAAAACGTCAGGTTGTGGGAAATGTGAATTGCTGAGAAAATGTGGAAGAGGCTCACTTTTATTCTATTTTGTCCTGTCAATAAATGAAGCTTTTGAAAGTTGTTTTAGGTTGTGTGAGTTTAGTTCCTGTGGTGGGAGAGCAACTCAGTGACTGGGTACAGGATCAGTGCCCCTAGGAAGCGTTGCCCACTGGGGGCATCCTCTTGACTTGGAAGGGGATCACTTGGAGGCAGAGAGGATTGGGCTGAGCTGGTGTGTGCCTGTGCTGCCAGTGGGGAAGGTGCCAATGGGGAAGCCAGGCCTTTTTTTAAATTTTTTTTGGGTGGGGGGGTAAGGTAGCAGAGAGCTTGATCTCTGGCCAGAGAGGACAGGAGCCATCCAGAATGGGTATGGCTGGGCTCTCCCTGCCTGGACGAGTGGAGTGGGAAGGAGCCCAGGCAAAGGGGCAGCCGGTTTAGCAGCTGGAGGTCTCGAGTTGGGTATCTTCTTCCCGGTCGTTCATTTCCCACAATTTTTCAGTTTCTTTTCTTGGAAATATTCCTCAAGCCCCTTCCCCACCGCTTGAATTCCCCTTTTCATTTTTTCCCCCATCTCCCCTGTTTTGTTTACACTCACTGACTGTGTCTCTTTATATGCCTCTCGCTCATATGCCTGTTTCTCACTTTTTCCCTGCATTCTCCCATCCCCCTTCTCTGCTTTCATACTGCATTAAGTCTGGCAGCAATCCACCATCTCCTGAAAGCTAATGGGGTACAACAGAAAGCCCCATAGTTGCTATTTAGCATGCTGGCAATTGTCCAAACGCGTTTCTGTATCTGATGTGCTATAAAGTCGGGAGACATCTGACAACGTTTTTTTATCTACAGCTGTATGACTTATGTGATTTTCCTTGGCCTCGGTAATCGCTCTTTCCTCTCTGTTTTACCTATACAGGTTACGCTCTGTTCTTCTACAAAGCAAGCTCAATAAATGTCTGCTTGGAAACCGAGGGGCTCTGTAACCGTGGTTTTGCCTGTCCAAGCAACTCAGCAATAACAAAAGATGTGAATGTTAAATTACCACTTTCAGGGGTCTAAAATCCCAATTGCTGGCACCCGAACTTTTAAACTTCTCTGTTTTTTGTGCTGGTGGATACGATAACATTGAGTCTTCTGTGACTGTCACGACTTATCAAAATGTAGGTTTAGCTGTGTCTTACTGAAAAAAATAGATCTTTCTCTCACATGTTCTCTTGCATTTGGATAGATGTACTTGAAGGACATGATGCAGTGATTTGCTCCTCATTTGGGCTTGTTTCTTTCTAGAAAATGTAATTTCTCTGTGCTTTTAACAAACTCGCACTCTTTAAACTCAGAGTTTCTGGTTATCCCTCCTGCTGTACAGGAGTCAGTTCTGATGGTGGTGTGACATTCTGCCACTGTTTAAAAAAAAAAAAAAAAGCTGGTTTTAATACATTAAATGGTTTTAATATTTTTTCTGCTTCTGGGTGTAGCAGAAGAGGACTACCGCCAGGTGGTACTGTTGGGCTTTCGTTTGTGTTGTAAGCAGCCCAGGCTTTTGTGTACAGTTTTCACTGAAGATTTATACGGCAGGATTAACCTGGGTCATCTCTGCGGATTTTTTTTTTTTGTTTCGTTATTCACACACAAGCTTTGTATACGAAGGAATTTCGCCCTGTGAGTGGCTTGCAAATTCTTGACTACTTCCCAAATACTCAGAATTTGGCATACTGTTGATTTAATTTGTTTCTTTTGAGGCTTGCTGCTCCTGTTAATCCATATACCTGCTTCTCTTCAAACTACTTTATTTACTTATTTGTTAAAGCAACTGACCAAGCCTGGGTCATGCTGCAGGGCCAGAACTGCTCCTCAGATCCCTCCCTCACGTGCGTTTCATGGCAAAGGGATGGAGAAGGCCAGTCCAAGAGAGGCTCCTTCTAGAAATGCCTGTTCTGCTTGCAGAGCAGCTTTCTGTAGTGCAAGGAGATGACTTCTTCCCAGTAATTCCACCCTGGAATTCTCCTTCTGTGCATCGATTCTTTCAGACAGACATACAGACCTGTCCTACGCAGCCTTTGCTAGGGATCTGCAATGTGTTTCAAATGACCTGCTGTAATTTTCATGCATGGCTGTGTATTTGCACTGCTCGTACACCATCAGTGATTGCTTTAGAGAAAGGCATCCCCTGTTCTAATGGTTCCCCAGAGATGGATGTTATAGGCAAGATAGTAAAATTTTTTTTCGCCATTCTGTAGCTGAAATTATGCATGCTTACAATGTCTATTATTTCTCATACTTGCTGTTTTATTGGTAATATGGAGACTTGTGTCTTAATCAGCCAGTTGATGCTGGTCTGCATTAATGGCACAGCAGTTCTAGGAGTAGGCTAGAATTGTGACATTTGATAGAAATTTCTGAAGACTGATATATAAAGCCTATATTATGTCAGAGTCCTCTTGTAACCTTCAAAATAATTAAGTAGCATTCATGCAATTAGAAATTTTCTGCCTTTTGCTTCCTCCCCCCCCCCACCCCGATGTTTATTGCATGTTAATACAATTTTGCTGTGCTGTACTTGATAGATCACTTTGCAAACCGTTCTTGGTAGGAATGTATTGACGGACTCTTCTGTTTGTGATGCCTGTTACAGCACAGTAAGTGGCTTCTTCATGTGCATCACCTTCCCAGAGAAAGAGGGGCATTGGTGGGAGGAGAGGGACACTTCTCAATGTACCTGCAAGGAGATGATAATTTAGAAAGATTGCATGATAAAGTATTTCAGTATATGCTAGGCTTTAATAGCAGCCTCATTACTAATATAGCACTGCAGATTTCCTTAAGGCATTGTTTCCTTTCTCCTTTAAAGTTGTCACAGAGCTTCCAGTTCCAACAAACGGCATTTAGGGATCTCCTAATCCAGTTATCTTGCCACTACATTTGTCTGACAGCTATCAGATCCTGTTTTCATCAAGAGCTAGTCGTGAGTTTGTTCTTGTTTATACATTTGTGTAATGAATAGTTCTGAAGTCACAGATTATGATGAGTTGGTGCATAACTGATAAGATCTCACAGTGATGGAGTGCTCACTGTCTTCTTGAGGACAGCTTGTGAAAGCCCTAGCCTCACAATCCATCTGGGATGCAAATGCATTCCTTTAAACAGTGCCTGAAACTGTGCAAGGTGCATGTCTTTTGGTGTTGGAAAGATGAGCTCATCTTGGGAGAAATCATTGCATTTCTAATGGCGTAGGCATATCTGAGACCTGGCCATGTGCAGGTAGCTGCTCCCTCTCTCTGTGCACAATAACATTATGAACTTGCTCTGAGTGGTTCGTTTGGTTATTACAGACACAGAAATTATCCGTTGTCTGGGTCATAAATTATGCTTTTGCTTACATTAAAAAAAAAAAAAAAAAAACAACCTTGGAAAAAAGGGGGAGGGAAAAAGAAATTCTGTTTGTTTCTCATCAGTGCTAGTAATTGTCACATGGATCTGGACTTTTATGTTGTACTTCATTACTGCTCTGCAGGCTTGTCTCCCTTGAGGTTTTCCTGAACTGGGACCCTGACGAATATTTGCAGGGTGGGGTATAATGGCTTTGGAGAAGTGCCCACTAGAACCTAGTTGAAGAGTGATGGAGAAATTATCCAAATAAAAACAATATGCACGTTAACAGTACTCCAGCAGCAGAGGGGAAAAAAAAGTAGAATTAGCTGGACCATGTTTCTAAGAACTGGTTTCTAGTAGACTGGAACATGAACTAAATCTACTGACTTGCACATCATAGCATAAGCAGTTTGACTGCGGAACAAATCTTTTGCCACATTAATGGAAGAAATTTAGCAGATTAAAACTCTGACTTGCTCGCTGCTCTGATTTGCCTGCTGGTACACAAACCTCTTCCAGCTTCCAGATGGCACTGCCAGCGCCTGACCAGGATGGCTGTATGCTTTACAAATGCATAAAATGTTCTTTACCTACAGGTTTCTCAAATAAGTATTATTGTTATCATTATTATTATTATTATTATTATTATTTTTGGGTGGGTGGGGGGAGATTTCATGTACTTGGTATTCTAATGAATATTGTTTGGATGTGGAGCTGATCCTGTGCTAAGCTGATGACTTTGTCCTGTTCTCAGTGGAGCTGTTATAAGTTGTCTCTAGTGGAAACTGCATTAGCCATCCTGCCAGGCGTGTCTCTAAACGAGTCATTTGGCTTTTCCAAGTGCTTCTAGCAGTGGATGCTGCTGTGCCCTTGGTGCTTATTATTGGAGCCAACGGATTGTATTCAATGCAGCATGATGTAAGCAAGATGGTAGGAAGCATCAATAGAGGCTTTCATGGTGAAACGTGACTTGTTTTCAGTGGTCAGACATTTATAGAGGGATCAAGAGGAATTCGTGAAAAGTATGCAAAGGGAACAGAAAGTTTTTGTGCAAGCTACGAGTGAGGTTGATGAGAGGAAAACATGCTGGGTGGGCTCATACAGCTGATCTGTAATGGTGCCTCAGAGTGCTAAAGAGACTTCTGCTCCCTGCTTTTAGTTTTGCAAGGACTTGGCATCTGTGTCACTTGTAATGAAACAAAGGAGAGGAGACTGCTCAAGCAAAAGGGCATCAGCAATCATCTGTGCATTGTCTCGTAGCTTTCTTGCTTCTCTCTCTGCCTCTCTTGGTCAGCAGCACAGCTTTCTCATTTGGGCCATTTTATACCTCAGTAAAGTTGCTGTAGAGTCTGTCTTCACAAGACATTTTCTTATGCTTAATCTTGAAAGAAATAATGCCCTTCAAAAAGTGCTGTCAGAGAGTTCAAACATGCAGAATGTACTTCAGGTACAAGTGGACTGTAATGGTCTGTGGGATGTGATTTGAAGTACAGGAGCTTTGGGCATGTGATGGTGCTTCTGACATTTGCAGACAGCCCAACCAGCACAAGAAGGTGAACATTTCAAGATGTGTCCCCATTATCCCAAGAACCAGGGAGCTGCTGCTAAATCTGAAGTTTCAGTAAAAACTAAATGAGCAAAACTGTCAGGAAGATCTCGGGGATGAAGCAGCAGCTGTACAAACGGTTGGAAGTGTCAGGCCTGCTCTGCAGCCTCCCCACTGCTCAGAGGAGGGAGAGCAGGCAGTGTGCAGGTTGCTCTCTGTCCTTCCTCTCTTCTAGGTGATTTTGCTAAAGAAACATGAGAAAAACCTTGCCACAACTTTCCTGATCATCAGTTCTGAGGATGGCTGCATTTGTGCTTCATCAGTGGGTAAGGAAGGAGGGATGCTGTGTGAACCCTGAGCAGCGTGCTGTAGGCTGCAGGTGCCAGTGCTTGGGGTCCTGTTGGCTGGGCAATGCTCTCATCTCACCCACTCATTAAGGTGACTGAGCATTTCTCCATGAAGAACTAAGCTAAAGTGAACCAAACTAGCCACCTGTACTGTGTGCAGAAACATGGCCCAGCAGGGTCCTGGCCCTGCACCAGGCAATCCAAACAAGGCTGTGCTCAGCTGATGCACGCTGTGTCTGAGAGGTGTAGATTTTGGTCTAACAGTTGCTGTGAACTATTGAACCTTACAAGTTGTTTACTGTTATTGCTGTCCATTATGCCCTAAGGTATGAAAGTCCTTTTTTTTGATCACTTTCTTGGAGTTCCTTAAAGTCACCGCGACAGCTCCTACAGAAATAATTTAGGTAGTGGAGAAGATGTAAAGGTTAAGCTGACAAGAACCTCCATAAATCGTTGAGCTCATCCTCAGTGAGAATCTCGGTGAATTAATTTTATTTTCTCTGTTCAGCAGATTGTGAATGGTTGGATTTCATCCCTGGTCCCTTCAGAGCTTCTGAGCAATCAGAGGGTCATTTGAAGAGCATTTCTCACATCCTGTATATAAAAAATAAGGCCTATGGTTACTTCAGCAGCAACTGCAGAGTAGGATGGTGAGGTCCTGTCAGGGAGATGCACAGGTACAGCCACATGGGGCAGTCACCACTAATATCAGCTGGATGTTTGTGCAGTGGGACCAGATACACACCTAGGGTTTTGTTAGCTGCTGCAGCTGGTTTTGTAGGTAACTTTTGATTTTGTTACGCTCCATGTGCTCCTATCTGAAAGCATGAGAGGATGCCCAGCCTGTACCAAAGAGATTCATTCTTGGAAGCATTTCTAGTCTGTGGTCAGCTGTGGGTGAGCAGGGAGAAGGACCTGCCTCCAGGTGCAGCCCCAGCAATGCCCAGGAGCTCCTCACACAGTGCCAGCAGCAGCAGGGCTGAAACGGGGCAACTGCAGGACCAGCCCCTGGCTTGGGCAGCTCCCTGACATCCCTTACAGTAGGTTCCTACTCGTGTGTAGATCTTCAAAATAAATAAAAATAAACATTTTTTGTGTGTGTGTATGTGTGTTTAAATCCCATTGTTCCTCAAAGTGCTTCTTATCTTGATCTCTGGTTTTTCTCTCCTAAGACATTGGCCTGTTGCTTTCTGATCTGGTGCAGATGGGTCCAGCCACATTTTAGGGTCAGACTCTTAAATTTTAGAGTTATCACAGCTACAAATTAATCTCAGCCTGGCCAAAATACAATTAAAAGTGTATAAAAATAATTCAAAGGGCTTATGTGCAGGTGGAGCAGGGTCCATAGGGATGCCAAAGTGGGTGTGCATGCTGCAGCATCATTAGAGCCACCGCAGCCTTCCCCTGCCTTGCCTGGGTTTTCGGATGCCCAGTGTGGGTGTGATGGCCTCCCAGAAGCCTGTGAAAGCAGTGGGGTTCCTTGAAATAGACTATTTAAAAATGGAAACAATGGAAACAAAGCTCATAGCAACCTGCTGAGGCAGTTCTCTAAGCTGACAAACAGTGTAGGCGTGTTGCAGCCTCCTTTTTCCATGAATGAAATCTGTTGGCAGGTACAGGGCTGCTGGAAAGAGCAGGGATGTGACAGCAAGAAAAAGACTCAAAAGCTTTATTTTTATCAACGGCTGAATTATCTCCTTTGCAGTCCTCTCTCTGGCCCTGGTCTTCCTTTTTGGTCTGCCATGGCTCCATCCTCTGCCCCTGGTTGGGGAGCAGGATGGGGCCACAAGCTCTGAGAGGTGAGAGCCACGGGGGGGCTCGGTGCAATGGGAGGGAACTGGGCACACCAGCTTATGCAGGGGAGCTGCTGGTGGAGCACAAATACATCATTCATACAGGCTCAGAGTCCTTCCTCTGAACACTTGGTCCTGAAAGCCCTGGCCGGAGGGAAGTGGAGCATGTTGCTCTGCTAAAATCTGCACAATGAGAGGTAATAAGGGTGGTTGGGCAGAGCCCTGGCAGGAGGGACAGCTGAGAGGCTGATATCCCTTCTGTGGTGGCACCCTGGTTGCCAGGGATGCCTTCACGTCCACGCACATTATTTGGTAATTATGCTTAGTAGACCATGGGGGACAGTTAGGGAAGCTTAAACATGTGGCAGCTTCCACGACATCATCACCGTGAGCACCAGCGAGGCTGGGATTGAAGCTCTGGGAAGGGTTAGCACAGAGCAGTCACAAGCAGCCTCCCCAGGGCAGGGAGCAAAGAAGAGGATCCCCTCCTGCAGCAGGTGAAGCTTTGTGCTGAGGGTGATCCTGCAGGCCGCCTTTTCTCCCATGTTTTCAGCAGACTGGAGCACTGGCGGGGTCCCTGCAGAGCCAGCAGCTCCTGCTGTGCCTCAGCTCACATCATGGGGAGGTCAGTGGGTGTGCTGCGAGGTGCATGGCAGGGCAGGAGGCAGCAGCCGGCCTGTGCTCAGGCATCTTGAACTCCTGCTGCAGGAAGGTTTTGTCACCCACTCCAGCTGCTGTGGGTTGTGGCCGTGTCCCTGTTCCTTCCAAGTGGTCCCTGTGTTGTGCTGATGCTCTGGTGCAGCCTGAGAGGTTGTTTAACCTCAGCCTGGGGCCCGTTGTCAGCCCAGTTGCTGATCAGGAACCCAGGGCAGAACAGTCACTGATTATTGAGGGGGGTTCCTGCAACTGGTGCGGGCTGGAGCTGGCAGGGAGGAGGAGGAGGAAGGGCCGTGGGATGTGGTGCTACACCAGCTGCATGGGATGGATGAGTGTGAAGAGTTCATGCTGCTGACTGGAGTGTGCTTATTGCCACATTTTATTGGAAATTGGGGCTGCTGGCTTGGGCTTTGGTTTGCTGGTGCAGCCAGAGGGGTCTGAGGGGAGCTCGGCAGGGGTGTGTGTGGCTGGAGGGGCTCTAAAAAATCAGTGTAAGGCTGCCTCTGAGCATCCCAGCGTGGAGAACCGAGCACGTTTTGCTGATCGTTACAGGTGAGTGTAAAGCAATAGGGCAAGGTCCTTATTTTCGAATGTTAGCTGTGTTTATTATGAATATTGTGTACCAAATGATCTTTACTTCATTGTTTGGGGAATTGAGAGCCATAACAGCACACGGTGAAACATTGCACAGGCGAGCTTTGCGGATTGCGTTTTCCAAGGCACACCAGAGCACTTTGTTGGATGGCTGCCCTGTGATTTGCTGTCGCCAGGGCTGTGTCTCGTGGTGGATGGCAGGGGGAAGGACCTCTGGCTGCTACCCTGTGTAAGGGAGCGTTCCCTGCGCAGAGCAGTGTGTGCAAAACAGAGATTCACATTACTTACAAGTATTCTTCAAATAGCAACTCAGAATTGCCTTGGAAACCATTTCAGAGCCTGAAATTGCTGATGTGGGGTGGATTATTCTAGAGAAAAAGTGAAAAGAAGTTAGAGTATCTTAGATATTTGTGGAGTTTTCTCCTTACTTCTCTGGGTAGCCGGGTATGCTTGTCCTTCTGTCTGAACTCTTAGTGGTATGCGACCTGCAAGCTTTGCATTTATAAAAGGTAGCAAAGGGAAAACTCCGTCTGTACTGATGTGAGTGTTGCTGGCAGGGTAAGACTGAAGATGCTGAAGGTTTTAGGCTTTCTTCTATGCGGTCTGCTGATGTCACCACAAAATTCAAATGCAGAAAGCAATGTCGTCTCTCAAGAAGCATATGAGAGGGTGAGTAAAACCTCTCCAGTTTCATCCCAGCCATTCTGCACACTCTATAAGCATTTCTGTGTCTGTTTCCTCAGTGCTGTCTGTATGTTCTATTAAAGCCCTCAGTCATTCAAAATGCCTTCTGTTTTGGAAAACTAAGCTAGCCTTGTCTGTAGCCTCCCACCTCCTGAGCCCTGCTGAGTTTTGAAAGCCTCAGTTTTTCCATCTCTCCCCCAGTATCAGCTATTTTTGAGCTGGAGTCCACTTGAATTAAACCCAGAAACGTCTCCCTCCACCCCTAATAAACCAAGAAAGCTCTTTGCTCCCTTGAGTGCACCTGCATGCTTCTGGGCATCTAACTTCTACTGCAAGCAGCTTCTGCTGAACGTGCAGCACCTGCACAGTGCTTCATTGGGATGCTGCCCCCTGTGAGGGGCGAAGTGAGAAAATGACAGCTCAGATGCTCTTCCTACAGTTAGAGGTCAGCATCCAGGGCGCTAGCCTCATAATGGCAGCACCTTTCTTTACAGCTTGTGGAGATTCAAGGAATAGCCTTTGAAATGAGCAAATTCACATCTGCAGACTTAAAGGTAGACTCAGCACCGATCAAAGGGTTTGACAAACAGAATGAAGGCTTCTGCACGATTCTTTGTCCTGAGAGGCCCAACTGTAGACTAGGCAGTGTAAGAATTATAGCAACAACGGTGGCTGCAGGAGGAACATGGGTGGTAACTAAAGGTGTGTGAAGTACACCCATTGCAGCCTGCCTACAGCATCAACAGGGTAACTGAGGGGGAGAGAGGCTTTTGCAAATTACTTTAAGCTGAGGCCCACTCTACAAGGGATTATCTGAAGAGAAATGACAAGACAGAATGACACCAAAAGCATTCTTTTTTTGTCTATTGTTTGACAAGAAAAGATGCAGGCTTGGACCTTGCAGAAGCCAGCCTCACTTTTCTCCATCCTCTCTCTGCATTTCACTTCCTGCCAGGCCTATTTAAGGACAGTTCCTCCTCCTATTCTGCGCATTTAACTGTTTTTTTTTTTTTTTTTTTTTTTTTTTTTTTGTATTATTGTTCATGTTTGTAAAAGCGTATAAAGAGATCTGCAGGAGATGCTTTGCTAGATACTCTGATACTAAATTCATCTTTTCATTTTTTCTTGTCTCATTTCACAGGTTGTACATCATGGATCTTACAATTCTTCCTGTAAAGTGCATCCCTGGAGTTGGGGTCAAGGTGTTTTTCCCTGCTCTTCTCGGTATCTTTGGTACTTAGTGAGTGTTGGCTGTGAAGGCTCTTGTGGAGTGTGAATTTCTTTGAGCAGCATATGAAAAGTATAATGGAGACTTCTGCGTGGGCAAAAGGAGAGAGGGAGAAGGAATGAATTTTTTTCTAAAGAAACGTTGCAGAAATACAACATTATTCCCAGGTTCCTTGTAGAAATCTGTGCAGAGTCCCCAAACATGGTAGATGATGAAGGGCCAAGAAGGCTTCCCAAGGATGCTGGACACTGTTATCACCATGCAGCTGTGTGCCAGACTCTCAGAAGCTCCCGGACTCCTGGTGTGTGCACTAGCAAAGAGGCAGTGCTCGGTAGGTGTGCTCAGTGTGGCTTTGTCTGCTGAGGTTTGCATTGCTTCCTCTTCACACGAGAGGAACGCGGTGCATTTGCTTGCTAAGACTGCCCTCTCCTGAGGCAGCAGCTCGGAGGCAGCACTTAAAAACATGAAACTGGGTTCAAATCATCTCCTGATGATCAGCACTCTCATTTTTCTCACTGCTTTTGTCTGACAATGGTTTGTTTTGTTTCATAACAGTTTCATTTTGTCTGCAGCAATATTGACGTAAGCATAGAAGCCACAATAAGAAACAGCATCCTGTTTGAGTTAAAAAACAAACAAACAAACCAAAACAACCAAACAAAAACTCAACAAGGCACAGCTCATTTCTGATTATGTTCCCTAGAACCATATGAGAGAGAGAAAAATGAGAGCTTTTCTCACTCGGCTCCTCCAGGTGTAGGCAGGGAGTGTGTATTTTGTGAGTCTTTTTTACAAAGCCACTCTGCTGAAGCAGAGCAGAACCACGTTTTTCTCTTCCTGACCATGAGTGGAGATGTCGGCTCTCCAGGGCTGCAGCAAATGGCTCCCTGCAGGAGCAGGGAGTGAACAGTAGCTTCGTTACCCCTTCAAGCCTTCTGAGCAGTGTGCACCATCCTTCCGTGACCCATCTCCGCAGGAGGAGATCAGCTGCTCAGTTCTGCAGTGCTAACGAATAATGGCATCTCTGAAACGATGTGTGACAGCACGGGGGGATTCTGCCACCTCTAAAGGGAAAAGCAATCCAGACCTGTTTTTTCCCTGACTTATGCTTAGATCTCTGTGCCTGGAATGGAATAACTTTCTCTTGTGTTTCAGACAGCTAAAATACTTTCAAGTTGCTTTTCCATTGGATGTAGGAGATTGCTGCACCATGTAAGTTGTAAGTGATGCTCCTGAGATACAGAGAGGGTCTGTATCTCAAGATGTGTGCAGTTTGTAAAGTATTTTATTTTTGGAGAAGCTATGTTGATTGGGAGTTGAGCCTGCTCTTTTAAATTAGACTGAGGCATTCTTAAAAAAAAAAAAAAGTATCTCATATATACCAAGCAGACTTGTTCTGACACCTCGTTAAGTTAATTTAGGTGGTTTAATACAGTTCGGCAGCAGCTTAAAATCACAGTCTTCCATCTGATCTGATACATTGATTATACTGGTGTTTTGTTTGTAAACCTCCTTCTGTTTCTGTGCAGCTGTAATTGCATTCGAGAAAGGGAAAATTATATATGTGCCCAAACCACCCAAAGTGCATAATTGCTCTGCTGAAATACCTCTAGAGGTAAGTGCAAGCTGAGATCATTACTGAGACTGAAGTTTCTCAACTCTTTTTTCTTGGTGGTTTCTGGGCTGTTTTGGAGCTTCTTCCTCCTGCAACACGAATCAGGAACAACTGGCAGAAACACTGCTGTGCCATTCAGCTGCCAGGATCCACTTGGATTCATGGAGAATGGCTCTGCTGCTCTTACTGGCATCATTTCCTCGTTGAGATCTATGTAATTACAGGCTTTCTCCGACAGTAAATGTGTGGTACCATCTTTGTTTTCAGACAATATGAGGCCAGCAATGGGAAGAGGATTCCCCTTCCATCTCTGCCAGCCAGCCCTGAGGTGATGCCGGCAACGAAAGGCACAACCGAAACCACTGGGGAGAAAACATTTACCAGTATTCTCTCCTGAGTGGTCTCTGGGAGACCTGAGACCACCCCTTTCACCCACGATACAGTGAGTGCGGTGACTGCACAGGCTGCTTGGCTTTCCGTTGTGTGTCTCTTGCCACAGGATTTTGGACCAGTGCAGCAAGCTGCTAAGTACCTGCTTCTGCCTCCTGGTTTTATTGGGCCAGCAGCATTCCAGTGCTTATTGCTTCTTCATTAAACTTGTGTTTCCAGGCACTAAATTATTTGCATAAAGTCTCTGATTTTCTGGAGTTGCAGCTTTGAACACCTGTGCAGCTGCTGCAGAGTTCAGGGAGTGTATTGCAAAGCTATCCATTCTAATTTAGGTTTCTATATATTCCTCAATTGCCTTGAAAGGGCTTGGAAGCAGCTGCTGAAAAGCCATAGAAAACCTGATTGAGGAAGAAAAACAGACTTGGTTGTATAATAAACACACAGGCTCCTTCCATCCCCACTGATAAGAACAAAAAGCACTGCACTGGGGGGGTTGGTTGGGTACTGGTGGGACGTGGTGGCGGTCCTGTTACCAGCATGTCCCCAAAAGCTCCACAGTGGCTGTGGGAAGCGGTGTCTCCCCACCCTGCCCCTCAGAGAGGAGGCAGCCTGTGTGCAAATCTTTAATCTTTGAGACAAGCTGGCAGTGACAGCTGACGTTTGGCTTGATGTCAAACAGCTCACAGAGGCTCACGCTGCAGAGATGGCCCTCAGCGATGCCGCTGTGTCTGAGGTGAGCCCAGCTTAAATCCATGGGGGTCGTTTCCCTGCTGCATCCCAAACCTCATCATTTAACCTACTGCCAAGCAGACCTCGATTCCCCCAGCACCAATTCCTCTGGGGCTGGCATGGGGGACAAACCCGTGGCAATGCCATGTGATGCCCAAACAGCTTCCACACTGGCAGTGAGGTGCAAAACCTTCCAGTAGAGATCCGCTTCCTACTCGATGACAAGGCGTAGGATTTCAGCAACGCATTCTTTTGGTTTTCTTGTGAAGTCGTTTCTGCTTTTCAGATCAAACTTCAAGAACCCTTGAGAGCTTTTGTTCTGGAAGTTATAATAAATGAAATCAATTCTAAGTCCACAGGGACGTTTTCTTCCCTGATGTCTTGTTAGTCAAATCCAAAGTATATAAGCCAAGAGTAGTGTGTGTTTTTTTTTCCCCTCTCCTTTCTGTTTGATTTATTTATTTATTTTTGTTTGTTTGTTTGTTTTTCCCACTGGAGCAATTTAAGAGTCTGTTCTTCCCTGAATCAATTGCATATTCTACACGTGTTAATTCATAAAAGGCAAGCTGGGTCTTAGGAATCTTGTATATAAACAACCATGAGCCTGGGTCTTAGACTATGATGTTTATATGCTAAAGCAATGTGTATATATATTGCTACAAAGCTGTAGGTGTCTGGGGGACTGAACAGTAAAATCCAAAAGTCCTAATGCGTGTTTCTGCATACACCTGACTTAGGTTTGTTTATCTCCAGATGCACGCACCAAATCCATCTGTTCCTTCACATCGTAATAAAATAATTATAGTAAAAATCAAGCAAAGGCTGCATGTTGGCACTGGAGAAGTTTTCCTGTATTGTAAATGAACTTAATCTTTCACAAATACAAAATAATTTTTTTTTAAATATCTGTGCTAAACCTTTCAGGTACTTCTCTTTGCCCCTCATCCTGGCTCTGGGCAAACCTCAATGAGGAGATCAGGCAGGCCAAGTGTGATCTCTGTGGTGTTTTATTCAGCGTGCCCAAAGCTGGAAAAATCACAGTGCTGAGGATGCCAGGGCTGGCACCCCATACAGGTGAGCCCCCTGGGATACAGGGCAAGTCTCCTGTCCCACTGGTGCCTTCCCTACCAGCTATGAGTGTGCAGAGGCTTTTCTGACCACCTTGCCTTTTGGGATACCTTTCCAGGGGAAATTGTGCAGAGCCCAATACCTCTGAGGAGGGTCTCCTGCCCTAAGCTGCTGCTGGCCCCCTGTGTTTGCTGCCAGCAGGATTTGTGGGCAGGTGCTGCTGTCCTCGGACGTGTCCTGCATGTTGCAGGCCAGGACCGTGCCTCGGGGGAGCCTCTCCTGGCTGATTTTGCCTCTGCACAGTGCGTGTGCCCCAGCGTGAGCTCTGCCACTTGTGCGAGGACCTAGAATTAAACAGGACCACACCCCTCCAAGGCTAGAAACAGTGTTTTGGAAATACCCATTTCCTGAGGGCTTTAAATCAAATTCTGGCTAGACATAGCTGCTCTGATTTAAGGCTTGCCTGGGTGTATCAGGACAAGGTGGATCCATCCTGGTTGTGCTCTGACACAGCCACCTGCCCAGGCTAGACAGCACCAGCCAGACTCAGAAGTGTTTACTTGCATTTACGTGGGCCTTGAAAGGTTTCTTAAATTCCGTGAAGTTAATACAATGGAAAATGGATTTTTTCTGCCCACCTAAGCAAGCCTTTAGTGATTAATGCTGTAAAGTAAAAACAACAGCAACAAATTCAGTTTTACAATGTGCTGTGTATTCCAGGTCTATGAGGAATGCTTGCTTTGTAAAACAATTTTTTCCTCCTCCCAATGCACTTTCAAAAAATATTTTATTTCCATAAAATCCCCTTGTCTCCATAAGCTGTGTGTTGATACTAATAGGATGCATAGCTTCATAATTCTTTGTCTCTTCTTGCGCTGGTATAAGGCTAAGCCCTATCACAGAGCAGATATGTTTTACTAGCAAAGACACTTAGCAGAAGAGAGGGTTCACCCTTTGTTTGCAAAATTAGTTGAGAATTTTTCATCTGTTCATCTCCTAGTCCTGCATTGTGTGCCGTAACTACAGCACAAAAAAGAAAATCTGCTGTACAGGATGAGTCGCTTGCTGTCGTGTCTCTGATGCTGAACAGAAGAGAGGCCGTCATGAATATATTTTAATTAATGTGATTATTTATTCTAAATCTTTGATTATTTTAATTGGGGGAGTGGAGGGGGGGGAGATCCTGCATCTGCATATGAGTTACAGATATAGAAATAAGGAGATACAGATAAGAAATACGGAGGATCTAAACAGTCTCTGTGTTAAAAGAATGCATTCTACTTAGTGCTGCTTTTCCAAATCAGTGTCATCTTTGGTGATGTGCTTTGGGAAAGTCTGGAACATTAATTATTGCTCTTGCTTTCTGTTAGTTGCTGGGAATAGATGCCTACACTTTACCAGCACTTTCCTTGTGGTCTTTTCTTCCCAGCAGCAGGTTCATAGCTGCAACACCTCCCCGTCCATCTTGCTGGGTGGGAAGGAAGAATCCCAGCTTGGCCCACCCTGTGCTGACCCCGTGGCTCTCTGGCTCGTGGTCTGTGCTCGGCGTGGATCCTGGCTGGCACACTTGACTCAGTGCAATGTGAGTCAGCTTTCGGGATCTCATCCCTTGTTGCCGGGGCTAAATGCACGACTAAAGGTTTTATTTGAATGAGAAATTTCAGAGGGCCTGCTCCCAGCCACAGCAAAGCACGCCGCTACTTGGAAATAAAGGTACTGCTGTGAGTCAGGATATCCTTCCTGCTCGTGAAGCTATCCAGAAACCGCAGATACGGATTATATGACTTGAATGCTATGCTATTTATGATGTGTGTTCAGTCACCTAAATCACATTGGCACTGTTTGAGCTTTGCCTGGATAATTGATTCAAATGTAAATTGAATGAATAAATCCTTTACAGCTAAAATATGCTCCCTTTTTATCTTGATTCTTTTTCTTCTTTCTGTTGAATGGCATAGAAAATAGGTAGTTATAATCTCATAAATAGATTTTTGACTACTTTTCTAGGAGGGCAGGTAAAATGAGGTCTGTATGATCTATTTTGAAATGCTTTACTCTTTTGTTTATCGAATTGCTAACTTGCTTATAACTTGGCGTCTGTACTTCTGGTCAATAATCTGCTTGTGCAATGTTTGCGCTGCTCTTCAATGGCAAGGCCAGGTGGTTATTTATTTCTCTAAGTGCATATTAGTCAAGGGCAAAGTATCGGAGAAATCTCTTTATTTTTGCCATGGAGTGGAATATTGTTGTGAAATGCGTGCCCTGCTGGCATCAAAGGTTTATTTGGCTTGGGAATCTACACAGAGGGACTTGAACTGGCATCAGCACAAGCCTTTGTGAGTGTTTTGTGAAAGTTTTAAGCTATTTTTTTTTCTGTAAGGCTTCACTGATGTTGCGTTAGAGACAGGGCTAACGTTAACTACAAGCCAACAAAAGAATGTCGTTTAAGCTTCTCTCCCAGCCTGGTTATATTTAATCAGCAATTCCACAGATGGTAATTCTTGGAGCCAGTGTCTTTTCAATGAAGTCCAGTGGGCCCCTCACTCTCTTATCCCCAGCATTTCAATGATGGCATTTCTACTCCCAGATCAAGCATTTAGCTAGAGAGCAGAACCAGGCGCTTGGCATTCCTTGGGCTATAAATATTTGGGCATTTTTTTCATGTCTCGGGGCAGGAATCCCAGTGCTGTGTAGCATCCCTGTGCCCAGCTGGGCACTCGCTGCCTTGCCGGGGTTTCACTCTGCACTTGTCAGCTCTTCCTTTTGCTCTGGTCCCCACGTCAGGTATTAAAAGGATTAAAATGCCTAGGATGGATCATCTCTGCCTGTACAAGACTCGATTCCTGCTGACAGCTATCACTCACAGGCCCTTCAGAGGAAGGTACCAGCACTCTGCAGCTCAGGTGGATAAGCCACTGCCTGCCCTCGCCTTTCTGGGCTCGGGAAGCCTCTGGGAGCAGGAGGCTGGTGTGGAGGTGGAGCCCATCGCACTACCCTTGAAACGTGCTGCCGGTCACTGTGTGCTTCTGTCCTCTGTGTCTGTGTAAATGTCCAGGCTGCTTTTGAATCTAATTAGCTTCTTGGCTTCGGAGATGTCCTTTGGCAGAGTATCCCGTATTTGAATCACCCATGTGGAAACGCATTTCCTCCTGCCAATTCTCTAAAAGCCCCAAATCCCTGCTTTAGCTGTTTGTGCCGCAATCCTGTTTGCTGGAGGTGTTTTTTGTGTGTGATTTCTTTTTCTGAATTTTACTTCCGTCTCTTCTTCCCTCTCTCCTTTGGTGCCAGGCACTGTTTGCTCTGGGGGAACTGGTGCAGCAGCCCAGTGTACTGGGGGTGAGAGTGCCCTGTCCCCCGTGTGACCGTGCTGCTGGGAGAGCTGCTGCTACCGCTTCCTAAAGCAGAGCAAGGTTCATTGGTGCCCTCCACCCTGTCCTTGCCTTCCATCCACCGGTGTACCGGAGGCCTTCAAACCCCCTGGCTTCTTCTTGCTGGACTGAAAGGGACTGATTTGCTTCTGTGTTTGTATAACAGAGGCTTGTTTGTGCCTTGTATCATCACAGCCAGATGTTGAGTATCAATATTTATAGGCTTTGCTATACAGCTTCTTGTGTGTATGTTTATGGGGGAAAAATTGCAGATAAAATGGTTCATGCCCAAACTTGCTACTGTCCAGAAACTGAATTTCTCTCTTCCTATCTCTGCACTGAGCCAGTTATGAATAGGAGATTTTGTGACTGGCTTCAGAGCCTGGCTCTGGCTATTTAGAAAACATCCATTCAATAAATCATATGGGGAGCAGCTGCCGCTCTCTGCTGAGCCAAGACACATCAGATAAAATATTGCTCATTTATTTGGTTTGGTAGAAATAAAGTTGCTGTAGTGGAACATCATTACAGGCTGTTCTTAATTCACCTCAGGGCTATTTCTAATAGCAGCACACAATTCTCCTGTGATAGTGTGAGTGAATGAGATGGGTGTTTTGATGTCAAGCTGAATGTAAGAAAGGTTTTAGGAATCAAAGCTCTGAAAAAGAAATAACTACTGTTTGTGCTCTGATACTGGAAGAGGTCCCTGTTTTATTATTAACACTATAGCTATTGAAAGTCCTGACACTTGCTCCTTGGAGATTTGAAGCAATTCAATACATGAAATACCGTTTCAGCTCAGCCTTTTACAAGTCACTGTGTTTTGGTAAAGCCGAAGGTGGCCTTGATAGCTAATGGAGACACCCAGGGCTGGCATTAAGTTAATAACGCCTGATTTTCAGCTGTGTGGCAACCAGAAAGTCTGCTTCTGCCCAGCTCTTGGGTTACAGCTGCCAGCTGCTTTCATCCAAGGAAAATGGTTTATGAAAGGCTGTCCAAAGCATTTGAATGTAGGCTCACTGCTTTGCATAAATGTCATCAGCATAATATCCAGCAACGGGGCCATGGTGTCTGCAGACGTGTTGCCCACTGATCTGACAAGATGCTAGAGGCTGTTACTTAAAAAAACTAAAAGTGAAGGGGTAGGAAGACAACGGAGAGTGTTGCAATGTAGGGTTGGGTGCACATTTTCTTTGACAAGGAACAGGCATCTAATCAGGATCCTGCTTTTCTCCTTGGAAAATTGGTCTTCAAAATGTCTTGTCTTGTCTCCCCTTTGCGTCATTGCTTGGCTAAAACAAGTGAGAATTGTGTGGATCTGAAGACATTACCATATCGCAGGCAAGACAGACAACTGCTGTGATTTTGTTTGTGTTAGATCTTTAAATGTCCAATCACCTGTGTGAGACACTGGCATTTTATGCTCATTTTGGGTGTGCTGTGCTGCGGCAGAGAGCCATGTATTCTGCTTTTCCACAGAGGCGTTTCTTTGCCCTTGCTTGTCTTAATTATTCTCTATAAAATCGAGGTAACTGGCGGAAAACGTATGGTTGCTCCAGCTTACGGAAAAGCAGCTCGTGTTGCTGAGAGCGATAAAGCTCACAATGCAACAGAAGCGCCTGGATTCCTCACTGCTGAATTGCATTTTCGTTGACAAAACAGATGCTCTTTGTTGGAGCTGAGGTACAGGCACTGCCCTCGCTGCCGGCGTGATTTAGTGGAGGCAGTGCTGTGACCCTGAAGCCCTGCGTATTTAATCACGAGCCTCTTAAGCGTTGGCTCTGAAGGGTGCAGTGGCGCAGGCACGCAGAGAACTCGGGGCGAGTGACAAGATGCTTGTGGTTCCTGGGCAGAAATGAGCAGCAGGCGAAAATGATTTATAATTTGCTGGTCTTATCGGAGTCCGAGCATGAACAGCATTGCTATGTTTTCCATGCAGCAATACTGCTGATGGCTGTGGTCATATTAAACATGCTCCCTCTCCTGACAGCCCAGATAGCCTCTACTTAACAATAACTTCTGCTGCAAAAGGAAAAAGTGTATGCTGAAATAGCAAAGATCGGGGAGCAGAGCTCTCTTGCTAACTGCTAGAGATGACCTTGATTCTGTGTGTGAGGGCTGCGAAGTATCATAATTCAATGAGAGTATTTATTCTGAGCTATGCTGCACAAGCTGAAAGAATCTCAGGACCTCATTTTTGTTTGAATAATTTTATATGGCAAATAGGGGAGTCAGATTTTTTTTTTTTCATTCAGGCACTCTGCTCCAAGTGAACCTCCAGAGTGCTCATCTCCTGTACATAAAAGTTTCCCAAAATACTGGTGATGAAGCTGTTTAGTTCAGCTCTATTTCCACGGTATCGGTGACTTTGTTAAACAGAAGTTCCCTGCAGACGGCTGTTGCTTTGATGCTAGTTGGTGTACGGCACATTAAAAAATCCTTAACTTGGTTTCTAAAGTCTCACTAAAAACCCTACTGGGACTTTGATGTTGAGAAGATTCCACTCAAAGTACCCAAACTCTCTGAAGCTCACCCGGCCTTATCTCGGAGGCAGACCAGCAAGTGGTTGCCTCAGGCAATAAAACACCAGTGGCAGCAAAAACCTATAGTGATTATTTATGGTCTGAGCATCTGCAGTCAGGAGAGGCTGCTGGAAATTACCAGAGCCTGGCGATGCCTTGAAGAATCCAGTTCTTTGTTTTGGAGACAATATTAACTGCTGCATGTTGTGGTTCAGCCATTTCATTCTCTAGTCCAGCTGAAATGTCTCAGCAGAGCACTGCGCAATTTCACTCACAAATTCCAGTCGGAAGCTTTGGTGCCCCCAAAGTTTAAAAAGGGTCTCTTTTGCTAAACGATGGCGTGCTAAAAGCAACCGTGGAACCCTATTAAGGTTTTAATTAGACAGCGGCACGCTTTTAACCACAGCACCTTTCTCACTGCCGTGCAGCTGAGCAGCACGGAGCTGCCACTCGGTGCCGTGGGGCTGCTCATGTGCAGCTGGCAGGATGCGGCCGCGCGTCCCTGCAGGTAGGAGCACGGTGCCCCGGCTGCGGGGCTCGTTAGTGGCTGGTGTTATTGCAGCAGTCTGTGCTGCTCCAGCACTACCCAAGTCTTGCTGTTACTATGAGAGTGAGTGAAATTGGCCTGGAACCAAATTTATTTTTTTTTAACTTCACTCAACAGTGTGAAATAAGAAGGCCTGGTGTGTGCCTCGCTCCCATGTGCTGTATTTATTTTCTAGGGCGATACTCAGTTCTTTGCAATGTCAGATACTGCATCAAATTATTTTTCGGAGTTAAGGGGGAATTAAATGTTCTCCTTTTTTTTTTGCCTATATTGCGTTTTTGTGCACAGGAATCAATTTGACCCTACTGTGAGTTGTTTTAAGAGCACTATCTTGTGCGTGCCTTTGAAATAATTTTCTGCATACCACTGCCAACCACCTCCCGTCCAGTTCCAGCTCTCACAGGGTGGACATCAGGGCCTTGGGCTCCCCGCCGTGGCTCCACACTGAGCCCTTGTACTCGTGGTTTGGGTTGGAAGGGACCTTAAAGACCATCTAATTCCAACCCCCTGCCATGGGCAGGGACCCCTCCCACCAGACCAGGTTGCTCAAAGCCCCATCCAGCCTGGCCTTGGAGACTGCCAGGGATGGGGCACCCACAGATCCTCTGGGCAGCTTCCACCAGGGCCTCAGCACCCCCTGAGGGAAGACTTCCCTCCTCTGCGCCTCCTTGTTGCCTCCTTTCAGTCCTGAGCAGGTGTTGTGAGGCTTCTGCCCTGTGAAGGACCCATGAACCAAGTGACACTGGCCTGACTATGCAAGGAAATATCATGCAAATTCAACCTCAGCCTTACTCAGGTAATTAACTCATCAGCAAGGCTCAGCACCAGGTTTGTTTAACATAAACTGGCTTTCCTGTCTCAGCAGCTTCTTTACAGCACTTGCTGTCTCCCTAGAAATAGGCATTTATTTACATACCACTGACTCCAAGCACTTGATTAGTGGTAGGGGCTGTAATTTATCCCCAGAGGAATGTCTGGACAAAGTGTGGTGCTAATTCTGCCAACTGTGCCGAAGATGTGTCCAAACCCACCATGTCAAGTCTCTGTTAAAGCTGAGAATAAGACAGAAAGCCTGAAGTCCTTACTTACAGAAGATAAGTGAGTGTAATATAAGGCTGCTGCTAATTCTTCCCCAGGATTAATAGGGACCATCAAGGACAAATTCTCTCAATATTGCTTTTCTTTTTGTAAACTGAAGCTTCCCCAAACCTGAGGCGAGATAGAAACATGACTTTGTGTCTGTGGTGCTCTCTTTCAGTCAAATGGAAATAGCTGTCTTTATTTAAAAACTCTCTTGGCACCACAGCGCTGACACTTTCTGAGAGAATGGAACGGACAGAAATCCATTTTCCAGGCTGGAAGGAAAGCAAAAAAATAAATTGGAAGAATGAAGAGTGAGGAGGAATTGAGGTGTCCTCAATGCTCGCAGCGTGAGTGATTGGAAGTGATGGTGGGAAGGCAGGTAAGTGTTCGTTTGTTTAAAATATAGGACTAGATTTGGCTTTAAGACGCGCTGCATCACTGAGAAAGCTGTGCTGCAGTGCTTCTGCTGGGGCCTATGGGCACGGGCAGCTCCCGTGTGTGCTCTCTGCTGGGGAGCCCTGCCCGTGGCCACGCTCATCCTGCATGGGGCTGGGTGGAAAAGGGTGCCCAGGAGGAGCCTGCGGATGCCAGCCCTGAGGACGTTGAGATGTGAGATGTCTGCCTGGAAAGGTGCTGAGGGCAGCACGTAGGCTTCAGTGTGGTCTCCTCTGGTGATGGACACTGCCAAAAAATTTTTCAAGACTTGGTGAAATAAGGCCAGCCGTGGGTGGTGTCGGTAGCTGGGGAGGGCTCAGCTGGAGTGAGCTTGGTGCTGCCTGGCGCAGCAGCCGGGCTCTGCAGGGTGGCTGTGCTCAGGGCCTCTTTGTGGATTTTTCTCCCTGGTGGGGCCTGATTTGCCCCACGGGTCCTTTGGGAGGTGTTGCTGTCAGCAAGGCACTGTGGGGCTCTGATGCCTCGTTAGGGCCTGAATGTGTGGCTGCAAAGCTGCCCATAACGCTCTGCCCCCGTCAGTGCGCTGCAGCTCGTCACGTAGCACCTGGCTAATGAAGCTTGTCCCTTTTTGGTGGCTGATAACGTTCAGCCTATTTTCCTTTGGTTCACATCTTGGAAGAAGAAAGTTTCCTGTCTATAAAATTCCCGGAGACGTTGTTTTGATGTTATCTCATCTCGGTGTTTTTGCCGTGTGCCCTGCTGCTCGTGCTTAGCCTCGTGGGTGCACCCAGACATTGGTGCTGCTGCTCTCGCTCCTGGCAGGCAGCTCCCAGAGCTGCTGCCCGTCAGGCTCCCTTTTTTTTCTCCTGCCATACTCTCTGCATAGTCCTTCCCCAGGATTGTTTCTGTTTCTCGAGTTCCACACGTAGGAAACTGCAAGGGTGAGTGATCAGACATGAGTGGATCTGGAAAGGATGCTTCTGACGTCTGCCCACGCATGATGTGCCCCAAGCCCCCCGTGCAGGCACTAAGCAGGGGATTGCTGCCTGTCCTGGGTCAGCGTGAGCCCAGGATTGATCTGGCAAGGCTCAGTGCCTTGTGAAGAGTGATTGGTATTAATTAGGCTGCTCTGCTCCTGTGGAGTGCCGACAATAGGAGCTGCTAAACCAAGTGTGAATCTGGCTGCGGGGCTCTGGCAGTCCTGGGCTGGAGTCCCGTCCCCTGACTGGAGGCGCCCGATCCCCTCTGCTTATACCAGGTCTCTCCAGCTCCTTTCCAGGAGTTTTCAGTTCCTGTTCTGCCAGATCTCATTGCTAGAAATTAGCTTTTGAGCCTGCCTTTAGGAGGATCAATTCATCTCAAACCAAGCAAGAAAAGAGATGAGCTTAAAAAGACAGAAGATGTCCTGTCATCCAGAATGTTTCGCTAACGCAGCTGTCCTGGTTAGAGTAATCCCGTGCATTACACCGCATTGGGGAGCTCACGGAGAGGTTGTCTCCTGCTGTTCCTCTGAGCAATTTCATAAATAGGATTGGGGAAAAAAAAAATCCACTGTGCAAGGCTGCTTGCAATGAGGCAGAGTGAATAAAGCATCAAATAACATTTCTGCATGAGTTCTTTTCCTGGTTTCTGGACTGAACTGCCACTGACCGTTGCACTGGCCAAGGTGGTGGGCCTGCAGGATTGCCATCACTGCTGTATTCCCCTGTAAAAGTGAAAGCTGGGGAGAATGATTCCTATAGGTGAACTTCAGCGATTCTGAAACCAGGCTGGAAATTCACAGCCTGGGTGCAGTCAGCGTTTAAAACTTTTTTTTTTTTTTTCCTATTCCTTTCCCAGACTTTGTTCTAGCAGCCTAATTCAGATTGTTTGCTGTGTCATTTTCCTACCTTAGTGCTTTCTTCCTTTCTGCAGCGCTGTTCTCTTTAGCTGGCTGCTTTATTTTGTTGACATCAGAGAAGTTATTTTCCATTGACCTTTGAACTGAGCGATTTCATTAATGCTCAGAGCATCCATTTGGAAGCAGCCGCTCACTGGGAAGTGTCCCTGCAAGAGAACAGGTTGAACACTTGTTCAAGGCAGCTCTGTCATGGGGTGTAACTCTTGTTACCAGATTTTGTTTTTTCACCTCAAGAGAGAGGACTCATTTTATGTGTGTTCTTAATAAGGACTTTCTATTTGCCTGTTAAAGGAGTTTTATGGGCTGAGGTCACTCTTTCTTTTTATTCACCACATAACAATAAAGAAAGTTTGTGTTCCTTGTAGCCTGTAAACCTCTAGAATGCATCAAAAACATCACTTTGTCATAAAAATGTGGTAGTGTTTTTCAAACTGTGGTGGAAAAATTCTGTTTTTTTTTTTTTTTTTTTTTTTTAATGTTGCTCAACGTTTTTATTTTGAGACACGTTTGCAGTTCTCTCGATTTCTCCTTAAGCATCTGTGGCTCTTAATGCTAGAGAAAACAATATCAGCAAATTTAATCACATTTAATAAAAAATATTTGTTTAATATCACTCTGCTGAAGTACCTGCTGCTGTTTAAGCTGCTGCCTTTGAGATGCACACTCGGGGCAGACCTGAATGCCGGAGGCTTCCCATCTCTCCATTTTGGATGTTAGATTTTCCATAAGTTACCCAACATTTGTGTTGTGATAATCTCTTTTAGCATTTCTTGCAATGCTTCATTTTAATATATATTCCCTTGTCGCTGCATATCTGAACTCAGCCTTCCTCTAAGTGATATCTAAATCACTGCTGCAAGGAAAGAATGAAATATAGGTAAGTGTGAGAGAAGCAAGGGATGTGACTGAACAAGAAAAACTTGCACAGCAAGAAGGAATATCAGCGGCTGCTCTAAAATGTACTGCTTCACTTACAGCTTGTGCTCGCTGCTGGTGCCACAATGTGTGTGTGTCAGACAGGATGGCAGATGTCTGCCTCTTGCTGTAGCAATAACTGCAGATTACCTTTGTGCACACAGTCACAACACACGTGTGCAGCGGTTCGGGTGCCCACGGCACACGCAGCCGTGTGTTGGAGCCATTCGGATGGGCCCTGCTCAGCACCTGCGTGCCAGCACTGCCGCGGCCTAGTGCACGATTCACTTGGGGTGTTTGCGGTGACCACCCCACCTTGGAAGCCTGAACGAGGCTCTTAAAAAGGGAACAAAACCCACAGAAGCACCAGGCAGTGGAAGCGCGTTAGGGCAGGCAGCAGAGTTGGCCGTAACGTCGGCACGCGTCTGTTCCTGCGCCAGCCTCGTGCGCGAGCCCAGGCCGCTCGCCTCCCGTCTGTGCCAGGCGATGCTATCTGCCGCCTTTGTTCCGCCGTCCCCGGGCCGTCCCGCAGCCCCTCGCTGCCCGGGCCGTGTCTGGTTGTGCCCGCCGTGCACAGCCGAGCAGAGCCAAGCCGAACAAAGCGCCCCGATAAGATCTGCCTGGGCCTGCACAATGGAAACTCCCGCAGCACTCGGCCCAGGCCCACCTCCCGCAGGCCGAAGCTTTGCTTTGAAATGCACGTTGCTGCTGCTCTCAGCTCCTTCAGCTAGCATAAGCGTTACATGTTCAATATGATATTTATTTTTGGCTTTATACATTTCAATACAACTTTATTTTTTTTACAGCCAATTCATGTCACTCTTTACAGAAGCAATTGAAGTCAATTTGAAGCTTGGTCTTAACAAAGCCAATGTTTGTCAGGTTTCTCCGAGTTACTTTTTGTGGAGAAAATCTTTGTCTAAGGTTTCATTTGAAATGGGAATGAGCATTATAAATCCCGCAGCTCCACAGGGACTGGGAAGAGCAGATTTTGTCCCACCGTCAGCCTCCCCAAAGCCACGCAGCAGCAGCAGCAGCTCCCAGCCCTGCCTGGCCCAATGGCCCCAAGCAGCCCTCTGCAAAGCCCGGCGCTTCAGTAATTCTCATGACTTCCTAAAAAGTTTCCTCAAAACATGGAGATCCCACTGGGGCCACCATTACCAGGCACCCTTTTAAAGACAGACTGAGGGGAAAAAAACAGCTCCCAAAAAAGTGACCTGGGCCAAGAATGGAAGCAGCTGCTGGCGAAGTCAGGAGTGACGTGGTTGGGTATAAATCAACAGAGGTGGCAGCTGGGTGTTGCTTGCAAAGAGCAAGAGTTAGAGGGGTGCTTGCTCACGAGATGCAAAGGCCATGAGGAGAAGGTGTGTCTGGGAGGCTGCAAATTTTATATAAGGGCGGCTGCATCCACTGCACTTGCAGGAAAAAAGAGGAAGACCAGAGGAGCCTTGGCTGCAAGGAGAGCCGGGGCTGACCAAGCGCAGCTCCTGCTCCTGGTGGTGGGTGCAGGTAGTGGGGGCTGTGGGGCGTGGGGGGCGCATTCTTGTGGGGCCGTCCCTGTCACCCAGCTCTGCTGAGGACTTTGCTGAGCACCAGGCTGCTAATCATCTGCATCACTCTGTCCTGACATTATTAAATTGAAATTTTATAGTTATTTTTATCACTTCAGCTTTGGTTTGTTGCTTTTGAAAGTTAGAAGGAAGAGGACTAATCCTCAGTTGCTTCCCTTGGCAAAGATCCTACCAAAGAGCGTGCAACTTCATCTAACGGGTGCAGAAATAATTACTGCTTGCGCAGCGGAGCAGGGAGCTACCAGGAAGAACAGTTTGGCTCCTTGTGTGAGTGCACAGAGTATTTGGGGCAAGTCACAGGGGCAAGTGAAGGGCTTTTGTTGATCCCACTGGAAATCTGCCCACATGTGAGCTCGGGCAGGTTCCTGTCGAGGAGGGAGCTTACCCTCATAAAGACCCTGGGTTGTTTCTTGTGGGCTTCTTCCTCACCGTTCGCTCTACTGCCTCCTGTGCCAGTAGGAGACTCTCCGGAGATGAAGTTGTTGAAGCTTTTTGGAATTGTCTTTTTCTGTGGCCTGCTCTCGCCGTCCCGGGGAGTCTTGTCCGGTTTGTCCTGCGCCGTCAGCCCAGGGGCAATGCAGAAAGGTAATCAGAACAACGTGGGTCGTACTTGCTTTGAGAGCTGTGTGGGGCCTTAACATTTCTTAAAACCTCTCGACTGTCTTCATCGTTATTTTATAGTGGCAGGCTTTGCTAGAGCCTCTGACAGCCGTCACTGGGTTCATGGGGTAGGGAAATCTTCCCTCTCCAGAACTGGGACATGTTTCTGCACCAAATGGCCACGCCAAATTTTAGGATTCTGGATTCTTTCCTCTCTTTGTTTTAGTTTCTCATTTCTCATCAGAGCATATTTGTCAAATAACTGCTGTGAAGCTTAGCAACCTTCTTAATAATTGCAGTGCCCCAGCAAAAAAAGGGCAGATTGTTTCATGTTGCTTCTGTTACAAAGACAAACCAAACCAGCACCCTTTAGAAATGGGCAACAAATGATTGGAGCAGGGCTCCTGCTGCGTGCAGCAGTAGTCATTCTGCTAGTGCACAACCATCCTTAAAGTCAGGAGTGCTCCGTATTGCTACCTCTCCAGGTTAATCCATTAAAGGCAGTTCTACTTTAGTCTGTCTTATAAAATGTTTTCCCTATGTGATTTGACTGCATTGACACTGGTAATGACTTAATGAGGGGTTTTGGGGAGAGGTGGGGTGTTATGTGGTGTCTTTGCCAAGATGGAGCTGGCTGAGCGGTGAGAGGTTGTTGCCCCAGGTGCCAGCCCTCATGCAGAGATGTTTTCCAGTGCTCTCGGATGCCGTAATTCAGAACGGGCTTCTCCAGAAGCACCTGCAGGGCCTTGTGCTCCCAAACATCATGGGTGATGGGGGTCTGCTGAACTCTCCCACCAGCATCACGGGGTAAGTGGAGAGACAGGGCTTCTCCGCGAGCGCGCCTTGACCAGCCACAACGAAGCAGTAAAAACTGAGAGCTGTGGCTGGCATGACTGACCCAAGCTGCTATCCTCAGTTTATTTTGATGCTGAAATTCTGGCACAACAGGATTTTTCTGTGTCACGTGAAAGTGGGTGGTGAAGTGCGGTGCAGGCTGTGCAGCCAGATGCGGGATGATGGTTCGGATGCTGCTGTTGATATCCGAGGTGCTTGACAGCACTTAGGGAGGAAGGAGGGCACCCCAGAGAGGAAAACTTGATCTCTGTCTAAAGTTGCCTTTCACCCTAGTCTGAGTCTAGGTTGCCCTCTTAAGCCTCAGCCCCACGCTGTGTCTCGTGCAGGAGAAGCACGAGAAGCCAGCTGATCCTGGTGCCTCTGGCTGGAGGTGCCCATGGTGATGTGGGCATTGGGGTTGCTCACCGTGAAGCTGCCCAGCTATTACAGGACTTTTTAAACTTTGTGAACTTTGTGACCACTTTTGCTGTTGTTTGCAGACTGCACCTGGTCCGGGTTCGGCTCCCCAAGCTGTCAGTGGCGCTGCTGCCTGGGATCGGGGTCCAGCTGGCCATCGCTGCAAGGCTTGATCTCAGCGGCAACTGGTGAGAGCGCAGCTTCGGGGTGGTGGTGGGAAACTCCTGCCCACTGGCTTCCCAGTGCTTGGCATTCTGCATCCTTTATGGATTCCTCGGGGTTTCTTGACTATAATAAAGGCACAGAGTAGAACAGGCACCAAGGGATGGCTTGCGGCCTTTGTAATGAATGGCAGGAGATGGAGGTGCAGCTTGTTGCTGCTGGCTTTGCTGAGTTTCTCTTGTTAGCTGAACAGATTTCATCTCTCAGCCTCTCATCTGCTTTTTTCAGCTTGGTTGGCCTTCTCTCAGAACTAATTGATATCTCAGTGGATGTGACCATTACTGCAAACATTAAATGCACAAATTTCGAATTGGGCGCAGTCCAGGTCGTCATTGATGACTGCTTCTGCATTCTTGGTGCTGTAAAGATCAAGCTCCTTTCTGGGTAAGTGCCTGTGGATTTATGTTTTCCACTGCCTGTACAGCCCTGCTCTTTATCCAGTGATCTGGACAGTCTGCCAGGACACAGCCAGCGCTGAGCTGACAGAGCCAGTCCTCAGGGAAGGAATTTCTTTCCCATTGCCAAAGCCAGTCGCTTCAATGGAACATACAAAGAAAATTGGTTGTTGGAAAATGAGGGTTGATATGCCCTGTTTGCCCCTGGAAATGTTAAGATCTGAAGTATGAGGCGTAGAATCTCTTCCAATGCACTTCCTTTAGACCTAACTAGTGAACTGACATTGAAGAGAGAGGAAAAACCGGGCAGGGAGAGTGTTCCAGGAGAGCAGCACCATTTGCTTGTCCTGCTTTTATACTCTGCCTTTGGCTGCCATCACAGAAAGATGTTGGCCATGTGGGCCTTTGGGCTGACCTCTGCGGGTATGTGTAAGTGCAGGCAAATGCCCCATCTCCTGCTCAGTCTCATTAAATTCTTGGCAGAAGGAATTTGCTTACTTCCTGTACTGATGAATGCACTGTTTAAATTGGTCGTTGGAAAATATTTTCTTTAGTTGGTTTTGGATTACTCACTTTTGAGGTTCAGTGAATTTCTCCTAATTAATTTTTGCATCATTACTTTTTTGCATTATGCATTACATTTCAATCAGTGCAGCAGCTGGTTGTGCAGCAGTTGTGTAAGGGGAGCACAAACCACCCACTCCAGGGTTCATTTTTTAGGTTTTAGCAGGATTAAAGTGATGGTGTACTGGAAGTGAGCTCCTGTGGAGCAAGGGTGAGCATGTACACGTGCAGTTGACTTCATGGCAGTTCGTCAGGTGTGTCTGTGGGCAGAACTCAGGCATAGCAGTGCGATGCATTATGAATCCTGCTGTCTGCAGCTTGCAGAGTGTGTGGCTGCGTGTTCTAACTCAGTAGTCCAGAAATATATTGATTATCACGCTAAATGTCTGCACTGCCTGCAGGCAGCATGTAACCCAGAGTGTTCTATTTAGCAGCAGTGTTGAAATGTTTCACAGCAGTTTTCTCCTCTTGTTATTCCACATGTAAATTGTTTGTTTCCCATAACCAACACAGAAATATTTCACAATAACTCCACCTTCCCTAAACTACAACACTGATTTAAATGCCAGAGGGAGACAACCGAGCTCAGGATACAGTGTGAGAAACTCACTTTCATACAATATTTTCTGCACACCCCAAGTGCTGAAGCCTTCTCTTCTCACAAGTTAGCTCAATTCTCCCCTCTCATTCATTCTCTCTCTTTTTTTTTCCCTTTTCCAGATTACTGTCCCTATCAGTAAACGACTTAGTGCTGAACCAGCTGACAGCAACCCTGCCCGGTTTGGTAAGCCTGAAGACTGCCATCCTTTCACAGCTGAAATGCAGAAATATCAAGAACAACATGTTAAAAAGCCATAGTGAGCTGCAGCATCTCTGCGCTGCATTCCCACATCACCGCCGTGTGCTGCAGGCAGCCTGCTGCTGCTGGCGTGCTTCTGCCCGCAGCACGATGCCTGCCACGTTCCCCAGGTCGAAGCAATCTGCTTGGTGGGGCAACGCAGCTCCAGGGCTTCTCCACCCCCCTGAGTCCTTCTCGATGCCCCAGCTGCCACCTCATGGCCACACAGCACGGCTTCCCTGGGGTGCAGCTTAAAGCCCGGGGGTCCGTGCTGGAGGGCTGCCTGCAGGCGGCTGGCTGAGCCCTGAGCTGTCCCATTCCTGCTTTCTGTTGCAGCTGTGTCCGGTAATCGATATTATCGTCAACCTGGTGAACATCCAGTTCTTGGGCACGCTCAATGGTATGTTCCCTGTGGAGCTGTGGCTTCCTTGTGTCCTGTGTGCTATGGCCAGGGACACGTGTGTTCCCCTGCTGTCCCCGATGCACTGGGGAAGGTCAGCGCTGCCCACTGCGGGGGTTTGGATCCATACAGACTGAGCTGAGGGCCCAAGGTGCTCGCTGTTCAGAGTAAATCTCTGTCCTCCAAGTGTCTGGGACTGCTGTTGAATGTTGAATTCACATGTCAACACTTAGAGTGAATACTTCACGCCTTAGCCCTCCTTATACCACTTCTAAAGGTCACCCCTGGATTTACCTTACTATCCTTGTTGCTCTTTTTTGTCTGTTTTCTGAACTCAGGCCCCACAAAGCTGAATCTGGGGGTGTTTTCCCATTGTAGTAGCGGCGTTTTTACTGCTTGTGGGGGTGAGGTCTGCTTGGGACCTGAGGGTCGGGAGGGGTTCATGGTGCTGCTTCTCTCCTGGTGTTTAATGATCCTTTTCTCCTTGAAGCGGTGATCCCGGTCGGCACGGTGGGAACGATTCACTACCAGTTGGCCAGCCTCCCATTTACATCTGGCTTGTACCTCGGGATGGATTTAGATGTAAGTTGATGCTCGGTAACGAGACCCTGCAGGCGTGGTTGCAGCGTGGGGTCTTCCAGCACCGCACACCCAGAGCCTGTGGGAGCTGCTGTCATCCTTCTGCACAGCCAGATGGAAGAGCTGGGCTACTGACTTGTTCTGGGAGTGCTGGCTAAATGTTAGGCCAATGATAGGCAAACCCATCACGAAGTGACTGTGTGCTTCTCTTGGAGCCCTCTTTTGCTTTCTTGGCAAACCTCCCCAGTTCTGCCCGTGTGTCTGTGGTTTGCAGCCATTTGCAGACTGGGTGCTTCTGCTTTTTGCCTTTGCTGTGTAGTCGTTATGGTGGATGAATGCTAAGCCAAGCTAATGGATGTAGTTTTTACTGCTGTCTCACTGGAAAAACACCAAACCAAAGAGTACTTTCAAACAGGAGAGCTTAAATAAATGCTAGTGAGGAACACCTGGCACATACGCGGTAAGGAACAGCAAGGGCTGAATAACAAACGCTCCAGGTGGTATGACAGCAGTGCTCCTTTACTGCTTAAGTGCAGACACAGCACTGGGGTTAGTCTTTATCCTGCAGGGATGGTCAGAGTTGGTCTCCTCGGCAAACAGTGGTGCTGGTGCGAGCTTCTTGCAGTTGGAGCGATGGCTCTGACTTGGCTGAGCGCTGGGGGAACGCAGTGCTGTGACCGCACTGCTGGCAGTGCCTGTGCTGCACGGCTCGTGGTCGGAGATCGGAAGAATGAAATGGAGCAGCGAGTTGCGACATGGACACTTTGTGCTCATTAGCAGGGGTCTCAGTTATGCACTCTGGGCTTTGTCATCTCCTTTCATGTATTAAGCATTGAGAGAATGGCTCTGTGCGCGATGATCTCCTGCAGCTGCTGATGGGGGGTGTCTGTTTCAGCCTGCCCAAAGCTGCAGTCTCCTTCCTGAGGGTCTGGGCAGGCTGCAGGGCTCTGGAGGACCAGGTTAGCATTTAACATTGGTGCCACCTCCGCAGGGTGCAGTGCAGCAGGTGGGAGGCAGCATCATCCCCCACGACTCGTCCGCCTCCGCCTTGCCCCCGCTGCTGGACAGGCTGCTGGTCCTGGGGCTGCGCCAGAGCTTTCTCAACGCCATCCTGTCCCTCCTGATCCAGGTCCAGCCGCAGACATTCACCTGCACGCCAGAAGCCGTGAGTGCTGCAGTGCCATGTTCACACCAGGGGAAGGGGCTGGTGATGCGTGCCCACCCGCCCTTGGCTCTGCTCAGGGAGCAGTTCCGTGTGCCCGAGCAGGGTGCGAGGCTCTGCTGGCACTGGGCTTCATACAGGCAATGCAATTCTCTGGGTGCACATATTTTCTGTACCTCCCAGCTGTGCTTCCATGGGAAAATGTTAGGGGTCTGCATGTGGAGAGATGCTAAAAGCCTCCAGGCTGCATCTCCTCCTGCTGCTGGTGGTGCCACCTGCACGAGGGACTGGCAGTGCCTGGGAGCTGGGAAGGGCTGGAGGGGGCTGTGGGCAGTGGGTGCTGCCGTAGCATAGATGTGTGTGCAACTGGAGGCCAGTGTGGGGCTGGGGGCTCAGGACTGTCCCCAGGAACATGAACAAACCATCTGGGAGCAGGGGCATGGGGCAGAGGGGTGGGCAGTGGAACCCACTGGCACCCACCTGGGCTGTGTGTGCTTCTCTTCCCGCAGTTCTCAGGTGCCAAGCAGCTGCAAGATGCCGTCCTGACCCTCTTTCCCTCTGGGGTGAGTGACTTAGGCTGCCATGAATGCTTGCATAAGCCTTGCTGGGTCTGAGGCCACCTAGGGTGTGCCAGGGTGCTGCCTCAGGTCCTTTGCTCCTCATCCTGGTGGCACAGAGCATGCATGGAGCCGGGGGAAGGAGCTGGTGCTCTGTAGCCCAGCTTGGTGCTGGGCAGCCACCTCCATGTGCCCCCTCCCCACAGTGCTCCAGCTGCTCCATGAACTCTCCTCTGAGCATCAGGATAGAGTTGTTCGGGAAGCCACTCATCCTCTTGGAGAACAACAAAGCCACCGTCGAGCTCTCGGTGATGATCCAGGTGTTCATTAAGCGCCTGGACGGATCCATCCTCAACCTGCTGCTCCTGAAGGCCGTAAGTGGCATGTGAAGTTCTGGGGCTGCTGAGATGCACAGCCGTGTCCGTGGGCTGATCCTCTCACTGTCTGCTTGCAGGACCTCGGCCTGAACGTCCACGTGTCGATCTCTGGGAGCAGCCTGGTGCTGGCCTTGTCCCTGGGCAGGTAGCCTGTCCCCGCCGTGGCCGTGCAGGAGGCTGGGGGCAATGCTGGCTGTGGCACCCAGCCTGGGGCTTTCGTCCCTGCTGCCAAGCTCCGGCTCTCCTTTGGGGTGGAAAGGAGGGTGCCAGATGGTGGAAGGGTTTTGTGTCCTGGGGATGTACCAGTGTGTCCAGCTGGGGCACACCAAATGAAGGCAGACGTGATGGGAGTGTGGCACAACCACGTCTGATAAAGGCAGGCAGTGCAGCCCTGTGAAAGTCTCTCCATGGCCAAGTTAGCTCAGGAGCCACTGACTCGAGGAGTTTTCCAGTGTCTGTGTGCCCTGGATTTCCCAAATCTGAGAATGTGATGCCTGGCTGATGGCAAGAGATGCGCAGTGCTGGCTCTCAGGAAACTTTGCAGCAGTGGGAGAGTTTGAGGAGACTGGAGGAAAAGTCTGTGGCCTTTTTATCACAAGGAGAAGTGAGGTAGCCTGAAAAACCGTGAGACTGTCAGTTTGACTTTGGTCCTGGGCAGCACTTCCAAGTGCCTGATGTTGGACATGAGTGATAAAGGAGTGAAGGAAAGTGCTATCATTAATGCCAGTCAAGGTATGATTAAAGACTGGAAAGCATTCCTTATAGCAAGAGGTTTGAAGAATTCAAGCCATTTACCTTGTCAAAGAGTTAGATTTAGAAGCAACATTGGCATAGCTTGTATGCAGCGATACAGAGAATGGAAATGCATCACAGGCTTTTAATTCAATAGACAAAGATATAACAAGATTCAATGGAAGCAGAATAGAGAAATTCAAAGTGGAAATAAAGCACAGGTTTTAGCTATGGAGATAGCTTTGTGATCGAAATGATAGATTAGGAACTCCAGCAAATTCTCCAGAGCTCATGATCTTTAAAGTTGGACTGGATGCTTTTTCTAGAAGCTCTGCTCTCAGCTAAACAGGTGCTGGCTCCTCCTCTAAGGTGAATAATTGCCTGAGCACCGGAGAGAGAAGGGGAAGCCAGGAGCTAGTGTGTGCCCTCTTGCAGTGCTGTTTCATTCAAGGAAAAGAAAATTAGGTTAAGATTTTAATGTTGATTTATTGCTTTTATTTCGTTATTTTCTTTTTGCTCTCTTACAAGTGTGTCAGTGCCTGTTTTTGTTTTGTTTTGTTTTTTTTGTTTTAAGCAAGAACACTGTGATCTCTGTAGGAATGCCCTGATGATGTTCATAGGGGTCACTTGCCCATGGGCAGGGTAATGCTGCACCAGAGGTGGCGGGGGTCTGGGCAGGGGTCTGGGGTCCGTGAGCTCTGGCCAGTGACCTGCTGTCTGATGTGCTGTTTGCTTTCTGCTTCCACAGCACTTCCCTCTCCTTGGAGTCCTCTGACGTTGGCATCAGTGACGTAAGTCTCTCCTACCAGCCTGCTGCTTCCCACGTGGATGCAGCACTGGGGAGGGTGGGAGGGAGGCGCGATGCCGCCGTGTCCCAGCTGCCATGGGCCTGAGCTGTTAGCTGTAGTTCTGGAGGTTGTAGCAAGTCTTCTCTCATTTTATTATTTTATTTTTATTTTATTTTATTTTATTTTATTTTATTTTATTTTATTTTATTTTATTTTATTTTATTTTATTTTATTTTATTGTCTTCTGTCTCTTCTACTAAGGCAAATGTAGTCTGAAATCTCCATTTATTTACCCCTGCCTGTGCAAACCTTACACTGAGCTCCAGCAGGAGCTTTACCTGTAGAAGGTTTCCTAAGTGAGGCACCAACTAAAAATTGAGGAAGAAAAGTGTTTTAATGAAAAGAGGGCCTGTACGTTCTCTTGCTGTGTTAGTGGGAAGTGATTTCCCATCCCGAGGCCTGGCTGCCTTCATGAGCTGAGCTGTGTGTGCTGCTGCCGCGTGCGCTGCTCACGGTGCTGCCCCTCTCTGCTTCAGATCTCGAGCCTGAAGCCCCACTGCAGTCAGCTGCTGGCGGAAACGTTGCTGCCTCTCATCAATGGTAAGGAAAATGGGCCAGCTGTAAATCCGGGAGTGCTTTGGCTAAGTTCTGGTGATGGGGAGTGGGGTGGTGTCCATGTGGGAAAGCTGCAGGGCAGAGCTGGCGTGGGTGCAGGTCTGCAGTCCCCAGGCTGGGGCTGTGGTTAAACCTCCCAGCCTGCTTCTACCTGCACCCAGCCCCGCTCTGGTCCTCAGGGCCCCGGCAGGCGTTGCTGGTGGAGGTCAGCAGCAAAACACTGCCCAGTCCTGCCCAGAGCAGTGCTGTGCCCCTGGCCAGGTGCCTGGTAAGGCTCTGTCTGTCTCCGCAGGCTGTCTGGGCGTCGGGATCCCTCTGCCGAATGTGCTGGGCATTCCGCTGGTGAAAGTGGATATTCAGATACTGGTGGTGAGTGCCTGCAATGGCTCTTTCCTCTGGCGGGCACTGGTGGAGGTCACTGGGGTTGTTTCTGGCGTGTGGCTCCTGCAATGGGACCCTGCCAGCAGTGTGCCAGTGTGCAAAAGCACACTGTGGGGGCAGAAAGGTTTGCTTGGTCTGACCTCCTTCAGGACAGAAAATGCTGCTGAGTGCTTCGTGCCCAGGGGTGCTACCAAGCTGGGAACAACATGAGCTGTGTCCAGCCTCTCTGGGTAGATCCTGGTTCCCCCCTCTGGGCTGTCCATCCCTCCTGGATTGCTCTGTGTGAGCAGCTCTGATGTGGGGCACTGGGTCTGGCAACCCCTTTGGAGCAGCACCATTCAAAGTGCCTTGGGTTGCACCAAATTCCAGCTTGGTGCATCCTGGTGACATCCCAGAGCAACTCAGGTGTTCTCTGGCACTTTCCAAAGGATGCTGAGTACTCCCTGCTACAAGTGTAACTCGAGGAGTTTTGCAGGAGGGTTTTCAATTCGCTGTGCTGCTGACAAGCTGCTGTGAGCCAGCATCCCTCGAGGTCAGAGAATAATGTAAACGTGTCGCTTCTCGCACTTCTCCAGGGCCTGCTGGTGATCCTTGTGTGAGCTGGGGAGGAGAGGGCGTGGAGAGCTCTTTCTGATTGTAGCCTTGGGCAGAAAGAGGGAGAAGGACCAGCGAGGATGAAGCTTCGAGACTGGCATTATCTTCTTTCCTTTTCTAAACGTGCTTCGAGATTCTTGGTAACATTTAAGGCACTTTACGTTAACTGGCTCGTGTGAGTATTAAGATACTTGCATAAGCCAAAACCAGATAGGCAGCTCTGTGTAAAAATATTTATTTAGAGAAATTAACGTGACTTAGAGGTCGCAGTTATACCAATTGCATGTGAAGCTGCAGTTGAATTGTTAAATTCCTTGAAAATTTGTTCTGTGGGAAAGTTGTTCTCAGTGTAATGGAAAAGGGAACTTGTTGCATGTGGCTCTCTACTTAAAAGTCACCAGCCATGTGCAGAAGCGGATGAAGTGCTGAGCAGGAGCTCAGGATACATTTGTCACTGATTCTTCTAGTAATAAACATTCTGACTTCTAGTGCTCGGAAGGCGGTTCTTGTTTCTGCTGCTTCTCGGGGAGAGCACCTCTCCTGCCTCCTGCTGGGGGACTGAGCTCCTCTCTGATGGTATTTCAGGTTTAGGCTTGAAAATTTCCCAAATTTTCCCCAAATCCCTCGGAAAAACACTCTTGAATTTTCAGTGGCTACTCCTGGCTGGGTTACCTATTGATCAGATGCTCCTCCTGGCCCCCAGCATGACCCAGGTCTGGGGCTGAGCCTGCTGCTGCAGGTGGGATGTGCGTGGCCAGGAGCGGGGCTGCAGCTCCCCTACCCCAGCCACCAGGGTCAGAGCAGAGCAGTGCAGTAAATCCCCCGGCCAGAACCTCTGCTGCCAAACAAATAAATTCTTTTACTGCTGTAGCATATTCCTCTTGGGAAACTGGGTTAAGATATATTAGTCAAAGACTAATGGTTGCAGCTCTACCAGCAAACTTTTATTAGGAACTGTTCCTGCTATTGCCAACTTCGGGCGTTAAAATCATTAGTCAGGTCCCCAGGACGGGCATATAAACCTTCAGTTTTTTTTTTTTTTTTTTTTTTTTTTTTTAGTCCCTTCAATAAATCAGCCTGGCTTGTTTTGTTTCCTTTCCTATTTCTAACTCTCTGAAATATGAGGTTTTCAAGTGCTTTTCAGCAGCTCCAAAGGCTAGAAATGATGGGGACGGTAGTTGCATATGAAAGCAGATGCATGTGTAATTAATACAGCTTCATGGGCTGGGTGTTAAGTGCAGCATTGCCCCCTGAGCGCGCTGCAAGAGCAGCAGCAGAAGCCAGGAAGCTGCCCGTGGTGCCTGCAGGGGACCCCCAGCCCACTCTCGGCTTGCTGCAGGAGCTCGGTCCCCACATGCAACTGCTGCTTTCAAAAATGTGACTGGCTTCAAGTCTAATATTAGAAACCTTTGTACAGATGTGATTATTTTTTTTCCTTCTTTCTGGCCGAGTGAAAACTCACCAGCTGTTTTGTTCCCATAGTAACGCTGGAAATGGAGGAAAAGCCATGAAATGTCTCTTGTGGGTAGGGGCGATAGTGTTCTGCAGCTGAGAAGCTCGGGGCTGCCTCACGTCCTTATAAATTAGTGAGATTTTGATGCTCCCTTAGTTAAATGTGAGGTCTGGACATCTGTACTGGTACTCAGCAAGATGAAATTCATCTATCTTTCAGTACAAGTCATTGAGGGGAAAAAAAAGTCAATAGTCATACAGGAAAATGCAATATTAAAGAGAAATGTTTAATTAAAGCATGGAACATTGTTACAATCCATCCTCCTTGTACAACAAAAAAATAGACTGGAAGAGAAAGCCACTAGCAAAACGCCATTATTATCCTACGCTTGAGAAAATGTTGTTTCAGTAAAGAAAGAAGATTTTAAACATTTCATGCAGTGAGAAAACACGACACATCCTCTCAGAGTCAGTGGGGTGGCTGTGCCCCCGTTTTCCTCCAGGTGAAGCTAACGGCACACCGGGTTCAGGCCATGGCCCCCTGCTCACCATGTCTCGCCTGCAGCTTGAGGTTGCACAGGAGCAAGACGTAATCCTAGACACAGGTGGGGGAGGCCTGAGCACTGCAGCCTGCCCCTGATCCTTCTAATGAGCATTTTTTGCTCATGTTAGCATGGCTAGAGAGGGCTGCCTACGTAAAGCAATGAAGCTCGGTTCTGTGGGTTAGCAGGACAGGAGAAGCAGGCTCAGATTTATTTTAGTGCCAGGAGGTAAGCGTCACTCCCAGGTACCCTTTAAATCAAATGTAGCAGGAAGCAACTTAAATGTCTTGTTTTGGGGAGAAACTTGCATGCTGTGATTTCTTACCTTGTGAATCATGACGCTGACATCGGTGTAGGTGAAGGTGGAGATGTGTGGCAGGTGTACGCCTTCATTCAGCACCGCTAGGAAGAGAAACAGGGAGAGGTGAAAGAGGAGGGAAGGTTCCCAGCTGAGACACTTCATGCCTGGTGGTGCCTGGGGGGTGTCCCCACTCCTCACCATTCATCCAGACCGGCACCTCCTCGCGAACAGTGCCCAGGAACAGCTCTTCCAGCAACGTGGCCTGCAAAGGGGAAAGCCACAGGGTCGGCTTCTTTATGGCCTGGCTCTAAAGGGGTGGAGAGAGGCCAGGACCCGCAGCAGTGGGGTCCTGGAGTGCTGCCCCTCTCCCAGCCCCTGTGGGATGCAGCAAGCACCATGAGCATGACGAGCACCACGAGCGTGTGCTGCCCTGCTGATGGCCAGGCTGTGGATTTTGTGGCATGAGCTCGGGGTGGTGCAAGCTGTCTGGGGATGGCCAGGCTTTAGGGGACAGCACTAAAGCAAGGGCTGCTGTGCTCAGCACGGTGCGGGCAGGAGCCCAGCTGTGCTCCATCACTTCGGGGTGCTGGGAGCACCTACCGGCACCGGGCCCACGTCGGAGGCAGCCAGGCTGAGCTCAGCATCTCTGCAAAACAAAGAGCAGCGTGAGATTTGCTCAGCAGCCCTTTGGCTGGGTCGCTGAGCAGGGTTTTCCTTGGGGACCATGCTTGGTGATAAGCAGGGGCTTGCACGTTGCTCTGAAGGTCAGGGCTGTGCCCAGGGCTCCAGCAGCTCCCCAAGCTGGGCGCATGGCAGGGAGCAGGGGGCAGTGGGCACTGTCTCTGCCCCCATGCACAGCAGCAGGGAGCTGGGAGTGTCCTGGCCCTGGGACCTGTGGTGAGGGCTCGCTGAAGGCAGGGACACGGAGTGCTCAGGGAGATGGGCAGCATTTTTCTTTCTGGTCCTGCTGCTGGAGCCTTGCCATTTCCCTTGGGCTAGAGCGACCTCCACAGCGACCAAGCCATCAGAGGTAAGAAATTCCTCAGGCTATTTGCCTCTCCCATCCCATGCAATGACTGAACGGTGTCCCCCACAAGGCTGCAGAGCACAGCCGGACTCGTTACTCGATCACTGCTGCAGAGATCATCATCCGCGTGTCGGTGACGCTGAGCAGCAGTCCTGCAGTCACATCCTGCGAGGAGAACAGGGAGGGCAGGATCAGAGCGAGCAAACTGTCCCATTTCAGCTCTGAGCATTGAGAGGTGATGAAGCCATCTGTGCAGTGCCCCCACGACATGCTCCTCACACCCTGTTTGCTGTGACAGAGACCTGTGCTCGTTGCAGCAGTTGAGGGGAGCAGTGGTCGTGGCCCCGTCCTGCAGCGCTCACTCACCGCACTCACGTTCAGGAAGCTCTGGAACTCTGGCGAGCCTGCCCCGACGTGGATGGTGAGGAAGAGCTTCAGGGCTGCTCGGCCTTCCTCCAGCTCCACCCGAGGAGAGCTTCTGAGCTCGGCCCTCAGCATCACGGGCAGGTCCTCGGGGTACAGGGAGCCGACCTGCCGCAGGCAGGCGTTTGCAGCCCGGCAGCCCCCGCAGCAGGGGCTGTGCCAAGCGGGTGCTGGAAGCAGCCACGTACCTGGGTGATCTTCTGTGCCATGGTGGCGGTGGTCAGTGGGCTCTGGAGGACAAAGCACAGAGCATCAGCTGGCTGGCGGCCCCAGGAGCTGCAGTCTGGGGTCTGGCACAGCCGCTTCCGAGTGCTGCACAGCTGCCAAATGCAGGCGGCCTTCCCTGCACACCAGCACGTGCCAGAAGCTGTGTTTTGGCTAGTTCTGATGGTAAATTTCCCATGCACCATTTGAGCAGCAGAATTTTGCCTGCAAGGTCAAGGTAAGAGGCTGGGGGTGTTGCAGTGCGGTTCCATGGGCTCTCAGAGATGCTCTCATTTCTTTCAGGGAGCACAGCTCCCTTACGGCTTCATGGGGCATGGGCACAGCCATCGCCGTCCATTTTATTATTCCCTCCTCGCTTGCTTGCACTACTCACCAGGATGGTCATGTTGAAGGCTCCAGCCCTCTCCAGGGCGAAGAAGAGGCTGGTGTAGAAGTGCTCAGACAAAGCCAAGGTGAGGTGGGAAGGGCTGGAGCTCACCAGCTCGGGCATGCTGAACGGCGTGGGGCTGACTGGCAGGGGCACTGCCATTCCTGCCACCTGGAACATTGTCTGAAGGGGACAGAAAAGGGGTCAGGGTGCTTGGGGTGTCCACCTCGTCCTGCAGCTGCTCACCCAGGGCAGAGAAGTGGCAAACAGATGAGTGCATAGGCAGGAGCTGGGCAGCACAGGTAGGATGTGGTGCTTACTTGCAAGGACATGGTGATTCCCTCCTCGGAGATCACGGGGGCAGCCAACGGCAGGTATTGGACCTGGCAACGGGGGGTGATGGGGAACTGAGCTGCAAAGCGAGCAGAGGGGCACTCAGAGAACAGAGGGGAGCAGCGACAGGAGATTGTGCCTGTGAGCAGGCTGGATTTCCCCCAGGAACAGGAGACAGGTGAGGAGGGGAAGAGCAGAAGGATTAATTTCTCGTGTTTTATCATCCTGCCCTCCCCAAGGTTTCTGGCACACCTGACCGAGGAGGGGAGCTCCCACCACGGAGCAGCCCCCATCCAGCTGCCATTGCCTGCTCCCCGCAGCAGGGCACAGGGAGCTCATTTCCCAGCAGACAAAACCCACAGCCACAGAGCAGCCACCGCTGCTCCAGCAGGAGCCCCTAAACCCTAACGAGCCTGAGAGCCGAGCTGCCCACCTGTCAGAGACATCAGCTGCTCGTTAGGCAAAAGGAGCAGTTTGGAGACTTCCAAGCAAATCTGTGGGATAAGAGCAAAGATGAGAGGAGGGAGATGAGCGCAGGGGCTGCTGGCATCTGCTGCAGCCTGCACATCCCCATCGGCTGGCTGTGAGCTGGCAGATGGGGGATCACAGACAGAGGATGCAATCCTCATCCCGTGTGGAGGGATATTGGGGATGCCCGGCACATCCAGGTGGGTTTTGTAAGTGCCAGGTTCACCTGAGGGCTCTAATTCTTACAGAACCGTGCCAGTTTGTCTTCTGCTGTCTCGTGTCTGTACGGACGTTATCTTACCTTATTGGCATTCATCTCCTTGTCCAGGTCGGAACTAGAGGACTTGCTGGATGAAAATAACAGAGCAGAGGAAGTTAGGCAGCACCAGCTCAGCCAGGGAAGTGTTAGTGTCTTTTGATTTGACCCAGAAAGTATCTGGAGACATTGTCATCATTTTCCATCATCTATTAAGCTGTGACTGCAGTTCAGAATCCTAAAATGTTAAAGACCTGCCACTGGACTTGAATTAAAACTTTCCTGCTACGCTCTTTAGGAACATCTGCTCCTTTATGAGAGGAAAAATTTGTAACATTGTGGTGGGAAAGAAGAAGAAACAACCAAACAAAAAACAAACAAATGAACAACAACAACAAAAAAAAAAACAACAAACCAAACCAAACAAACAAAACAGAACAAACAAACAACCAACAAAAAAAAACCGGGGCTGTAAGCAGAACAAAGTTTCTGTCATGAAGCGAAAGGATTTGCACTGACATTTGTAAGCTTTTATGCCAGTGATCAGATTTTGGTCCTACCACCTTTATGTACTTGTCACTCAGTTTTGTTCCCCCATTCACCCAGATCCCGTGCCAAAAAAAAACCCCACGGGCTGACCTTCCCACCTCCTCGGCGCTCTGCACCTCCACAGTGGGTCTGCAGTAGGAGGTTATCAGCTGCAGGTCGCCGTCGGGGCTCAGGTCTATGTGGAGGTCGGCCAGGATGGACAGCCTCGCCAGCCTGGGTGCTGCACTGCACGAGGGAACGGCGCAGGTTGGGGGGTCCTTGCCCTGTGCCGCTGCCCCAGCCCCGCAGGCAGGCACTACTCACTCCGGGGGGGTGATGCCCAGGTCCACCTCGATGCCCAGCCGCAGCCCAGCCTCTGGGACAAGTGACAGTGACAGGTCGACCACTTGGACAGAGCTGATTTGGTCCCTGCTTGAGAGGAAACGTGGGTGTTAGGAGCCCAGTGCAGGCTGAGGTGCGAGCCCAGGCTGCTCCTGCAAAGAAACACCGAGTGTCCGTGGGGTCTGCGCCCTGCAGAGACAAATCCATGCCCCGAGGGTGGCACCGGGGCTGCTGCCATCAGACCCCAAAGGAGGAGCAGGGAGCTTGCTTCTAAATGGATATTTAAGACATCCAGGTCGATTCCCAGGAGGGTTTTTGCTTTTTGTGTTGGTGCTCACGGTGCTCCAGGAGCTCCACCAGGACCCAGAGGAGAGGTCACAAAGCCCAGGTGAGGCAGAGCCGTGGACTCACCTGCTGGCTTTGGGGGAGCCAAGGGGCAGGTCCAGGTCCATCAGGTCCTGCCTGAGGACCACCTCTGCGTATGGTCTTGAAACTTCAGCAACTGAAATAGGGCAGAGTTATTAGAAGCCCCTGAGCCTGCGGTCTCACGCACAGAGGCGGACAGACTGAAATCTGTCCTGGTGCCACACATCCACCTCTTCCCAGACCCCACTGTTACTAGCTGTAGGAAGGGGATGATGAAAATGAGCTGATGCTCGGTGTAAGTTTACAAGAGGATGCCTCTGCCTGGACGGAGAGGTGCGGGCTGTGTACTTACGGTAGCTCAGTCCTGACGGGGTGAGGATGCCCCCGCAGTCGGGAGACCTGGTGGCCTGCGCGGGGACCAGGAGGCTCAGGAGGGTGCCCAGGGCGCAGAGCGGGGCCACGGCGCTGCCTGCGGGAGGAGGGCACCCGCGATACCCGGTCAGCACAGCGGGGTCCTGCCAAGGTGTGGGACCGTGCTCGGGAGCTGTGGCTTCAGCTCCTGCTTTGTGTTTGTGCTCCTGGGCTTTGCAGTTTTTGTAAAATAATGATGCATAGCTCTCGTGGAGCACCTGGGCATTTAATAGCGCTGAAAAAAAGGCTCAGCCTTGAAAATCTCCTGCAAGTGTGTAAGCTCGAGTGGTGCTTGCAGCACCACCATTACGCCTGTTAAATATCCTGTAATGGCCTACAACTGATACAAAATGAAATAATCAGGAGTTAAAATTAGCTCAGGAATGAATGGAAGGTATGCAGGAGGGTAAAATCAGATACAGAGGTAATAGAGTCACCTACCTCTGAAAAACATTCTAGAATTGCTTATCATGTTTGTGATACTCTTACAGCATTAAGAATACAAGTTATTCGGTAAGTTTAACCTGTTAAACCCAAGTTTAACAACATGCACGTCTATATCAGTCCTTGCAGAGGGAGGACTTCTGATCGGGACTGATGCTCGCAGAGACACACCAAAGTACAAGCAATGTTCATTTCGTGAATGCATCTTTACCTTTTCTGCCCGGTCTCCCCATTCTTCTAGTTCTGTCTGTGTCTGGCTGTGGCCACACAAGGATGTGTTCTTGCTTTATATATCTGTGTAACCAGGGCTGATGGAGGCAGAAATTGGCAGAGGGCTGAAAACCAGGAGGGTGCGCTGGGAGGGGGTGCTTTGTTTTGTATACCATTTTTTATTGTTTCCCCATAGACCTGATTACATTGGCCATCGACCCAGCAGGGTGAAATATTGAGCAGCAGGTGCTAGGGCAGCTCGCCTGCATTGTGAAGTTACTGAGGAGCACAAAGTCTCTGGAAGGAGGGTGCCAAGAAATCAAACACTGTTAGATAGCGGCATTGGTTCCACGCCACGGGGAAGCTGCTGTGGTGGGTGCTGCTCAGATCCAAAGGGATGAGACCTGATGCTGTGTGGAAGGAGGCCTCGTGAACACTGTGAGGATGCTCCTGAAGGACAGACAAACCCCTTGGGCTTTCCTTCAGGCCGGTGGTAAGTCTGCTGAAGGCAGCAGGCGTATTTCTGCTGGGTTCAGTGAGTTTTAGACCAAGCAGAAGAGCAGACTTTTGAAGGCATGATCTCTAACCTGCAGAGTGGCCAACATGCAATAACTGCTGCCTCTCCACTTCAGTCCCAATCAAAATCCACTGGCAATACTATTGCAAACGGTATATAAAAATAAATAAATAAATAAAAAAGGTGGGTGATGCATTCAGTGGCATCTCTATGGGCATCAAAGGTCCTCACAAGGGGAGTCAGGGTCCCCTCCTTCCTGGGCTTTGGGTCCATCCTGCTTTTCTGTTCCCTTTGCCCAGTGACAGCACATCCTCTGCACCCCATGCAGCTCTCCTCCCTGCTGGGTGTTCTTCCCCCTCCGTATTTGTGATCCAAACTTTGAGGCATGACCACTCTTCCAGAGAGGGTTGAGCTGCCCAGTTTGGTCCGGGTCCTTTGGCAGTAGGGTTACCTGTTCAGCCCTTGTTGATTCACCTGTGCCTTAGGAGGCAGCTATTGTCCTCCGTGCACTGGCTGTGTGAGTTATTGGGCGCTGGTTCCAGGTGCATCTCGACATGTCTGGAAAGGTCTCTGGCTCTCAGCAGCACTCTGCTGGTTTCTTGGTCTGACAGAGAAATGCCAGGAATAGGAGCAGTTTCAGCCACGTGTATTGCCACTGAAGGCATCCAAATAGCAGCGTAAAGAGAAAATATGAAGATGTATGTCTGAAAGGGGAGAGCAGAATTTACACTTTTACATTGGTGCATCCATTTGGAGACAAGAAATGTGTTCAGAAAAGTAAATCCTGGGAGAAGTTTGCGACTTCCAGTGAGCTGCCAGGGGCTGTGGGGGTGATTCCAGACATTGGGAGGAAGGTGGGCAGAAAGGAAAGTCTGCAAGAAAGAAGACTGCTGTGTTATAGAGCAGTGGCTGGAATTGCCTCCAGTTAAGCCTTGTTCCATTGCAGGTAATTCCAGCAGCTCTTTCGAAGCAGTACTTGAGATTTATCTGTGGCACGTTATCAGCATTTACTCAAGTACAAGAATGGAGATGAGCTGTTGGGGCAAGAGGGCACCATGGCACTCGGATGTGGATTTGCTCCTCCTGAAGAGCTGCTCTGGACCTCATGGTCCCCAGGGAGGCTTAATTAGATGTCAACTTACAGCACAGTGACTGATCAAGTTACCGGCACAAAGGCGTCTTTCTGGCATGATGGGTTCTTAAACAGGAGCTATCTATAAATCTTACCCTCCTGTTAGATAAGATGTAAATCTCCCTGTCTGTGCTTAGCAGAGCCACCAAGTATATCACAGGGGGAGGTGATGACAGATTAAGCCCTCTGACACATTTTATGCAGAAATGAAGAGAAGGAATAAATTTCTCGGTGCTGCAGGATCCCACCAGGGTGGGCTCTGGGTGAGACATCCCTGTGGGGCTGGTGCTGGCAGGGGCAGCTGAGCATACAGGGATGGTTCTGGCTCTGGCCAGGATATGCATGGATGGCCCGCAGGAGAGCTGGTGCAGTTTGTGCATGGTCTGGAGGATGTGCAGCCTCCCCGTGGCATGCCAGGGACAGCTCAGGTTGCTGTTCCTCGCCTCGCTCAGACCTGCAGAGATCAGCACCAATGTTATTGGGATCACCACAACCTCCCCCAGGTCCTCCCCCAGCTAATCCCAGGTCCTCCCTTGGCACCTGCACAGGCTCCACGAACCTCTGGGGAGCATGGGCGATTTGTTCTGACAGTCACACTGCACACACGTCTCCAAGAGCAGAATTTACTATTCCATGGCTCAACTTTCCCCCTGCCCCCCCTTCTGTCTGTACCATGTTATTAACAGATCAGTTTTACTCTTTCAGTGCAAAGCTCCCGCAGGCTCTTCCAGGCTGTTGAGCAAGAGAGCTGGCCTCAGACATGCCGGGAACATCCACCTGATACCTGCAGCTCAAGGACTTACCTGGACTTTTACATTTATTAGTGAGATTATTTGTACTGGAAGATGTCAGAAACACTGAGGGATTAGTTTTACATCACAGTAATTATCCAGCTCTTTAATCCGTTTATTTTTTCCTTTTTTTCTCAGCCAGGGCTGTGTATATATAGGCCATTTCCTGCCTCTCTCTGGAAGATCGGTGCAGAGTGTGGACAACCTACAGGAGCACTCTGCTGGAGGAGGTCCTGGTGAGGCGACCACTGAGCTCTTCCTCGCAGAGGTTTCTGTCCCAGGGTCGTGCTGCAGCTCCTGTCCCCTTGGGCTGGAGTGAGCCCTGCTCAATCCTTTCTGCAGGAGTGCAGCATTTATCCCTTGCCGTGCTGTTGGGAACCGTCTCCAGCTAATTGTCTCTTTCTGTCCATTAAGCCAGTGCATCATTTAGCCACCTCTGGAGCTTTGTGGGCAACGGTACCAGGCCTGAAGATGCCAAGGATCTGGTGCCTTTTGCTCCTTGGTGGCTGGCTGGCAGTGTCACAAAGCGCCGGTGGCCCGGGGGCCGTCCTCAGGATGGATATTGGGACAATCGACCGTGGTAAGTGCTCAGCCACATGGGCACGTCTGTCTGTCTGTCCGTCCGTGCAGCCAGGGCTGCCTCCAGCCTGTGCCATGGGCCCTGTCTCCTCCTTGGAGGTTCTGTGCTGAGCCCCTTGTCTTGTGCAAATTTTCCAGCGGTCTCCACTGCGCTGAATGAGAGCAATGTTCTTCAGAAGCTGGTGCAGGAAGCAACAAAAAAAAAGTCGAACATGAAACCCATCAAAGGCATCTCCAGGTGAGTGATAATCAGCAGTGTTTCACCAGGAGGCTGAGTCTGGAAATCACAAAGCAAAAGCAGAAGGTTTGGAAATTTTAGCCTGGAGGCAGAAACAAATCACTCCTCACTAACAAGTGTGGTATTAAGGCTGGTGATTTTCCGCATGGTTGTGTCTGCAAAGACACAGAGAAACTATAACTTAAAGGCAATAAAGCACGTCCTGCTTCTGAGCTGGCTGGGCTTGGCTGCTGTGGCCTTGTGGTGCTGGGGGGTTGCTCTCGGACCTGTGGGTGCCGGCTCTTGGGAATAATGTCCTGAGGAAACCCAGAAACACTGGGGGATCAGATCTGTCTCTGTCTGGCAAGTTGGCTCTGGGTGAAAACATTGTTTTGAATGCCCAAACGTTGTGCTTCACTTTTTCAAAATTAAACTGCAATATTTTTGTTATGAAGAAACATCTTCTGAACTGAGAAGTGGATTAAAATGTTAATAAAAAAGTTTGAACAAGAAGCAGAGGACTAAAGGTGGTGACAATGGTACCAATAGGAAGTGGTTTGACTTACAGGTCCGGCCGTCTGCTCTGGCAGATCTTTCCCAGTGCTTTTCCTCTGTTTTCCCCCAGGCTGAAGGTGACAGACCTCCGTCCCCCGGAGATATCGCTGACACTCTCGCCAGGCGTGGGGCTGTTCATGGCCGTGCTGGTCCGGATGACCATCGCTGGGAGAAGGTGGGTGGGCAAGGACGCCCGTGGGACAGCTGCTGCAGGGCTTTGCCAGGCAGCCCTTGCGCTGCCGGCCGTTTCGGGAGGTTTTATCCCCTGCTAACCATGATTCATTCTGTGCAGCTTTATAGGAGGAAACATGGAAATCAAGGTGGCAGCAAACCTGACCGCCAGCGCGCGGCTGGCGCAGGACCCCCAGGGCTGCCCGTGGTTCAGCACCAAGAGCTGCCGCATCGCCCTGCTCAGCGCCAAAACCAATCTGCCCAGCAAGTGAGCACTGGGTGTGCTGGGGCCCTGCTGGGGCAGCAGCAGCCGCGGGCAGATGCCAGCGGTACCCCCGGGGCAGGCAGCAGCGCTGCTCAGCGGGGATTTTCAGTCTCTGGGCATGGGCTTGTACAGAACGCAAGCACTTCTCAATACAAGTGTTCATGCATCGAAGGTCCTATTTTTCCCACTAAGAAAACCAAAATGTTTTATGGACAAATTCAGGCCGGCCCTATCTGTGTTATTGCACACAGTGCTCATTTCTGGCCTAAGTCCTCATTTGAGTGCTGTACTCCTCAGATAACCGAGCTTCTGCTAGGCGTGGAAGCTTTCAGCTTTGTTTAAAGCCAGAAGATGGAATGCATTAGAAAAGATTTGTAAAAAGGGAAAATACCTTTTATTGGACATGAGCCATGTTTCGGCCTAATCCATCCCAGACATGTTTCTTTAGCACTTGACTGTTTACGGTTTGGTCTGTATAAGTAGTCACTGCTCCGTGCCTCGCGGCCGTGTTGGCTGACGTGTTCTCTCTGCCCAGCATGCTGCCCCAAGTCGTGAGCAAGTTTCTGGACAGCAGCCTTCAGAAAGTGCTGCCCAGCCTGGTAAGTGCTGCCTGGTCTGCCCCGTGCTTCCTGAGCATCCCCTCCTTGTCCTCCTGCTCCTCCTCTCCACGGCTCAGTGCCAGTTTGCCCAGTTGTGCTGTACGGGGGAGCTGCAGGTAAAAGGGAGCACTTCGAGCCGTGGCTGCTGGCAGCCCGCTGCTCCCCTGCCCAGCACCAGGGTGGGCAATGCAGTTTAAAGTCAGATTTACCCTGAAATAACCTAATTAAACTAGGGACAGAGAAAACAGAGGCAAGTCCTTGTCTGGGTGCTTACAAGTGGAGGGTCCCAATGGGATTGTGCTGGCCTGGTGGCACAAAGCTGTGCTCCCACAGGAGCGGCCGTGCAAGGTGTTCTCACAGCTTTCTTCTTGCCCTCCAGCTGTGTCCGGCCGTGGACGCGGTGCTCAACCTCATGAATGCAAAATTCACCACCATGACTTGTAAGTTGTGCTCTCTCCAGCCACCCACACCTGAATCCAGCACCCACAGGTAGCACTGGTGATGTGGCCGCTGTTCCTGAGCCGTGGCGCAGGGTGGGTGCCTCTGCCTGAGCCTCCCCCTTCTTCCCCACAGCCACAATCCCTCTCGGCACTGCTGGCACCCTCCGATACGCATTGCTGAACCCACCTGTGACGAGTGAAGCTTTCATACAGCTGGATTTGAGGGTGAGTGCTGCTGCCAGAGCCGGAACTTGGAGGGGCAATGTTCCTGACACCTGTTTGCTTGGAGGCGTTGTCCTTCTCAATGGCTTTAAACTAAAAGAGGAGAGATTTAAATTAGAGGTTAGGAGGAAATCCTTCACCCTGAGGGAGGTGAGGCACTGGCACAGGCTGCCCAGAGAAGCTGTGGATGCCCCATCCCTGGAAGTGTTCAAGGCCAGGTTGGACGAGGCCCTGGGCAACCTGATCTGGAGGGTGGCACATCCCTGCCCATGGCAGGGGGTTGGAACAGGGTGAGCTTTGAGCTCCCTTCCAACCCAAGCTGTTCTATGACTTTATGATACTCAGCCTTTGGCAGCAGAGGGTTTGGAAGGGGTGCAGGCACGTGCTGTTTGCATTAAACTACCCAGCCACCTCCTTGGCCCATCGTTTTCTGTGGCTTTGATTGTTCTTTCATTGCTGAGGCTACAGAGAGATGCATCCAGTACCTGGACCAGTACCCAGTACCCTGGATATGGTCCAAATACAGATCCTGGAAATGGACTTGTACTCTCTGACATGGCTCCTTCTACGGGTCCTTTCAGACCATCCTCCACAAAAAAGAGGGAGAGGAGGTGGACCTTCCAGCAGATCAGCCGTCTCCTACTTCCCTGCCACCAAAGAGGGAGGCTGCTACCCAGCTCATCCTGTCTGCAGGCTTCTTGGGTGCTGAGCTCTCTGTTATGCAGGCGTCCTTCAGCCTGAACATCAGCAATAACATGGTGGGTAATTTGGGCCTGGAGATTTTCCTCAAGGGACCCCTAAAGAAACCTGTGCCTGCGTTCAAGGCAGATCCATGCTCTTTTCATCACTCTCTGGCACTGGTCAGTGGCTGCAGACAAGTGTATTTGGGGATCATGAAAGGGATTATCAGTAGTTTGTTCTGTCTGTGTTTTATGGAGTCCCTGGTTTATAGGGATTTATGGACATCCTTCATGCATGGCCTCAGGGTGCTCCTTCAGGTCCAGCAACAGCATCCGAGATCCTGCTAGGCTCAGGCAATGACAGTGTATTTTTTTTGAGGACAGTCGTGTGTAACACCCAAAGCCTGTTGTCCTGTTGTCCCTGCCCCATGCGTGGCTGCTGCAGCCGAGCACCTGCCCCCAGGACCACCAGCCGGGGAGCCACCAGCTGCAGTGGCAGCGCCCTGTGCCCTGCCTGGTGCCCGCAGCAGAGGAGCACAGTGCCTGTGGTAGCCCCAAGGGCTCAGCAGGTCCTGGCTACCAGCCAGGGTGAGCCCGAAACACCGTGGGGCTGTGGCAGCCTCCAGCCGCCGAGCTCTGCAGCCTCTCTGCCCCTCTTTGCTTCCTGGTGTTGAACTCCCCCCAGCTGAGTGCTTGCAGTCCCTGCCTCTGTGCTTCCTCAACAGATCCTTGGGCTTCCCCCGCTGGTGACCACGACGCTTGGAGCCCTCATCCCAGAGGTGGGTGGACTTTGCTTGATCCTAATGGTCTTTGGGTCATCTCAGGCTATTAACAGCAGCAGGTAATGCTGTTCTCCATCCACCCCCTGTGGCCAATCACAAGGACTCCCTGAGAACCTATTCCTCAAGACCAAACTGGTGATTTTTTTCATTTTATTAGCAAAATTGTTATTAATAAGACTAATAAGACCTGATTGCCTGGCTACCATTGACTTTGGTGACTGCTACTGATGCTCAGCAGCCATCAGGATGATCCCCAGAGCAGTGAACTGCAAAGGAAAGGGGAATGCCACCCTTTGGTTTGTCTCTCCCCAGCTTTCCATGGTGCTGCCTCCATCACAGCCACTGGTGATTGAAATGAGGGAAGCAAATCCACCGCTGGTGACAATAACCCCGAACAAAACCATCGTGCACCTCTTCAGCACTGCCGAGTTTTGGGTTTCCAGCCCGGATTCCGATCTTGGATCTCTCTTTGTCCTGGATGTGGTGAGCTGAAGCCTTTTGCAGTCGGTTGCTGGCTGGCTGTAGTTGCCCCTGCCCCATCCAGCAGACGGCAGCGGGGGGCGTGGGACATTGGGCAGGGGCTGCGGGGCAGTGCCTGGCCCTGGGTCAGGGCCTGGAGCAGCCGCCTGGGGACCTGCTCGGCTGCACACATGTCCCGCTGGGGACCCGCACCCCTCTTCTCCCTGCAGCACTCCGACCTGGGAGCACAGTTTGCAGTTGAGGAAGAGAGGCTGCAGCTCTCCCTTGCTCTGGACAGGTAACAGCTGCTGGGCTCTCTTCCCAGTGCCACCACAAGCACAGGGACAGTCCCGGGCTGCTGGAGAGCCCGCACGTGCCACATGTGCATTTCCATCTCTCTGCATGAGTTTATTGCAGTTTATACTAACAGCTATTTAAAAAGAAAGAAAAAGGTTCAGCATGACATAATGCAGCTGAACTGAAACCTAGCTGGGGTCTTCACTCTGAAGAGTTGAAGTTCAGGCTCCAGCCGAACAGCTCGGGGGGTTGGTGAGCTGGGTGCTGGGTGCAGGGCAGGATTGCTGTGGGTGGCGGGGGGGCTGCAGGCTGTGACCCCCGGCAATTTCTCTCCCCACAGCTTGTCCCAGGTGGCCTTGGTGTCCTCCTCCATCGGCACATTTGATGTGAGTTCTGTGCAGTGGGTGTGGGACAAAGGCAGCGCTGAGATCTCCTCCATGGGCTCAGTGCTGGTGGGCTTGGGTAGGAATTCAGTCCTTGGAGCCTGGTCCCATTCCTTTCATTATCAAAAACAGATTCATTAAAACACTAAACAAGGTCAAACTGAATGCCAAGGATCAAAATTTAAAGGAAGATGTAAATGACAGATAAACTGCCCAAACTGCTTGCCCACAAACACAAATGCTCTGGTGGGGGTCCCTGTTTGTAACGCACTGTGCGAATTCCTGGGAGGGTTTGGGCCATAAATAACTGCCCGCCGCCTGGTCTGCCCTCATGCCACGTGTGCTCAATGTTCAAGTCTCCAAATCCCAACACAGCAGCAGAGCCATGCAGCAGGGTGAGAGCCTGAGGACCTGTGGGCAAGGTCTGTCCATCCGTCCGTCTGTCTGCAGGGCTGGGCAGCCTTTAGGCAGTGAGGAGGCGCCTGCAGCAGCGGTGGCACTGCCCTGAGTGCCCATGCTTGCTGCTGGCGCAGAGGAAGGTTTTCATTTTTGGCAGCTTTCACTGAAATTTAGAATTTTTCAAATGTTCCCATTTGTCTTGGGGTAGCGGAGGGACCTGTGCAATTTTCCTGTGATTTGGGGCCGCGCTGGATGAATTAATGGAAGTGAGCCTGACAGGCATGGCTGCTGGCAGTGCAGAACGATGGGCTATGTACATCACCCCTCTGTGTTTCAGGAGCTGCCGCTGAACAGAGTTCTCGCAGACATTATTCATGTGGCCTACGTGCCATCCATCAACAGTAAGCACGGCTATGGCTTCATCTGAGGATTCGCTTTCTGCACAGGGAAAATAGCTCTCATTTCTTTTCCTATAGCTTGTTGTTATCTTTTTTTTTTTTTTTCTTTTTTTTTCTTGGAAATGGCATTGACTGGCTGACCTTGCATACTTTCTCCTGCCCTCGGTGGCAGTGAGTAACGGTGCCCAGGAAAATTGCTGGCCTGTCATTGTGCAGCTGCGGGGCATGCAGCCGGAGCTGGGGACGGGCAGTGCCTCCGGGCTGGGGGCTCGGCACAGCCCCTCCTGGGCAGATGGGGAGAGCTGGGCCCCATGGGCAGCTCCAGCAGGGGCTGCAGGCTTCCTCTCTGACACCTCCCTGAGTGTTGCTGCTGTTCTGAAAATCAAAGCCACTTGTCAGGCAAAACTGGGAACAGTCCTCATAACTGTTCTGAAGTCTCCAAAAAACGACTCGTCCCTCTTTGCCATGCCAAGGCATCATTAAAATGCCCACCCTAGAACACCAGTTTATCTGCTTAACTCATATGGAAAGCACGCCGAAGGACGAGATTTTATTCATGCTAATGTACACAGGCCAGGGTGCCAGCCCTGCCTGCTTTCCTTCTGAGTGCTCCCCAAACCTCCTGCAGAGCCCACAGCGGGCACAGGGGTGGTGGGGCTGGGACCCCCTGACGCCTCCCCGCTGGTTGCAGGGGCGCTGCGAGGAGGGGTCCCGCTGCCCCCGCTGCTGGGCACCCAATACCGGTGGGCAGAGGTCAGCCAGCTGCAGGTAGGCACGGGCACCAGGGATCCCCGATCATCCCCACCCAGCAGGGTGACACTGAATCCTGCCCCCGTGCTTTTTTTCTTTTTAAATCTGCAGAACGGGCTCGTGCTGGATGTGCCTGTCACGGAGATCTGACGCACGGGGAGGGACGGCTGCACCCGGCTGCTGCTGCGCGACTGAGCCAGAGCGGGGGGCAGAGGGAACGGCGAGGGTGGTGGCTTTCCTGGGGCGCTTCTTCCTCTTTGCTTGACTTCTCAACATTTTCCCTCCTGAGCTAAAATTAAAAGAGCGGATCACACAGTGACGGGACTCTGGCCTGCTGTGCATTCAGTGCAGCCAGCCGGGCACGTCTTCGCTGAGGTCGCATTTCTGCAAAGAGCTGGCCCCTGAATTGATCACGTCTGTAACAAAAATGGCACAGGCATTGGGGCAATGGGGGGCTGCAGAACCCACATCTCCCCTGGGAGGGGGGCAAGAAGGGTTCCCAGGGGTGTATACCCCTGCTGTGACAGGAGGGGTTCGTGTCTGCAGCCGCATGCATGGGGTTGCGCATTTTGGAACTAGTCAGGGAAGCACGTTTAGATATCTCCCGGTGTTTTTTAATATTTCAGAAGTGCCTCGTATCATGGTTTATTGGCTGCATTGCAGATATTGATCCCAAGCATATAGTTCACTGATTGCTGGATAATTACGTGTCATTAGTATGCCAATAAACAGCTTTGATCCTCATTTCATTGAACCAACGTGAATCGAACATTTTTTCCTGGTGACAGGTAGCTGGTGTAGAATTAAGGTTATCTTTGAAAAGATCATTGTGGTTTTAAGAAATTGTCCTCAAGAAAATCTCACTGTGAGGCAGGCTATGAAAACCCCATTTGTTTTCTTGTGTGTGCTGCCAGACACAGCAGGCGTTTGCTCTGTACTGCTCGTAAGGAATTGTCTTTGTGAGAGGCTCTAAGCAATGAGGAGAGCAGTCATAAAGCCAGCTCCCTGTGAGGACTGGTGTTTATGATGCCTTCCCTCCTCATTGCCGTGCAAGCACTGCCAATGCCAAGCATTTTTAAAAAAGATTTTCCTCATTGTTCTTGCTTTAGCTAATAAAGAATTGAACAGTTTGGGTTGGAGCTCCTCTGAGAAGGAGAAATAAGAATCACAATATCTGTATGCAGCCCTCCTAGGAGAAACAAAAGCTGGAAATCTCAGGTGGTGCCTATTTAATTTTTCATGAAACACTTAACCACGCTGCCAAGCCGTGCTATCACATAGCTGGCATTTAATGCCCCGGGACAGCTGCTCGAGGCACAGCTTTTGGATGCACGCAGAGGCCAGCACCACGTGCCGGGGCTGTAGGGACCCCAGCCCTGGTCCCCCAACAGGGCCTTGTGTGGTCGCTGCTGTTGGTACGGGGAAGCAGAACCCAGGGGGCTGCTTCCTGAAGCAGAGCTCTCCATTTTGTGTTGCTGCTGTGGCCAGAAGGGTGAAGGTGTGAGGGGGGGGCCTGCCTCTTGCCCTGGCAGCCAGGGGTGCCCCACGTGCGAGGCCCCACACCCCCAGCTCCAATTGTCGCTCCCAGAGCAGATGCAGTCCCAATAGCCAATTCACCAATAATCAATCATTATTTCACCCATGCTCAGGAATTGTCTACCCCTCTTGTTAATGCCAAGATCTCTAATCCTTCTTGGTGCTGTGTCCCTGGTACAGCCTGTCCTTACGTCTCAATTCCTTGGTGATTCAACTGTCAAAGACGTAGCTGCTCTCGTTGCTCCCATTCTTCTTTTGAACAAGCCCGTTCTGATGCAGTCTGTGTGTCTTCACGCGCTGATTTGGCCTCGGGTTCTTTGGGCTTTCCAAGTTGCTTTAGTGAGAGCTGGACCTTGAGCCGTGATTCTCTTTATGGGAATCTGCTTTGGTTTATCTGAAATATTTGGTTGTCAGAGACCTCTTCATTCAGTGACAGCGGGTGAGAAGCCAAGTTACAGTCATGCCTAAAAGGTCACTGCTCAGGAGCTATTCTCTGCAGTGCCAAAATGCCCCGTTACTGTGTGCCGACCATCAGCAGGGCTTTCTTTATGGTCAGTCAGGTTTCGTATAGTGATTGATTGCCCAAAGGATGAAGTGGTTCAGGAGGGATGATAACATAATACCATCTTGTTAACACCCTCTTCCATCTTATCAAATGCCACGATCTAGCAGTGACAGCAAAGCTTTGTGCTCCGGGGGTGCCTGACTGATCAGGTTGCAGGAGAGTGACAACTCCGTAAGTACTTTGGCACCTTTGTCATCCCTTCCTTGGCCTTCAGCTAAGATATTTTTTAAAGCTGGAATTAATGTGTGACAAAAGCTGGCTAATCTCCTGGAAATACTTATTTCCAAGTTTGCAGAAAGTATTAACTCCGAGCAAGCATTTTTCTGGGCTATTATTCCTCCGAGCTGGGGAGCAGCCCATCTACCCCTGCCATTAATCATCATGACAGCAGAGTGAATAGTTCACAGCTGCCCCCTTGGCTGGCCATCGTGTCCTCTCCTCCACCAGGGACAGGTTGCATGGTGCGTGCCCACACGGGGGGCTGCGCTGGGGCTGCGGCCCCAGAGGATGGCTTTCCTTTTCCTGCCCCAAAGCCTGCTTGGTGCAGGCTGAGGCAGCAGCTCCGTGCACCCGTGTGGTGCTGGGACCAGGAGGGGAGAAGGAGAGAGCCAGTGCCTCTGGATGCACATGATGCATTGGCTCACCAGAATTTGTTCTCCTTTCCTCCTGCCTGCAGCAGTAAATTAATTGGCAGTAAATGAGGCGTGATGAGGTGGGATGCGATTTTTCAGCACGATTCCAAAAACCTTTCCAGAAATCTGAGGGCATGCAGGCCTAGATGGAGGGTGAAGACCCCGGGCAGGTGCTCGGCTGTTCCTCTCCTGCAGCACATTTGTTGCCGGGGATAGTGCAGCCACAGAGACCACCTCTCTTGGTGTGCCCATCCTGGATCAACATTTCCTCCAGGACTCAAAACAATTCTGAGCCCACCAGTTCCAGCTTGGGAGCTCCCTGGCTTTGCAGTCGATAGCATCACCCTTTGAGCAGTTTCTCCTGTGGCAGCACATCCCACCTTCCGTCCTCCTCAATAACACAGCACCGAGAACTGCACCAGTACTTGGTGGTGGGGGCGGCTGGCATTTTGACACATTTTTCAGTCAAGGCTTTAATTTCATTCAGAAAAAAAATAGCATTTTATGAGGACACGACTTTCCAGCCACGTCTACATCTTGATGCAGGGCTCATGGGACAGAGACCAAGCCCCAACCCATAACGTATGAACCGAGGCAGCGGTTGTGTGCACATCCATGAGGACTGGCACCCAGGGCTGGGCTGACCTCTGCCGCTACACATATTAGTCATTGCTCAATGATTTACCCAACTCCTAGTATCTATAAGGAAATATTTGCAGTAGAAGTCACCAGAAACCATATATTGTTTGTTTTGCTCCCCACTAATTCTTCTGGATGTCCTCCATGACATCATTTGCCTCATTCCTGGTGAGAAGATCTGTATATAAGGATGCGTGCTGTGGGGCATCTTCAGAAGGCAGGGACATTGGACGGAAAGATCCGTACACCGAAGAGATCGGTCAGGTAAGAGCAAAACTATTCCTCAAAAAGCATGTTCTTAGCTTCTGCTTCTGCAAATCTGAGTGTCCTCCCAAAGGCAAAGCCTTGATGTCAGCTTGTGACTATTTTTTTTTTTTTTTTTAACAAAAAACATTATTCTTGCCTGCTGCCTGACTGAATTATGCTCTAACAAGCAAAATGTGAGGCAGCCTTCACTGCGAGTTTCTGAGGAACAGACGTGCATGTTCATTGTATTGGCAGTCCTTGAAGCAGAAAGGGTATTTTGTGATTTTCGTAAACAGTTACCAGATTAATTACTTATGGTATAATTCTAGTGTCCAAGATAGCATTTTTACCTAAGGTGAATTACACCTTTCACATTTGTTTTGATCCTTTTTGATGTGCTATTTACATTTAAATAGATTCGGGGCAATGAAGTTCATTATGGTTCTGTAAAAACGCTTCAAGTTGTAGATCCCCCAAAATATTTCAATGGCACTGAAACTTCTAAAATGATTTCCTTCTTCGTGTGATTCTTGGAAAAGGTGCTCTTATGCAGAGGCAAGCCTCAGATTCATGATGTTTGTGATAGATCCTGACACTCAGACAAGGAGATGCTTTCCTCACCAGACGTGCCGGTGCATTTGTCTGTGTGCTGCTGCTGCTTTTCTTTCTGTGACCTTCCCAGTCGGTAACAACACGCTGACCAGTGCTGGGGGCTTCAGGCAGGACCATCTGAGCAGCCTCCTTCTCTTGGCTGCCGTGATAGGTCTTTGCAGCAGCTGCTGCTGGAGCTGTGGTTGCTCCTGCAGGGAAGTGCTGTCAGGACCGTTCTGTGCCCACTGGTGCGGTGGAGAGGAGGGAGAGGTGCCCGCAGCTCCCTCTCTGATTTTGTCTTCCTGCGAGCCTCTCCTTTCCTTCTTCCTCCTCCTTCCTCCAGCCACTGCTCTGTGCTCCCTGTTCCAGCATTGCACTGATGCCAATTGCTTTCCGCAGTTATCAGAACCGAAGATGTTCAAGTTCTGTGTGGTTTTCCTCCTCTGCGGCCTGCTGACCCCTTCGCAAGGACTTGCTGGAAGTGCCTCGGTGTCTGCCAGGGTGGATAAAGATGTGCTAGAAGGCGGTAGGTGTTTGGAAGAGACAGCATTTTTCTGTTTTGAGACCACTTCTGCTCTTTCTGTCTCTTGACCATATTCAGAAAAGCAAAAGCTGGTCCAGCAGTAGTGACAATGCTCGTAATTTGCATTTACAAAGCATTTTGCAGATGGCATGTCAGATACTTCCCAGTGACTGGAGCATCACCCCGGTGCACCAAGAGGGGAAAGGAGGCAGAGGGGAGGGAAGGAACAGCCAGGCTGACAGAGCATGTTCGTGTGCTTGGGTCATCGTGGCTCACAGTGACCTCTCAACTGTTTCTTCAGCCATTACAGGGTCACTAGGCAACAGCAACCTTCTCAAAGGGCTCCTGGATAGTCTCCTTGGTGGCGGTGGTCTTGTTGGCGGTCTGCTTGGAGGCGATGGACTTGTTGGAGGTCTCCTTGGTGAAGACGGACTTGTTGGAGGTCTCGTTGGTGGTGATGGACTTGTTGGTGGTCTCCTTGGTGGTGATGGACTTGTTGGTGGTCTCCTTGGTGACAAAGGACCTGTTGGTGGTCTCCTTGGTGGTGATGGACTTGTTGGTGGTCTCCTTGGTGACAAAGGACCTGTTGGTGGTCTCCTTGGTGGTGATGGACTTGTTGGCGGTCTCCTTGGTGGCAAAGGACTTGGTGGTGGTCTCCTTGGTGGCAAAGGGGCCATTGGTGGTCTCCTTAGTGGTGATGGACTTGTTGGTGGTGCCCTTGGTGGTGATGGACTTGTTGGTGGTGCCCTTGGTGGTGATGGACTTCTTGGTGGTGTCCTTGGTGGCAAAGGGGCCTTTGGTGGTCTCCTTGGTGATGATGGACTTGTTGGTGGTGCCCTTGGTGGTGATGGACTTGTTGGTGGTGCCCTTGGTGGCAATGGTGGTCTTGCAGGTGGTCTCCTTGGCAAAGATTCTCTTGCAGGTGGTCTCCTTGGTGGCAAAGGGACCGTTGGTGGTCTCCTTGGTGATGATCCTCTTGCTGGTGTCCTTGGTGGTGATGGAGCAGTTGGCGGCCTTGTTGGCAGCAACGGTATTGCAGGTGGTCTCCTTGGTGGCAGTGGTCTCCTCGGTGGACGTGGTCAGCGCGGCCAAGGCACTTCTCCTGAAGGAGGGCTCCTTGGCAAGAACGGTCTGCTGGGCACCATCCAAGGGCTCACAGGGTGAGTGAGAGTGGGAGACGCGTGTCCCCCGAGCAGCCCTCTGTGCGAGGTCTGGGCAATGCTGGGGAGAGAAGCTTGTGGTGTGGGCACACCGTCCCCTCCTTCCCATCCTTGGGGCAGCTTCATAAGGGTTCAGCTGTTGGGAGTTTGTGTGTGCCCCTACCTCAAGGGTGCCTCGTGCCCGCTGCAGGCTGGCCCTGGCTGGAGGGGAGCCCTGCGGGCCCAGGGTGCAGAGGACCCCAAGACCTTGGCTCAGTGACTGGCCACAGCACTGGGGGCCAAGGGGATCCCAGCAAAGTGCTCCTGACTGACTTTCCTTGTTTCGACTCTCCAGGCTGAAAATTGTGAACATCACCCTCCCCAAAATAACCCTGGGCTTCCTGCCAGGCGTCGGGCTCCAGCTGAATATCTACACCCAGCTGCTGGTAGATGGCAATGGGTAAGTGGCATCTGTCGGGGGCACAGCTCAGGGCAGGGGTTCCCCACCTCTTCGGAGAGCAGATGGATAGAAAACCCTCTGAGACGTGTGTCCTCCTTGGGCTGTGCAGCGCAGCGGGTGGACTGCTCCAGCTCCAGGTGGAAGCGAACATCACAGCAAGAGTCCGGCTGGTCCAGGACAAGTCGGGGGCTCTCAAGCTGGTCGTTGAAAACTGCAAGACTCTTCTCGGAGACGTCAACATCCGTGTTGGGTAGGTCTGCATGTGAGCAAAGTGCTCGTCACTGCTGCTGCTGTGAGAAACCTTTGCACTATTGACCATCAAAGAGTGCATGACGCACCAGATGAAGTGTTTTTTTTTTTTTAAGTTTTAGCTTGAGAAAACATATTGCAAGGTTGTGCCGCAGTTCTGGCATTGGGCCTGGTTTGGGGGTGCTTGCTTTTGATGTCATTCTGGCACTGGCGTACAGCCCTGGACAGTGCCAGGCCTCATGTTTCTCTTGTGTGAAGTACATTTATTTTCCAGCTGCTCGTCTATTTCACATTTTGTTTCCCATTTGCCTCCAGACCCAAAGTGCCACTTGTGGAGAAAACCTTAAAGAGCGTCCTCGGCGGTGTCCTGCCCGGGCTGGTAAGTGCACGAGCAGTGGCAGCAGCATGCTGCGGGTGGCCAGGCACCAGGACGGGGCTGTTTGCACAGCTGCAGCCTCACCAGGTCACCCACCCGGCCCTGCCACCATGGCCAAGGCTCTGTGGGCAAGTGCATTTCTGAGAAATGTGCTCGTGTAACGGGCACCCCGCCTGCACGAGTGGAGGGTCTCGCCCTGGCAGTGAATCCCAACCTGGTGCAGCAGGCGTGTGGCGATGCTGAGCCCTGCACCAGGGCCCCCCAGCAGCAGCCCAGGGCAGGCAGGGAGGGAGCTAAGGAGCTTTTAGCCCCAGTGATGCCACACATGGAGGCTTTTCTGGGTGCCCCGGGGTCCTGACCTCTCTCTGCCTCCCCAGCTGTGCCCTGTCGTCGACACCGTGCTGGGAGTTGTGAACTCGCTGCTTGGCTCCGTGACTTGTAAGTGCTGCGGTCCCTTCCTCTTGTCTGTGTGTCCCCCCTCGGGTCTGCCCTGCTCTTAGGGTTTGTTTTCCTTACGCTGGGCACATACAAATGTTTTAACAACTTTTTGAAAACACGACTCTCCATTCAAGCACAGCATTCAACCTCCCTTGCCCCCAGAGCAGCAGCAGGCAATGTTTCCTGCAGAAAGCCACTTCAGGACCCATAGCTTTTGGAAACAAGAGTTTTGCTGCAGAACAGTGCTTGCCAGCCCCTTGTCCGGCTGGGAATGCTGTGAGCAGGGGCCACCCACAGCTCAGATATCTTTTGGGACCATGGTATTTGGGAGCAGTTCCTCTCCTTGCAGCTTAGAAGCTCTCCTCCCTGTGTCTCGCAGCTGTGCTCCCACTGGGGGCCCTGGGCGATCTCCAGTACACCCTGTCCTCCCTTCCCATCATCGGCGACAAGTCCATCCAGCTGGATCTAAACGTGAGTGCTGCCAAATGCCTTCGAATCAGCAGGTTTGGGTGGTTCATCCCAATGGGGTGGCTGCTTGTGCAGGACTGCCTGTTTCCAGCTGTCTGAGCACATTCACCGAGCGCTGCTGCATGGGGCCCGGCCAGGTCTGTGCCTGTGCCGCTGCCGGGTCTCTGCCTTATTCTCTCCTTGCTAACCCTGGAGGACAGCGTGAGTCAGACCGGCTTGACACTGGCTAATTAAGCATAATTACAACACTCGCATAGTTGTTAATCAGAAAAGCCCAACATTAGCATTTCATACAGGAGCAGTAGGTCACCGTTTACAAAAAGGTTTCATTTGTAAGTGGTTTAAAAAAGTTTGGTGTATAATTAATGGGGATTATAATCATGCCAAAAATATTGGCAACGTGTCTTACTCATCAGGAGATGTCACAGTGCTCGGAGTGGAGAGCTCCAGCAAATGCTTCCGTTGCCTGTGCCAGGGCAGCCGAAAGCAGCTCTACAGTGAACAAAGCATCAATTGATGGCGCAGGTGGGCAGGGAGCCTGGCAGCCCCTCTGATGCCAACCTCCTGCCCCTGCTCTGTCCCCTGCAGCTCCTCCTCAGGGATGCGGCAGGCAACGTGGTGGAGCCCGTGCGCGGGCTGTCGTCGCCTGTCACCCTGCTGCCAACCACCGGCCGCGGGGTGCAGGTGGGGCTCTCGCAGGACGTGCTGGGCGCCGTGCTGGGGCTGGCCCAGAAGCAGGGAGCCTTCAACCTGGACATCACCAGCTCAGCGGTGGGTTGGGGCTCACGGGGTGCGGCTGAGCCCGGCAGAGGCTCCTGCAGAATCCTGCTGGCTGCTGACCCCGCGGGTGCTGTTCCCACAGGTACCCAGTAGCATCCCGCTGTCCACCTCGGCCCTCATCTCAGCCTTCCCTCAGGTCAGCCACCTCACACTGTGTAGGATAGGGGATAAAATAGATGCATTGCATGCATTTGTCCCTAACCCCCCTGGCCACGCCGAGGCCGCTGGCCCTGATGGCTCCTCTCCCTGCACAGCTCTCCACTGTGGTCCCTGGGTCGCTGCCGCTGGCGCTGCGTGTGCGGCCGGCTGATGTGCCACAGGTGTCCCTGCGGGATGGGAAAGCCACGGCCACCCTCCAAAGCACCATCGACGTTGTGACACGGCGACCAGGCTTCCCCGTGCAGACCCTCTTCAGCCTGGACTCGGTGAGCGTGAGGCAGGGGGATGGTGTGGGGCTGCTCCCTGCGGCAGCACCCGTGCCCTTGGATGCCCCACATCTTAAAAATGGCTTTTTAATGTGCTTGTAACCACACGCAGGTGAAACATTGGATGAATAATTCAAAAATTAATTGAATACGTTTAAGTAAAAAATTAAATAAATTCAAAAAGATGGGAATTCCAAATCCCAAGGGGACAGATCCGTGGCACCATCTGTCCAAAAAATGCTATTTCTAGACACAGATGGGTGTTTTTTCACCATCTGGGTTATTTATAAATATTCCATGTTTTATTTCCAGTCTCGGGGAGCTGTGCTGGGAAATAACTTCATTTCTTCTGTTGTTGCAATTCCAGGACATCGGTCTGAACATCACCCCCTCCGTGGCCAGCGGCAAGCTGCGCACCTCCCTGGCCATCGACAGGTAGGGCCCAGCTCGGCGGGGGGGGCTCTGCTGGTGGCTAACGGGAAGCACGAGGGAGGGGTGGGAGAAATGTGAAGCTTCTGGGGCTTCAGGGCTTCCCCCGGCACCGACCTCAGATGAAGAGCATGCCTGAAGTAATGAGAGGTTTTGTGTATTTGTATGGACAGGACAAATTCTGGAGCAAAAAGGGTCTGGGCACTGCTCAGAAGTGGTGAGGGCTGCTCTTAATTGTTTTTATCTTTTTGTTTTTATCTTTTGTAGAGTCAAACTGAGACTGGCATCCTCACAAATTGGCCCTATCAATGTAAGTGCTTGCGATGGTCATGCTGCAGCAAGTGATTTGTTGACCAGGAGCTATTTGTAGGGCAGGGACACCGACATTTGTCGGCTGGAGGGGTTTTGCTGTAGGAAGCTCCCTGGCATCCGCGTGTCCCAGCCCCAGGCATCCTGCACCCACAGAGCTTAGCTCATAAAGCTGCCGGCGCTCAGCCTTCACCCCCAAACCATCATTTCCCTCGGGTACTGACTTGTGCCTCCTCCCTCTGCAGGCCTCCCGGCTTGAAGGATGGGTGACCGACGTCCTCACAGCTGCATACGTGCCTGCCATTAACAGTACGGCGGGGGCCGAGCCCTCCCCTTCCACACCCAGCCTAAATCCCAGCCCCCTCCCCTGCTGGCTGCTTCAGGGGCTTTGCCCGCAGCCAGCCGCTCTCTTGGTCTTGCAGGTGCCGTGAGTGCGGGGATCCCTCTGCCCAACATCCTCAACACCAACTTCGAGAACAGCCAGGTGGACATCGCTGATGTAAGGCTCTCTTCTCCCAGCATTGCTTTCCCAGGGGGGTGCAGGATGAGGGGCCCCTTCCCGAGGAGCTGCTGCTCGCTCTTAGGGGCTTACCCTGCAGGATATGGGGAAGAGCTGGAGAAAACCCAGCTGACAAAACTGAATTGTTTTTGTGCTTCTTCCTGGCAGAACACCTTTGTGATCAACCAGAAGCCTAGAGTGCTCTAAAACCAGCTTATCTCAGCAAAACCTTGCCCTTGGTCCTGGGATGAGGCAGATAATTCCCCGTGAGCCTGGAGAGCCCTGGTCGTCCCTAATTGCTTCGTCTTGATTTTCTCTTGAGTATTGTCATGTGTTATTGCCGTGGCCCATAGGGAGGGATGTTTCTGGTCCATCCGTCCTGCTATAGCCCACATGGGGGTATGGAGAAGGTGCTCGGCTGATGGATATAAGGGGGCATTTTCTGTGGCCAATTCTAACACCCTAAGTCTGGAACCAGAGCCCCTGTTTAGGCACAAATGTTACTCTCAAATTCCTCTATCAATAAAATCCTTCACTGCCTCAATACTTCTCTCTCTGAATGTTCTTTGGCTGTGGGTTTCCAGCTGCCAGGATCCATTTGTCCCTGCAGTGCCCCTACACCATAGGGCCCATGGAAAGGCCACGCAGCTCAGCGAGGAGGCCGTACCCAGAGCCAATAATCCCATAAGCTGCGACCTAGCAGAAAGCACTTGTGCAGCTCTGGCGGTGGCTCCAGCTGTGAAGTCATGTGTGAAAAACCATGTGTGGCTGCACAGAGCCACCACCGTGTCCTCCCGATTGCCACCACCAGGAACCAGCTGTGTCCCCCTCTCCCAAATTTTCCTGTTTTTCAGGAAATCTCCCTGCTTTTCAGGAGCCAGAGCCCCCACCCCAGCCCCAGCCACACACACAGCTCCCTCCCTGCACCCCAGCACCCTGGGGCTGCATTGCAGAGGCAGCTCCAGACCAGTGCAACCTCCCTGGAGCAGTGTGGGGACCACCAGCAAGGCACAGGAACGGGGCTGAGCCTTCTGCTCGATAACTGAGCAGGGAGAGCCACAGCGAGGGAGCAGATGGGCCAGGAAAGAGCATCCACTGCTCGACCTGGAAGGCAGAGAGCTGATGTGCCCAGCACTGCCTCTTGTATTAGGGTCTGTACAGAGTCAGGCACTGAACTTACACCTTCCTGCTGCCTTGTTTAGGGATGTTTTTTCCCCTTGTTGTGTAAGATGCACTGGACAGTTTTATCTGGGATCTTAGCAATATATTTTATCTCACAAAGGTATTAACTGCTCAAGACACCGGGACAAAGGCACCCTTATGATCCGTGGGCTGACACCCGATCTGCATTTCTCACCCTGAAGGGACTTTCCTGGGGCTGCAGGAACACAACCTGCTGGAAGGGGCTGGCGGCTGTGGAGGCCGATAGGATAATCCTTGGGAGCTGCTTCTCAGGTTGAACACTAAAGGAGCTAAAATGTCTCCCAGGGCCTTTCTGGAGTGCTCGATGGAAAGCTGGGCAGGACCTGAAAAATCACCTGCAGGTGTATTTGTGGATACCAGCGCAGCAGTTTGTGTTAATGCCTGGATGCAGGTGGTGGCTGGGATTTGTGTGGACACCTGGAGAATAAGCTGATTTTCCAGCATGCCTCCTTTGGGGTCAGCAGCAGCTCCATGTGCTCCAGCCCACTGAGGCTTGGGGATTTTCTCCTTTCCTCCGAGCTCTTGGGTAACAGCACTGCTGATAAGGGGGTATCTGGTGTCCTATTGCTCAATACTCCATCCTGTTTTACAAAGCATTATTTATACTGGGATATATTAAAACCACAAATGCTGCTTTATGGACCCAATCCACTAGCCCAGCTTTTACAAATTAGGCATCCTTCCACTTTTCCTGTATCAGTTTTGCTATATAAGGACCCCCTGTTCCTACACAGCGGGGAAGAGCTGAGAGCTGGGTGACCATGGACAGCTGCGAGGTCTCCACTTGATCAGGAGCTGAGCTGTGGAAGACCAGAGCTGAGCTTTGCAATTTGGGATAAGGCCAGGTAAAGGTGGGCAAAACAGTGGCACGCGGTTTTCTAAGACTGGGGCACAGAGCCACCATTTTACCTGCAAGCCCTGCAATGAGCTCTGGTGAGTGAGAAAAACGTTGGGAAGATACTGAAAATGGTAGAAATGTGCCTAAATGATCCTAGTTTATATTTAGTGGCTAGCGTGAAAACTCCAAAAAGCAGATTGATAAAGCAATATGGGAACACTTCTCTGAAGGAAACTGTATTCATCTGACACACAAAAAAAAAAATTAGGGATATTTTTGCGTTGCAGGATTTTTTAAAGCAATTGGTGTTATTTTTATTGTTGCAAGGTTAAAACGTGCCATTTAAAAAAGAGCTGAAGGAATTTATTCCAGACATGAGTTGTTTGTGTGATGGCACGATGGATTTGCACGCCTGCTTAGGGGATGGTTTTTAGCGAGGGAAGCGCCGTGCAGCCTCTGGGTTATGAGTTACAATTTCATGCTGCAAGTTCAAAATCATGTCACAGCGACCGGAGGTGGAAAGGAGCACGTTGCCCGGGCTGCACGTGAATGGAAGCAAGCAAATAGGTGCTGTGGCTGTGCAGACAGTGGCTTGAAAAATCACCGACAGATGTGCGTATGGATGCCTCCCTCTTTCCGTGTGTGTGTGTGTCCAAATCTGTTAGCCAAATGTGGCTCGAACACACAAACAGTTTTGCTCCTTCTAAAGCCCAGATTTGCTGCTCACCTAAAACTGCGCACCCAGCTCGAGGTATCTCAGGCTTTCCTCTGCCTCCAGGGGTTGTCCACCCTGTTTCCCCTCACCTCTGTTCTCTTTCCCCAGGTTGTTTCTGGCTGCCTCAGTGCCAGCGGTGTGAGCGGTGTGAGCCATCCCTTGTCCCCATCCTGCCACCACCACCAGCGGGGTCAGAGGACAGCATGCAAACAGCTCTGAGCATCGCTGTCGTGTACGCCCTGCTGACCCCGACACTGGGCCAGCCACCAACAGATGCCGTCCTGAGGCTCAATAAGGGTGTTCTGAGCGACGGTGAGTTGACCTGCCCTAACCAACCTCCGAGTCTTTCTTTTTTATTGTGATTAAAATTTCAAGTAGCCAGGCTCCCAGAAGGCCTCCCCGCGTGCTAGGGACTAACCAGAGGTGCTGCATGAGCCCTAACCTCACCTCCTGGTGTGGGTCTGCCACCATGCAGCCCCTGTAACCACGCCAGCCCACGTGCTGCCTCACCTGGGTGGGCTGCGAATTCCCCTGCGCTGCTTTGCGCAGCTCCGTGCCTCCTGCCCTGGTATTTGGAAGATGTCAAAGCCCTTTTTGCTGTTGTAGCACAGATGGGTAAAAAGAAGCGCAGGCAGGCAGGGGCTGGAACGGGCGGTGACTGGGATGGGGAGCTCGTGCTGGGGCTCAGCCTGCAGGTGAAGCAGGAGGGGCTCTGCCCAGGGACTGATGGTGCTGGGGGTCTCCAGCTCTTGCAGGTTCCCTGCGGCAAGGCAGCGCCCTCCGTGGTGCCCTCGGCGAGGTGCCCCTTGGCAGCGGAGCGCCCGGCGTGGACGGCAGCGGCGGACTTGGAGAGGGTCTCCTCGGTGGCGGTGGCCTGCTGGGTGGTCTCACCGGTGGTCTGCTGGGCGGTGGTGGTGGGGGACTGCTGGGGGGGCTGACTGGTGGCCTGCTGGGTGCGGGTGGTGGTGCTGGTGGTGGCTTGCTGGGCGGAGGTGGGGAGGCTGGAGGCGGTCTGCTCGGTGGCAATGCTGGTGGGGGTCTTCGTGGAGATGCTTATGGGGCAGCCCCCAGAAACGGCCTCCCTCCCAGGGGCTGGCCTGCAGCTGCTGGTGACATCCCCAGGGGTGGCATCCCCCCGGGGGTCTCTGGAGGAGCGCTGGGCGATGGAGGTCTCCAAGGCACGGCGGGGACCCTCGGTGGCCCCGGTGGCCTTCTCGGCAGAGGAGGGCTCCTGGGCAGCGGAGGGCTGCTGGGAGGCGGCGGGCTGCTCGGCGTCCTGGGGGAAGGAGGCTTGCTCAGCACAGTCCAGGGGCTCACCGGGTAAGGAGGGCTCCGTCCGGGATCATTGGAGGGGGGGCAACCTCTGAATGCTGCTGGGGAGGGGGTGCTGTGGTGATCCTTCAGTAGCTGCTCAGATTTGGTTGGGAGCTGACCCTTTGGCAGAAATGCTGCCTGCAAGTCCCCAGGTTTGTGTTGCCGGCTGAAGAAGAACCTCTTAGCTACACAAGGGGAGGTTGGAGGAGGTGGGAGCTGAGAAGTGTTTGCCCGTAGAGGGAGCACTGAACTGTGCATCAGCCCTGGGCAGCCGATGCCGTTGTTTCCAAGCCAATGCTCAGTTGTTTGCAATTTTCCTGTTTTAATTCTTATTGTCTAGCACTGAGCAGAAGCACAAGAACAAGCAATAATAAGGCAACTAGAAAAAGCTTCTGATAAAACTGGAAAATAACCGAGAAAACTTGGTGTCTTTTGCCATTTCTTGCCTAAATTCACCCATCCTCCAAGCAGTCACCTGTGCAGAGCCCCGGGTAGTGGGTTGCTGTGCCCAGAGCCACCACTTGTGACTATTCGTGCCCCCCTCACTGTCCCCACAGGCTGAGGATCGTGGACCTGACGCTCCCCAGGGTGTCCCTACGGCTCCTGCCTGGCATCGGCGTCCACCTGAACCTCTACACCCGGGTGGCCCTCAATGGCAAAAGGTGGGTCTGGCTGGTGCCACGAGGGGTGCAGGGGGACAGAGCCCGCTCCTGTCCCAGGAAGGGGCTGCTCCTCTGGAGCTCAGCCCCGTCCCCTTGCACAGCCTCCTGGGTCTGCTGGACATCGCAGTGGAAGTGAACATCACATCCAGGGTCAGGCTGACCATGGACGGCACCGGCTATCCCAGGCTGGTGATAGAGAAGTGCGACACGCTCCTCGGGGGCATTAAAGTCAGACTGCTGAGAGGGTGAGTGACCACGACGTCCCCATCCACTGGCACGTGCTGACCACTGATCGCCCCTCGCTGACCCCCTGCCCATGCCAGCAGACACCAGGGTGGTGGTGGCAGTCCCCCCGTGCCCTGGCACAGCTGCAGCAAACAGCAGGGTTCTCCTGTGGGGCTACGCAGCCAAGCAGGACACCCTGCAGTGGTGCAGAGGTCTCAGAGGAATATCCCTGCCCCTTGTGCTGCATTCAGTCTTTTTACCTGACATTGCACAGGGTCTGCTAAGATGTAGGCACTTGGCATGTGAAGCACAAAACCTTCTTGGGCTGAGATTGTTTTTGCTCATTTACAGAGCCTAGTAAAAAAAGGCAGCAATAAATTTCCCACTGGCTATTTTGGGATGCAAATTAGACTTATCTCATGCAAAATCCAAGCATACACAACACACTTTGCTGCTGCAATTGCCTTGCTCCAGGAGGCCTGCTCTGCACGCATTTCACAGGGAATTGTTTAAAACTCATTTACTTTGCAGCAGGTTTTTTTTTCCTGATGCTCCTTTGTTTTTCCACAGCCTGCTCCCAGTTGTGGATAATTTATTGGCCAGTGTCCTGAACAGGCTTCTTCCTAATCTGGTAAATTGGAAGAAAAAACCCCTTGTGGTGCGGCTTCGTGTAAGCCGAGCCAGGGCACACCTCAGTCAGTGCAGTTGTTGCCCAAGTGACTCCAGGTGAGCAGGAGGCATAAATCCTGCCCTGGAAAGGAGCAACGAGTCCATCTGAAAGCTGTGCTGCTGCTCCTGCTTGTCCCAGGGCAGGATCAACGCCACTGCCCAGGGGCTGCCATGGTTTGGGTTTATGGGGGGACCCATGCCACCTCTCCATCTCCAACTGTGCCTGCCCCAGAGCCTGGCACAGATCTGCCCAAGTGCCTGGGATCTGCTAACGATGCCCGTGTGATGGGCTGGGGTCTCTGCTCCCTCCCAGGAGTCCCAGGGTCTCTCCATCCATCTCACATGGGTTCCTGGCACCCTGTACTTGTCCTGCTTCCTCAGTGTGCTGGAGGGAGGGCAGGGTGCCCCGGGCTGGACCCAGGGCTGGCCCAGCCTCAGCAGCACCGGGGGGCTACTGGAGGGGCTCCCAGCCCCAGCCCCAGCACTGCAGCACCCGGGGCACAGGGGCTGGGATGTGCCTGGCTCTGAGTGTGGTTGCTCCCCATCCCCCTGCAGCTCTGCCCAGTCCTTGATGTTGCCCTGGGCCTCGTCAGCGACCAGCTGGGGTTCGTCAACTGTAAGTGCCTGGGGTCCCCCCCAGTCCCTTTGGGTCATCTCTGCCCTCCATGCTGACCATGTGGGGACTGTGACATTGCTGCCCCCAGACCCCACCTCTGTGCCACACCAGTGCCAGGACCCCGGGAGCACCCTGCTGAGACCCCCTTATCCCTGGGAGCAACCGGGGAGCAGCACCCAGTAAAGCTAAGCCACCAGCAGAGAGACCCCCGGGTGGGGGCGGTGGGGTGGCCCCTCCGTTCCCAGCAGTGGCACACACTGCTCGTTAGGGATGTGGCTTTGCGTGGAGCTCTCAGAGACAGGGCAGAGCCCACAAGCACATTGGGGCTTTGCTGGAGGAACTGCAGGGGGCAAGGGGAGCTGCACCCCTACCCCATGGGAGCCACTGAGCCTCCTCCTCTGCCCCCAGCACTGGTGCCGCTGGGTTTGCTGGGCAGTATCCAGTACACCGTGTCCAGCCTCCCCCTGGTGACCGGCCAGTTCCTTGAAGTAGACCTGAATGTAAGTCCTGCACCTTCTCTTTCTGTTTGCTACGTGCACTGTGATATCTCACACGGGTTGGGGAAAGGCTCCTCGGCTGAGAACACCGAGCCGAGGGCACCCAGGGTGCTGGGAGGGGGCCACAGAGGGGCTGGCTCTGCTCCCTGCTGCCGTGCTGCTTGCTGTCACGGCAGAGCACAGCGGGGTTCACATTTCAAGAACTTTTGGAGACGGAAATGCAATGGGATCTGCCTTGGCTTGGCTGTGCATGAAGGGATTTCACATTGACTGAACATGAAGTTAACCATAAAGGCAAATATTGCGAGCTTCTGCAACGTTTTTGGCTTGTGCTTCCTTCCCTGTACCTGCAGACTGTTGTTGGGCGAGCAGCAGGAGGCCTGGTTGACTTCCCGCTGGGAAGAACAGAAAGTGTCCCCGCACCTCCGAGGGTCCCCATGCCACCCCTGCCACCGATGCCGGACACCAGCTCCTCCCAGCTGGGCCTTTCCGTCAATTTCCTCCGGTCGGTGCTGTCTGCCCTGCAGAAGGAAGGCGCCCTGGACCTGGACATCGCCAACGGCATGGTGAGCACAGGAGATCTGCCCGGCCCCAGGAGGCTCAGGGCTGCCAGCAGTGTGCTGTGCACTGGCCTCACCTTGCAGTCCTCTAGCACCTCGCTGCCATTTACTGGGATCTGTGCTATCTTGGGCAAAAAAAACACGAGTGAGAGGCCGTGAGGTCTCAGGTGTGTTGCTGGGGCAAAGTACGAGCTATCTGCTGAAGACCATCACACTCACGTGCAACATTTCCCCTCCTTGTCTGTGCCAGTTCCCTGAGCTCCCACCGCTGACGACATCGACGCTGGGAGCCCTGGTTCCTGCGGTGAGTCCTGGTTCCTGCCCGCGCTGCAGCTGGCCCAGTAAGACATGGCAGATGGGGGTAGGGGAGATCCCCCTGCCTCTTCCTCTCAGAGACATCATTTCAGACATCCCTTGGGCTTGGGTCCGAAGTCAGAAACTGCAGCAGCCCCAAGCCTGGTTTGCCAGCCTGCCCTCTGCACCTCTCCTGGGTCACAAAACCCCTTGCAGCAGTCCCACAGACAGCAGCAGACGCTCCTGGGGGGCTCAGGGCATGCACAGTGGCTGAGCTCACACACAGTCTTGAACTGGAACAATCCAAGAGCAAATCCATCGCTGAGCACAGCAATGCCCCCGCAGGCAGCCCGTTCCCTGCTTCCCCCTGATCCTCCTCGCACGCTGCTCTGCCTGGGCACACGCTGGGGGTGACGGTGCCCCCGCCACCACAAGCCTCCTGCTCTGGATGTTGCAGGTTTTCAAGGCGTACCCCGAGCCACACGAATTGCTGCTGAAAATTGCAGTCCCCGAAGCACCTGTGGTGACCCTAAAGAAAAACAAAGCCACGATCCAGCTCAAGGCTACAGCAGAGGTGGTGGTCATCCACCATGACGACGTCCAGAAGTTCCTCTGCCTTCTGAATATCGTACGCATAAAGCAGCAGCTGTGCAGAAATGCCACCTCGTTGGGACTTGGCTGCTCCAGCTCTGCCTGACAGCCTGTGCTTGTCCTCTGCTTGTCTGCAGGACGCCTCCCTGCTGGCCCAGTTCTCTGTTGAGGGCAACAAACTGAAGATCAGCGCCAGCCTTGAGAAGTAGGACACTGTTCGTCTGCTACTGCTCACACTGGTGTTGGATGGGCTTGGGGTGGTGAGGGGTGCCCAGGCAATGGGATGTGTGGTGGGACGCAGGGAACCTGAACCTCACTTGCTTCTGCTTCCTCCTGCAGGACTGATCTCTTCTTGGAGTCTTCATCTGTCGGTGACTTTGATGTAAGAACAGGAGCAGCCTCAGCCATACGCGAAATCTACTGCAGAGAGCAAAGCACTGAGAGAGATTGGCTCGGGAGAATTAAGGGCCAAGTGCCACTGAATGCTTAAAGAAAGTTCTAATTTCTGTGAAGCTGGGGATTTGCATGAAGTGGGTGTGGAGCTGGGGCAGCAGGGCGTCAGGTCAGGTTCAGGTGGGGACAACAGGAGCACCCTCACAGCCCCAAGGACGGGGTGAGGCCACTGCTGGCCACAGGAGCACAGCTCTGAGGAACCCTCTCCTTGTTGCAGATCTCGCTGCTGGAGATGCTCGTTGACAAGATTTTCGATGTCGCTTCCTGCCTGCACTGAACAGTAAGGGAGCTTTGATGCCTCATCCATGCACTCATTTGTGTCAGAGCAGCCACTGCACACATCTCCGTGCATTGCATTGACCTCGGCTGGGTGCAGGTGGTGGCAGTGGGACGGCTCGGCAGGGCCAGGCTCACTCCGGTGGCAGCGCTTTGTGGGGCGGCGAGCACACATCACAAAACGCCCCCCCCAAACCCCTGCTGCCCCCCACCAGTGGGTGCTGCAAACCCCAGCACACGGCGCTGGGCCCTGGGGCATGAAGCCTTGTGCTGGCCGGGGTTGTGGGGAGGGGGTGGCAGGGACACGCCGTGCTGACCGGGCTGCCCCGACCCGCAGGCGTGCTGGGCAGGGGGGTCCCGCTCCCACGGCTGCTGAACATCGACTTCACCAACGCCGACATCAATGTCATCGAGGTGAGTGCAGCCCCCGCTCCCCGGGGCATGGTGTAAAATGAATCCGAGTGACACCGAGCCCTCTGCCGCACCAGGATCTCCTCGTGCTGTCGGCGTGAGCCCGTGGATGCAGCGGGACCTGCGGTTTTCCACGTCCACCACCTGAGAGGTGGGAAGCCCAGCCTGCTCGAAGCTGCCCCACGATGTTTCACGCTGTGCCTGGAAGAGCAAAACAGCAGCTCGGTCTTTTCCACAAAAATGTTGCATCCTCCCTATGTTGCTTTGAACACAAAAGAAAGCAAGGGTGTTTTTTGCCTCTGATTGTTGCATTTTGCACTTTTCTTTTCGCTGATGCTCAGGCACCCGTCTGCTGGCAAGAATTACATTAGAGCAAGATGCTGCAGGTTCCCTCAGGGATCCGAAGCCCCTGGGGTCTTCTTCTTATCCTTATGGGGTGGGAGTGGATCTCCTTAGATCAGAATGTGTCTCAGTTTCTGTGAGTGCCTGGTTTGGGGCTAGGCAAGGGCTGGGTAACAGCTCCTGTGTCTGTACGTACACGAGCCCATCAGCCTTTCCATGCAAAACCCACTCACCTGAACGCAACCCCTTCCCCTGGTTTTGGGGAACCCTCTGGGCATGATGAGGCGAGCTGGCTGCCTGCCCACCGTGCTGGAGCTGCGGTGCTGGAGGAGCCCTCACCCCGTCCCCTCCCAGCACCACAGGGAGCAGGGGGCAAGCGGCTGTGCCACGGGGGGCAGGCACAGGGACAGCTCGCTCCCTGCACCCCTGAGCGATGCCCGACCTGCACAGGCTCTTTCCTGCGGTTCAGCTGCTGTCAGAGCAATGAGGCTGCTGCTAACTTCAGGCTGTCAAGCCACCGAGCACTCCTGGGGTGAGGGGAGACCTCTGGGACTGCTTCAGTAATGCTGCCTTCGAGCCTGCGTCCTTTGTCCAACCCTGTTACACTCTGAAAACTATCTGGAGATGAGACTTAGGCTTTTCCCGTCATCTTTACTGTTCTTTTTCCCTTCCTATCAGCATTTATTTCCCCCTCTGCTTGTATTTGTTCACTCTCAAGCCTGCTTTAAATTGCTCGGATCTTCCTTTGAGACACAAGCCATCTCCTGCTTACCTCTGGGTAATGCGTGGTTTCCACAGAGCAGCTGGCACACCGTAAATCCACAAACCCTTTAGTTTGCGACTACTTTTTAAAATCAGCCTTATGCTGTTGTTGTGCGTAATTCGCTTGTTGGAGGCAGCTGTCCTCTCCCTGCACGCAGACAAAACCCTCCTAACCCCGATGGAGCATCCTCCATGGCAGAGCTGCCCTGAGTCCCCCCTCAGCCACCCACTCAGCCAGGGACCGGGGATGTCCCCAGACCCTACACCACAACCCTGGCCACCGTGTGGTTGTCTCAGAGGGGCTGTGATGCTCAGCACAGGGGCTGGGGTCTGCCCATCCCAGGCAAATTTGGAGATGCAGCCAGGAGAGAGGGAAGAGAGAGGGATGCCTGCCCTGGGACCGAGGGATGCCCTGGGATGGTTGCTTGTGCCTGGTTCTGCCTGCAGGGCACAGACCTGTCCCCATCCCTGTCCCCATCCCCATCCCTGCACTGATACAGCTGTGTGTGCCCCGGCTGCTTGCAGTTTTGATAACAGCACCGGGGCTGCAGGGCAGGAGGGGGCTGCCCCCTGGCTTGGCCAGCACTCCTGCACCTCGGTCCATTGCTAGTCAGGCTGGCACAGGGCTCGTGCTTCTGAGCCCACACGGGGAAATTATTCCTATTTCATCCTTCCCTGTACTTTCCTTGTTCCTGCACTCTGCTGGGTATATAAGAGCTGCTCCCTATCAGCAGCAGATAAGAGGCTGTAGGCAGCTGCACAGCAACTTCAAAGGGCTCCAGGTAAGAGGCATAAAGGTACCGTAGCCACAGAACTCCTGTTCCCATTAGACGACCTACAGCAAAGTGTAACTCGGCTTGAAAAAGCAAGAATTTTAATGATGTTTTCCTTTGATTTCTGTAGCAGCATTTAATCATTTATGAAAATTAATTTTTAAAGCCAGTAGAGCTCTTGCTTGTCAAATTCCACATTTATTTTTGTTGTTGTTAAGTCTATTATAATGACTGAGCTAGAAGAAATGACTAGGACTCTTTAATTGTTCTTGTTGACCAGAATTCAGAACAATTTTCAGCTTATCAGATCTAATCTCAGCTGGTATGAAATAGGCACTTATCTGCAAAGCCATGCATACATTTTGCATGTACAAGCTGCTCAGCTCACTTAAATGTGAGTGACCAAGGAGATGTACTGACTAGTTGGATATAGTTAATACCTGCATAGATATTTGTCTGCTTTATCACATATTCTCTCTAAGAGCTCTTTTAAAAGACCTGAAACCCATTTTGGCATCCTCTTACAATGCTACACACGTCTTGCAGAGACCCTCCAACAAATCCCACTGATTTTATTTGACACAATTCTCAATCGAAGCTGCTCAAGCCTCTATCTTTCTCTTCTGTTCAATAATCACAGCTACAGGAGCTGTGCATCATTACGTGCTGATCAAAGGGAAAATGTAAAAGACAGTCTAGTGAATTAAAGTCTAATTTAATTGTGCCAAGAACTGTCATAGAAGGATTTTTTAAAAAGTATCTGGAACAGATAAGTTGTTCGGAATGACCTAAATAACGTTATTTCCTAGTGCTGAAGCGCTGCAATATGCAGATCGTACTTTGTCTTTCACAAAGGAGACAACGCCAGGCAGGCTGGGCCCACGCCGTGGGCTGTGCAGGCTATGTGTGTTTTGTTGGACTCGAGACCTATAGAAATGGCTCGGCAATTGCCTTTTTCCTTTCTTTGCAAACATATTTATTGGCATAAACCAGCGTGTCACAGTGCTGGTCACAACCCCAAGAAGACCAAGTGGTGTGGGAACATGAGATCCCCAAGGGTGATCTCTTGTCACTAGAGGCAGCTCAAACACAGAAAAATGGGCTCTCTTCAGAGGCTTGACTGAAGCAAAATGAGAAAAACAAACAGCCTGACCACGGGGAAGTGAATCTGATTTTGGCTGTGCTTTGAGCTTTCATAATGCAAGGTGTTCTTCACGAGGTGGAGAAGGACGTGGCTTTGACACACCATTTTTTATCCGGCTGTGCCCTTTTATCTGTTCTTATTTCAGGGCCATTTCTGAGCAGGTTGAAGCAATCCATCTCTCTCGCTACAAGGTCCTCCTGCTTCTTCTCCTCCCTCTGCTCTCTCCAAAATGCCATTTTCCTCCCCGCTGGGGAGTGGTGGGGGCCCAGGGCCACCATGTCCCACTGCCTGGGCTGATGTGGGTCTCTCGGCAGGTGCTGGGACGGAGATGCTGCCCCTCTGGTGCCTCACCATCCTCGGGAGCCTCCTGCCCCCCTCCCAGGGCCTCCTCAACCTGGGGGGCATCTTGGGGTCTGGCCCAGCACAGCCCACAGCCGGTGAGCTCCGAGGTTTCCCCACGGTGTCCCCTCGGTGTCCCCTTGGTGCCAGCGTGTCCCCATACCCCAGCTGCCCGCACCCCCTGGCACTTGCCAAACTGGCCCCACCTGGGCAAAGATGTCCCTGGCAGGGACTCACCCAGGTGGAGGAGGCACCACAGAGGGATTTGGGTTGTTTTTTAAAAGTCTTAGCTAAAAGGGAACGACCTGCCAGCTTGCTCAGTCTGTCAGAATGAGACGCGGGCAGCAGCCAGGCAGTCCCAGCTGGCACGAAGCCTGGCGGGGACGGAGGATGCGGTGTGATGAAGCGTTTTTGTTTAGCAGTCAAGATGCGCAGGGTGACCCTTTTGCTGGCAAAAAAAAAAGAAAAAAAATGATGTTCTGAACAAGGTAGATTAATAACTGGGACTTGCTTGTTGCAGGAGGTCTGCTTGGCGGTGAAGGTCTGCTCAGCAAGAAAGGTGGGCTTCTTGGCACTGGCCTTCTCGGTGAAGGTGGGCTGCTTGGTACGGGCCTTCTTGGCAAGAAGAGTCCGAGTAGTGGAGGAAGTCAAGGTCTCCTTGGCACTGAAAATGAATCCAAGAACGCCGGTGTCCTCGGCACAGGTCTCCTTGGTGGGGAAGGGCTCCTCGGCACCGGCCTCCTCAGCAATAAAGGCCTTCTTGGAGAGGAAGGGCTGCTTGGCACGGGGCTGCTTGGAAAAGGAGGGCTTGTAGGCAATGGAAGTCTACTTGGTGGTCTTTTGGGTGAAGAAGGACTGCTGGGTGAAGGAGGAGTTGGAGGGCTGCTGGGTGAAGGAGGACCGCTGGGTGCTGCAGTCCCCGACAAGTCGACACAGCACTTGGCCTGGTAAGTCAGAGCAGAAGCACGGCGGTGATGCTCACTGCAGATCCATGGCCCTTCCACCAGATTCCCTGACATGGTGACAGCTTGTAAGAGCCTGGTGTTTAAAAACTTAGCTTTAAGAGTAAATAATAGCAATAGGGATGAAGAAGAAAAAAAAAAAAAAAAGCAGTAGTAAATAATAGCAGATACTTAACTGCATTTTTCTAACAAGTGGTGCCCAGAGGTGTGGGTTCCCCTAAAAAGGTGCTCCAGGGCAGGACCAGATCCTTCCTGTTACACAGACCACGAGGGGAAATCCCAACCAGACACAGGTCCAGGAAAAGTCTTTCCCATGACGGTGATGTGACTGCGATGGGCACCCCAAGAGGTGGGGGAATCTCTGTCCTTGGAGATGGCCAGGACTCAGCTGGACACAGCCCTGGGCAACCTGGTCCTGCTTCGAAGCTCTCTCCTCTTGGAGCAGGGCTTGACCCTTCCCCACCTACACCTTTTGACCAGAGCTATCCACGTGGGTAACAAGCCCAATGCCTGGCAGAAGGGATGAGGCTGTAGGGCTTGCTCCTGCCACCTGCTGTGCAGCAAGCTCGGCTCGCAGCAGCCGGGCTTGCTCCCATCTCAGCTCGGGTTGGCTTTGGTTTCAACCCCCAGGTTGAAGATGCTGAGCCTGGACAAAGCCCGAGCATCGTGGAAGGTCCTTCCTGGGGGTGAGCTGGTGCTGAACCTGTACTCGAAGCTGACGTTCAACTTGCCAGGGTGAGCAGGGCTGGTGGGAGAGCAAAGCGTGGTGGGGTTACAGGGTCCCAGGGAGTGGGGGAGCTGGGGTGGTTCAGGGGGCTGGAGAAGCATCTGCCAACGTTTGGTTCTTAGGGGAGCTTGTGCATTGCATGCAGCTCTGCAGCTGCTGTGAATATGCATTCGCAATGCATTTTAGAAATCCTGTTCTCCTTAAGAGAAGCTCTTGACTTCACCAAGGCCCAGATCTCAACCCCAAGATGCTGGCAGAGGCGGTGATCCTGCTGTGAACAAGGTGTTGGAAGCAAAGTGCCAAGAAGGCTTTGTGCTCTTTCATGTAGATGAGTCCTTCCTTCCTCTGAAGTCCGAGCTGCCCTGGAACCCCCCGTGCCTGTTAGCACTCAGGGGCTCGATGACCTGCTAACCCGAACAGGAGCCTGATGAAAGTCCTGAGATGAAAACAGCCCCAGCCGAGCCCCAGCTTGTGTCTCAGCCACAGAGACTGCTGCTCTGTGCTTTCATCTTCTCCATAGCCCTCCAAGCCACAACAGCTATTCCCTTACTTTTCAGAATATTTCTCTTTCTGAGCGGATCTTCGGTGGAAACGAACATCACATCCCACATTGCGTTGACACAAGACACCCCTGGTGACCTCAAGTTGGTCATTAAGGATTGCAGAAACCTGTACGGTGGCATTAAAGTCAACCTGCGAAAGGGGTGAGTGCGGGCAAACTTCACCAGCCCCATACTAATTTGACACTCTGTGCAGCTTCTCATTCAGAAGTCCCGGGGTGATTTGCAAGGACACAGCCACAGCATGCAGGATCCGAATCCAACCCGGGCTTATGTGGGGCTTGGCCCTGGCCCTCAGCACGGCTGTGCATTTTGCTCCTGGACAGGCTTTTCCTTCCCTCTCCTCTCAGGGCTCAGCCCCCCCGAGCTGCCCAGCTGGGCTCTGGTCCCCAGGCTGGGGACCCCCAGCACTGCAGAGGGAAGGTTGGCACCAGGGAAGCCTCAGTGGCAACATGCAGACTAAATTTTTCTCATATAAAAGCCATTTTTTGAGAACCCTTTAAAGGAATGGGAAGTTGGTTTGTGCATCTGGAAATGGTTAAAATAATGTGCAGGACTAGCCACGGGTCAGCTCTTTGCGTGTTTGCAGTGAGGCAAAATTTCAGTCTCAAATCTGGGCACAGATTTACCGTTAACAATCAGATTTCACTAAGCAGATAACTAAAAGTCCTGAGCACCTATAATTCCTGCTAAAGCCTGGGGGAGCTGTGGGCTTGCTGCATCTTTTAACATCAGAGAGAAAAGAAGAGAATGTGTGTTCATCCTCGCTGCTCACAGCATCGCAACCCAGCGTTGCACTTCAGATTTGTCTTGATTCTGCGACCTGGGTTTTGTCAGCCTCCTCAGTAATTCCTGCCTTTTTTCCTTTCCAGCTTCTTCACCAATTTGGTGAGCGGTTTGCTGAACTCTTCTCTTCGGTCTCTCCTACCTGCACTGGTGAGTGCAAGAAATCCTGCCATGTCAGAAAGTTTGGCTGAAATCAGTGTTTTTTCCCATAAGCATGAAGCAGATTTACATATCCATATCCAGATTTGTGTGCGTGTACAGACACACACCCACGTTCTATAACTGAATTCTGCAAACTTCCTTGATCTTTCTTACAGTCAGGATTTATTTGTTAGAAGCAATTCAAATTCCATCATGCAATGTTACGGGATAATTTGTAACCAATTGCTTTGTGAAATGCCTTTTCGTACGGAGAAGGTCTGGTAAACAGAAGTGACAGCCTCACTTAGAAAAAAGGTTCTTGTTAGAAAATCTTTTATTCTGTTAAAGAGAAGCTGTGCTGTTTTGAGAAGTAGGCTGAACAATTTATATTGCTCTTTTTCCGTGGAGGAAACTATGCTCTAGGAGCTGATTGCTCCATCTTGATTTAAAGTCTGTGAGACTCAAAAGATGTTAGTGAAATGTGTTGCTACAACTGCGATATTCTCACCAAGGCTGTTCCACTTATTACCGTTGCAGTTTTGCCCATTAGTGAATATTTGGTTCAGCATCATCAATATCAAACTACAATTTCTCAACCGTAAGTTGTGAACTTTTCTATACAATTTTTGTAGCAACACGTGGCTTTTCTGTGACTGGTGTTTCTGCCCTCAGCAGAGCATGGGACGTGGGGAAGGAGTCGCTCTGCTCGCAGCAGGGGCAGCTCTGGTTCCCCCACACCAAGCAGTGTGCTGGGGGCATGGCCACGGCTCTGCTCCCACTGCTCGCCGTGGTGAGAGCACCGTGCATGGACCCTGCTGTCCGTACTGCGGGGTTTATAATTAGGGTTATAATTAGGGTTTATAATTAGCAGACCCAGACTGCTGCAGCGAGGCAGCCCCGGCGCGTGGCCCCCAGAGCCATGTCTGTCCCTCCCCAGCTCTGGAGCCAGGCAGAGGCGCAGTTGCTGCTTCACTCCATGGAAAGTTTTCAGGATGTCACCCAAACATTTCATACACCAGATAACTCCAGAACAACAGCTTTCACCACCTGTGAACCCAGGGGGTTTGAGACCCACAGGAAAATGAGAATTGGGAGCACCTGGGGGCAGGGACAGCATTTCCCAGGGACTGCACCAGCCCTGGGGGCTCTGGGCAGGACAGGGCACTGCAGGCAGCTCTGCGAGCCTGGCGGCCTCTGCCCCTGCCTCTCCTTCTCCTTCTCTTTCCTCAGGCATCGTCTTTTTTGGACTCCTTGGGAAAATCCAGTCTGCCCTCTCCAGTTTCCCGATGACCTTGGAGAACTCTGTGGAGCTGGACTTGCAGGTGCTGCCAGCGCTGGGTGTAGCCCCAGGACCTGGCTTTAGGGATGGTTCTGGATGGAGGCTCCCGCGCTCCCCAGCCTTCTCCCATGCCCCTATCCTCCTATGGCCGTGTCCCCACCAATAATAGAGCAATGGGACCTGCCCTACCCGCACGCTGTGCCGGGTCTGGCCCCGACCCATCCCTTGCCTTTCCTCACCTTCCTGCCTTCCCACAGCCGCAGCGCCTGCACTCACACCCGTTAACGTCTCCTCCTTTTTTTGCAGAAATACCCCTTTCCAGCTGTCTTCATCGACTGGCTCCTGCAGAGTAAGTGCAGCCCCAGGGGCAGCCCTGGGATCCGCAGGGTGCCAGGAGCGGGGTGGCAGCGGGGGCAGCGGGTGGGATGGGGACACGGTGCTGGCACAGGTACAGCCGGGAGCAGGTCCTGCGGCTACGGGCGGATGCGGTCACACCATAAAACGAGGTCTGTGTGCTCCTGCTCATGCTCTGTACAGCCCTGGAAAAGTCACTTCACCTCTCATAAAAGGATTTAATAATATTTACTTAGTAGGAGTGAATAATGGTTCTCAGGATGCTGTGAGGATTAATTAATATTTGCAGAGGTGATTGTAAGAGCTTTGAGCTTCATATGCATGCAAAGTTAATATATAGAGGAGGGAAGAAAGAGTTGGAAGCCATCCCAGCTTCCCCAGAGGTGAATTCCTCAGGGCACTAAATCATCTCTGCCCATAACACCAGGGTTCCCCGGCACAGGCGGTGCACAGCAGGGCCCCAGACAGGACCGTGGGGCTCAGCTGGGCTGGGGGCTCTCACGTGGCTCCGTCTCTCCCAGCTGCAGGCATCGATGTCAGGAGCATGCAGTAGGCACAGGGCCAGCAGTGCCTCAGGTAAGGGTTTGCTCACCGGGGACAGGGCTCGGAGCTGGGTGTGCTGGTGCTGGTGCTGGTGCCAGGCAAGGTGAGCCCAACGGGGTGAGCCTGGTGCCGTTGTTGGGAGGCAACAGGGGGCTGCTGCACCAAGCTGAGCTGCTCCCGCGATGCCCCTGCACTGCCTGAGCCTCATCTCCAGCATTCCCAGGTGCCCCCTGGACCATTCCCACCACTACACCAAGAGGAGGAGGAGCAAAGAGAGGAGGATGATACGATGCACAGAGCACAGACATGAAAACAGGAGCAACACAACCAAGAAAATACGCTATTTCTTCTACCTTACATTTCAGCCTCACCAGGATTTGGTGGCTCTGCCAGGCTGAGCCGTGCCGACCGCAGTGCTGCCGCGGTGCCAGCGGCAGGAGCTGCGGGTCCTGCCCGTGTGCTCTGCTGGCTGTCGTGGCCGTACAGTCACCGACAAAGACAGTGGCCTGATCCACAAGTCCTCCCCAGGCAACTGGGGCTGGGTTCAGGGCCAGTGATGGCCATGGCACGGGGACACGTCCCCAGTGTGTGACCGAGGCAGCCGGCAGCTGGCAGAAAGTCCTTCCACACGCACTGGTCCCACGTGAATGTTGTGAGCGTGCACCACGTGCACCAAATCCACAGAAAGGGAAGAAAGAGAAGGGACAAACACTGATGAAATGTAAGTCTTTGTCTTTGCTCTCCTCCTGCTTTGTGATTAGTTGACCACTTGAAAAGGAAATTTTTCTCTTTCCAGTGATTTCTTATTGTTAAGAAGTAGGAAGAAAGGCCTACAATCTAATCTAAATATGTACGTAGCTGATTTGTTCACAGTTCTGCTTTGAACTGATCACAGTACATGCTATCCTGTCTTGTAATCTCCGAGTGGGTTTGGATGTGCTGCATTGTGGGTGAGGCCGATCCACATCCCTTCTGTTACTCCTCGCAATAAAAAGGACTTTTCTTCATCTGCATTCAGCACGTGATTTGGTTTCTTTCCAAACTGCCAAAGGAGTTTTGCATTTGCAAGGGTTTTGTTATTTATCTCCCCTATCAGCTACAGGAGTAACTTGCCTGCAAAGAATATTTAATAGGCAAACCTGCTGGAAAGGCGGGGAGCCACGACGAGCTGCAGCCCCAGAATTGGGCCTAAACCCTGCCCAGCTCTGCAGGACCGTACCTCCCTCGCAATTTAAAGTAGCTGCAGAAATGTGGTCAGCGAGAGGAATAAATATTCACCTCATTTGTATTTATGCAGATTTATTCTGCCCTTGTCCCTGAGCTGCTGGTTCTTTTATTCCCTTTTCCTGCTCCCCGCTTGTTCCCAGCGAACCGGCAGCTGTTTTGACACGAACAAACGCGTTCCTCGCGCACTGACAGGGTCAGGGCTGGGACCCCCGGGACCCCCCAGGCGTGTGGCCGCAGAGTGCGGGGGCTCAGGAGGGGCTCCCTGTGGCCGAGGCAGTTTCCCGGCTGCTGGCTGTGCCAAAAGGCTTCGTGCCCCTGCCCCGATGCGCCTGGTGCCAGAGGATGTCACCATGTGTGACGAGCAGGTGGTCCTTCCCCTGAGAGGGCCTGCTGCAGTAAGTGCTGAAGTGCTGGGGGCTTGCACTTCGTGCCAGTGATGTGTGTGCTCAGCAGCAGGATGAGGCTGTGTGGCTGCCCCGTGACAGCCCCGGGAGGAGGCTGCAGAGCTCCGTGGCACAGGGGAGGGACAGAGCTCACTGCCACGGCCAAACTGCCCAATATGCAACGCCTCGCCAGGTACATTCGGCTTCCAATTCCTAAGGAAACGGGAGGAACAGGATGAAAGAAACTGCCAATTCTCAATTCAAGCTCACCGTCTGTGAATAATTTCAAAAACAGGTGTAAAGATCTCCTCCGTAATCCTAGAAAGAAAATGCCAAAAAGCAAATCCGCCCAGGTGGCCTGGCACAGCCCAGCCTGCTGCTCTCCCCGCTGCTGCAGGGACAGGGCGAGGGCTGTGGGGGCTCTGCGAGGTGCACGGGGCCGGGGCTGGGGCTGGGTGGGCACCTGGAGCTGCAGCTGCAACCCAAAAGAAGGGCAGGAGGGCAGCTTTGTGTGGAACTGCCCTGCCGGCCCTGAGCAGCGGCAATGGAGGCACGGGGAGGCTTCATCTCACTGCTGTGGCTGGGCTGTGCTGCAGATGACACTGCAGAAGACACTCTGCAGGTGACACTGCCATTTGCAGCTGCTGCTGGAGCAGTGCTGCTGCCACATCCCTGTCCCTGGCCGGTGTGTCCGGAGTCCTCAGGGCTGGCCGTGTTTGGCTGGAGCACGGCTCAGACCTTGCCAGCTCTCCTTGTCCAGCAGCACCTCGGATGTGTCTGTGTTTGCAGGCTTTGCTCTGACAGCGTGCCACCCAGCCTCCATCCGGCTTCTGTTGACACAACAGCGAGACACGAGGTCTGGGACTGCGGGTGAAGGTTTACTTTGGCGCACAGACCTGCGGAGCCAAAACACTGAGGGCAAACAGAGGCCTCAGCTTCCATTGTGTCTCCGCTTTCCTGGTTCACAGGCTGGTGTCATTGCACAAGAGCATCCAGTCCCACCGCAGCCAGCCAGGTCTGGGTGCCGGGGGGGCTCTCCCACTAAGCAAGGCAAGGGGAGGGCTGTGGGAGGGAGATGGGCAAAGCCCCTGCCCGTAGCCAGGGCAAGGAAAGGGGCTCCAAAGAGAGGAGCTGGCGTGGGGAGGGGAGCCCGTGGGCCCTCGCTGTGTGCCCCCAGAGACAGCTCAGGGTGCAGGGGGGACTGGGGGCACCCCAGGGGGCGAATAGCTTGGCTCTCGTGTTTTGGGACACCAAGCTGTATTCGTTGCATTCAGTGGATGCCACTTCCTTTACTGAGTACCCCCTGTCCCTCCTGAGGAGCTGCCAGCTCTGGGAGCTTCTTGCCTTGTCCCTGCCCTGGAGATCCCCCTGCTTCCCCGGGCAGTGCTGTGCCGAGCTGTGCCGTGCTTCCTTCCGAGCTCCGCACGGGGACAGTTTTCCCACAATCAGCACAAGGGCTTTTCAGATGGAGCTCTAATCAAATAGTCATGGGAAAGTGTTTTTAATAATGTCAGAAAAATTCCCCTTTTTAAAGAGAAACTGTTTTTGGAAATGGCTAATGTTTTGTTCTGGTAGCTTCAAAGAAAATATTTTACTACTCTTTTTTAAACATCCTGTAATTAAATAGCGGAAGGAAAGAAAAAGAAAGAAAGAAACAGGTTAAAAGATGAGGCTAAACAACCTGAAGAGAATGGAATGTTTTGTTGTCACTCAAAAAAACCTGTATCAGCTTGACCGAAAGTGAATCTTGTTTTTGTTTCCTTGCTTCAGCCATTACCCTTGGCATCTTCATGGATGCAGAAAGGGGAGGAGGACAATTCTGTCTGGCTTTTCATTTTCACAGCAGTGCGCTGAATATTAATCAGCCTAAAAACAGTGCTGTAGGCACTGCTGCAAATTACAGATTCTGCACTGGGTACTAGTTTGCTGTGTAATTTTTGCATGCAAGTCAACAGCAGGGGTTGGGCAAGCTAATTCTCCTTTGTGACCTGACTTTGCAGATAGCAGACATAACACTGAACTTGAGTGTCCCTGAAGCACCCTGATATCTTTATTAGAAATGCCACTGTGCATCAGTTTGTTTTCGTGCCGGGGGTTCCTGTCAGGGAACCAGGCACCCTTCTCCTCCTCATTAACGTGAGGACTGCAGGCAGGGAAGCAGGGCTTTCCCCACGGCGTCTGGCTCAGCCCGGTGTCCTGCCCCTGCCCTGCCTTGCACCTTGCCCGTGGGACCTGGGAATGAAACCCAGGCATGGATGTCGCTGTTCTTACAGAGGCTACGGACCAGGCACTGTGATCTGTGGGCTTCAGCAGGCGAGGGGATGCTCAGGGAAAGCTCAGCCGTCACTTACAGCAATCTAGGCAGAAAACAGTACCTCTTCTGTTTTAATTTCCATCAAACTTTAATCAGGTGAAAGGAGGAGAAAAGTCCTCGCAGGTGTCCAGCTGCCTGATGCAAGTACAAAGTTGTCATTAATTCGGGTGCTCGTTAGTGCCACTCTCAGGGCTGGTAGCAGCCCCACATGCAGCCAGCCCCTGCCGTGACCCAGACGGATACAGCCCGGGTGTGAAAGCTGTGAACGGGCACCTGGCTGCACCAGCAAGCACGAAGGAGATGCTTTCTGACACCAGAGTGCCACAGCTGCTATATGGGCGTGCTCCCATCTCCTCACACAAGGACAGGATTTATCTTTGGCTCCACCGAAGGCACAGTGAGGACATCCCAGTAGGCTGGGGCACTGGAAGGTGTCGCAGCCGTGGGCAGTGTCTGCAGGAGCAGCTCCTGCCAGCCTGGCTGTGGTGGGGTGGTTTGGGTCCCTGCTCACACACGGCCTTGGAATAATGTGAAAGAATTCCCCTTCGCTTCCAGTTTTCTAGGGGAAGCCTTTCTTGCAGGGAAGGGAACCTGTCAGGCACGTGAGGCACCGCGGAGCCTCCCTGCAGCCGGCACGTTGCTGTAACACAGCACCGTGCAGTCATTCCTTGTGCAGTTCTCAGACCAAGAGCGGCTGCTGCCAGAGGAAGATGGTAATGGCTTTGGCCATGCTGTGATTTCCCCTCTGCAGGCAAGCAGCTGACGTTGTTTCAGTTAAATGATCACTGTCGATGTTGTCCTTTCACTGCACTTTTGTCTTTCCCCCAGTGAAAACAAGTTCCCAGATTTCCCCATTTCCCAGTGACGTTCGCAGTGTGGGGAAGAAGCTGCAGTGTCTCCAGCACAGGAAATGTTTGTCAATGCTCTTTGTGTTTCAAAATGTCCCTCTGCTCTGCTGTGCTGACATTTTAGGCAAAATGCTGGTTTGAATCCCACTTAATTGTTTGCTCTCGCAAGTTTTCCAGGTAAAACATCAAATTGCTGTTGGTCTGTGTGCTGGAATCAAGGGGCACGAGGCAGTGTTTTTCCCTCCAGCAGCTTTGTGGCTCAGTCTGTGCTCCTGCACTTAGCGGCTGCTCCGGCTTTCCCCAGACCCCTGAGCTGTGAGTCCAAGCTCCAGGTCCTGACCCCTCAACTGCAAAACAAGACCTTGAATCACACATACACACATTTTCTTTCCAAACCAGCTTTCCAAAAGCTTGTGAGTGTTCCAGACCTGCTTGCCACAGCCCATGCCAGCAGCGTATTTACTGCAGGGGAGCCTGGTTCTTCTGCAGCTGTGTCTGTGAGAGCTGCTGGGCATCCTCCTGGCTCCATGCAGGGCTTGGTTGCAGGGACCAAAGTGGGTAGGGAGAGTGCAATGCGGTTATCCAAATGAATTGCACCATCATGCCTCACAGGAGGCATTTTAATTACCCTATTGATTCATGTTCTTGAGAGCAACCACCACGGCACAGCTCAGCCTGGGATCAAAGGGATGCAGCGAGAGCAGGAGCGAGGCAGCCCGTGGCCATACTGCTTCACCTCCAGCCCTCCCCTCTGCACACATTGGGCTGGTGGGCCTGGGGCTGCTCCATGCACATCCCCTAACCACGCCTGATGGCTAAATAATGCAGCCAGTGGAGGAAAAACAACTGAAAATATATGTGGAAGATACAGAGCCATTAATGAAAAACATCAGAAAACAGATATCAAGTAATGACACCATGACAAGAGCTTATTAATAGGAAAGTCTAAAGATAAAACTAATTTAAGCCTGATGAGACAGGACACCTCATCTTCACGAGAATGAGAAGTCAATAGTGAGCTGTCAGTAAAGGAAATAAATTGCTCACAAGGGAGAAGGAGAAGCCACAGGACGCCCAGGCCCCAGAGGACGGCACTGACAGGCTTGTGAGATATGCTGAATCCACAGAGCCCTGTAAAACCTGAGATGCCACTCCGCAGCAGCCCCTCTGTCATTGAAATGCAGCCCACAGCTCCAGAAAGGCTCCTGCAGCGGGGAGGGACCGGCAGCGGGCAGAAAGCAGGCG